GGGAAACACTACAATGACTTTGCCAAGATTCTTCCTTTCATCTTTTCTCTAATCTTTCTAATGTTTTAATTTCTAATATTTTCTGTTTTCTCTTATTGCTCTCGGCTTTCATACTGATGTATTCTCGTTGGGTTCCTTGTTACAGTTTCGTTTATTCTATTATTTTACTTCGGTCTACATTCTTTTCATTTCTTCCTTTGTATTGCTGTACGCCGCCTAGGGCAGCCCCACGGTGATGGAGGCAGCCAAATAAACATAGCCAATAAAAATAGCAAATAATACTGATTCTGCTCTGGGTGCATTTTGATTCTGCTTTCTCCCGCAGTCCCTGGACCTGGCAGAGTACAACATCCTTTTCATGCTCAGCTTTACGACTCCGGCCTTTGACTCGGAGGTGGCCCCCTCTTTTGGGACCCTGCTGGCCACCATCAACGTGGCCCTGAACATGTTAGGGGAGGTAAGAGTTCAGAAGAGCTCGTGCAGAGCGGAGAGGCACGGCCAGGCTGCTAGTTTGGAGATGCCGTAGAGTTATTCATATACTGCAGTGGTGAGGCCACACTTGGAATACTGCATCCGATTCTGGCCATGGTGATAGATAATGAGACTCTATAAAGAGTGCAGAGAAGAGCAACAGATGATTAGGGGTCTGGAGGTAACATATAATGAACGGATGTGAGGAACTGGATCTGTGTAGCCCAGGGGGTCGGCAACCTGTGGCTCTGGAGCCGCATGTGGCTCTTTCATCCCTCTGCTGTGGCTCCCTGTTGCTGATCGGCTCCACAATTGATAGGGCTTTCGGTTAGGACAGGTAGCGGAAAAAGGATGCCGTGCTAGGAGGCGACTCTATGGTGGGGGAAATCGGACTTCCGGTCGGCTCCAGAATTGAACGGGGGCTTCCGGTTAGGACCTTTGGGGCTCTTTCGAGTGTTTAAGCTTGCCGACCCCTGGTGTAGCCTAACGCAGAGAAAGACACGAGAGCAGCCTTCCAGCATTGGAGGGGGTGTCACAGAGGAGAGGGGGTCGGCCTGTTCTCCAAAGCGCCTGAGGACAAGAAGTAAGGGATGGAAATTGATCAAGGAGGGCTCCAGCCTAGAACTAAGGAGAAATTTCCTGAACAATTAATCAGGGGAACGACTTGCCTCCAGCCCATCACTGGAGGCTTTCATGAAGAGACTGGACAGCCATTTGTCCAAAATGTTATAGGCTCTCCTGCTTGAGCAGGGGGTTGGACTAGATGACCTCCAAGGTGTTTTCTAACCCTGTTTCCATAGGTTGGAACCGTAACTTAGTGACCGAAGTTACAATGGCACTCAACAACAAAAATGACTTATTTTTTACTTTGTCTTGAGTCCTGATGCTGCTTTTCTTTCTTCCCAAAGTTGGATAAGAAGAAGGACCCCTTCAGTCTGGCTGCAGGGCCCTCCCCCCAGCAGGAAGGGAACAAGACCCTCAAGTAGGTACCTCGGGGCTTTGACCACCTTTGGAACACGGAACTGGAGAAGAAATCCTTTTTTTTTTAAAAAAAGGATATTTGCTGTGGGCTTGAAAGGAACTTCTCCAGCAAGGGCATTTCCTCAGCACAGTCCTCTCCATGCTACCCCAAGGAATATTCGAATTGCTCAGAAAGGGACCTGCTGCTTCTATTTCCTTTCCTTTCCTTTCCTTTCCTTTCCTTTCCTTTCCTTTCCTTTCCTTTCCTTTCCTTTCCTTTCCTTTCCTTTCCCTTCCTTTCCTTTCCCTTCCTTTCCTTTCCTTTCCTTTCCTTTCCTTTCCTTTCCTTTCCTTTCCTTTCCTTTCCTTTCCTTCCCTTCCCTTCCCTTCCCTTCCCTTCCCTTCCCTTCCCTTCCCTTCACTTTACTTTACTTTCTTACTTTTATTTGATTTGTATACTGCCTTACTCCCGAAGGACTCAGGGCGGTGAACAGCCAACAATAAAATACATACATACAAAATTTAAAAAGCAGAAATAAAATCGAATTAAATTGTTTGGCCCAGACAGATTAAAACCCCAATCAATTTAAAACAAATTTAAACTTTGAGGATTAAAAATATTAAAAAATATTAAAATTGTTTAAAAAGAGGGAGAAAGTTAGACCTTTCCTTTCCTTTCCTTTCCTTTCCTTTCCTTTCCTTTCCTTTCCTTTCCTTTCCTTTCCTTTCCCTTCCCTTCCCTTCCCTTCCCTTCCTTTTCTTTTCTTTCCCTGTGTTATATTGTATTTATGAATAATTCAAAGTGGCAAACACATGCTATCCTTTGGGGATAGGTTTGGGGAAACTGCTGTTTGCGTCTCGATCAGTCTTTCCGCTGGTGCAGAGGTGGGGAATTATGGCCCCTTGATGACTTGTAGGGACTTCCACTCCCAGAATTCCTGGGCCATCGTTTCCCACCCCTGTGTTAGCGCTTTTCGGTGGCTCAATAAGCCACGTCTTTGTTCCAGGCCTCTCCTGATGTTTACCATGGAGAACTGCTTCTACCTGCTCATCTCTCAAGCGGTTCGGTATTTGAAGGATCCGGCGGTGCACTCGCGAGATAAACAGCGCATGAAACAGGAGCTCAGCTCAGAGCTGGTAAGGGGGGCCGCCCTGGCTCAGTGGGTTACTGCGACTGTCGTTCCCATCATCCCTGGCAGCAGCTGCCTTTGGCTGGGCTGAATGGGATGATGGCAGTCCCATCACGTACGCAGATGGCAAGGGTGGGAAGGAGGAGACGGACCGGTTGACCTATTTGCCTCCTGCCTTTATTATTTGTACATAAAACTCATGGTGGCGAACGTATCTGACACGCCTTCCTCCTATTTTCCCCACAACAACATCCTTGTGAGGTGGGTTGGGCTGAGAGAGAGGGACTAGCCCAGTCACCCAACTGACTCACATGCCTAAGGCAGGACTCGAACTCAACGTCTCCTGGTGATTGGCCAAAATTCACCCAGCCAGCTTTCAAACCTAAGGCAGGACTAGAACTCACCGTCTCCTGGTTATTATCCCAAGCTTATCCAAGTAGCTTTCATGCCGAGGGCGGTACTAGAACTCACGATTCCTGGTGATTGGCCCAAAGACACCCAGCCGGATTTTATGGCGAAGGCAGGACTAGAACTCACCGTCTCCTGGTTCCTAAACCAGCCTCTTAACCCTTCCTGTAACAGAATCCTGTGTTCTCTTTTCAGAGCACGCTGCTCTCCAGCCTGTCTCGCTATTTCCGCCGTGGTGGTCCTTCCTCGCCTGCCGGGGGCCTTCTGCCCTCTCCCCAGGGAAAACCCTCCTCCAAGCTGGGGCCGGAAGGCCAGGACCCCCTCTTCCAGCTGGTGCAGACCTTTGTCAGACACGTGCAAAGATAAATGCCACCCACCCCGGCTGAAGACGATTCTCACTCCAGTTCGTCTCCCATCCATTCTGGGACCTACCACCCACCACCAGGGAGGCGTTGGCTGGTCTCTTCCAGCAAAGGACCCCGTCTGCGGGAAAGACCCCCACCCCCACCCTCCCAAAGCAATTGTGTCGCGAGTAAATCTGGCTTGGCCTTCATAAGCCTGTCCCTTATTTTTCTAGCTTAACGTACAGCCCAGGATGGAAAGCAGATGGAGAGAGCTTGAATTATCCCTTCCGAAAACAGTATCGGGCATTAATCTCGTAGGTCGAGGACTGTTTTGTGACGGAGCTTTGCCAGCTAAGGGCAGAGACCCTCCTGTCAGGATTCCCCGTTTTCCATGGGACCCGTCTCTGCCGTTCTGAGGGCAGGGAAGAGATATTTTTTATAAAGTCCTCGTTCCAGGCAGGATCGAAAACCAGAATCCCATTGCTTGAGTCTCCCCGTTTTTTTGTACGAGTTGTTTCCTATTTATATTGATTAAACACGTTTCTAAGCAATGCTGGGGCTCCAACCTCTTGAATGTTCACGAAGTGTAGCCCGGTTCGGCTTCCGCTTTCGAAGCCCAACTTTTCCCAGAAGGAATCAAGCGGCGCGTGAAACAGTTGGAAGAACACAAGAGAGGCCTCTGGGAACGTCGGCTCTCCACGTTTCATACGGTGAAGCTACGGCTCTTGGCTGCTTTAACATCAACACCCCGGACCCATAAAACATTCTGCAACTGTCTCGATTAAATGTACGGAATAAAACAAGCGTGCTTTGCTTTCGGTAGAGATTGAAATACAGGTAGTCCTCGAATTATGACCAACATAATAATATGGTGCAACAACAGCAATGGCACTTAAGACTTCTATACTGCCCCATAAGTGCTTTACAGCCCTCTCTGGACTGTTTACCATGTCAGCATATGGTGGTGTGACCTAGGCCCAGGTAGTTATTACCAGACACAATCGGTCCTAAATAAACATACTTTATTAGAACATCTGAGAATTCTCAGCTTAGTCCAAGGTTGTTGAGCGAGTCGCCATGGGGATCGTGTGAATGCCGTTGCTAAGTGAACCCATTGTTCGCCATGGAGTGTTTTTTCCCCCCCCAAAAAAATCAGAAGTAAACGCTCACAAACGCTGCCAAAAAGTCCACAAACATTGTAAATTGCAGGTTGTGATGTGGGATGTTGCAAACTTGACAGGTACCCGAAATACAGTCATGTGACCATAGAGGGGGCGGGGCCTCTGTTGGAACTTTAGAACTGAGTTTTTTTTCGGTTGGAACCAAAATTCAAGGTGCTCGGCAATTGGTTCATACTTACGACGGTCGCGGTATCCTGGGGTCATGTGACCCCCCCCACCTTTTGCGACAAGTCCAGTCAAATGGGAAGCCAGATTCACTTAACAACCATGTTACTAAGTTAACAACCGGCAAGGCAGGTTGTAAAATGGAGCAAACAAAAATTCATTTAGCAACGAATTTTGGGCTCAGTTGCGGTCCTAAATTGAGGACTACCTGCATTTCTCTAACCCCTGGGGCCAGTCCCAATTTCTGCCTAAGCCTTGGGGGGGAAAAGAAATAAATAAATTTAGCTCCAGAGCCACAGACATCCTGTTTTTTTTTTTTTTTGGAAGAAAGCAGCCGAAACTTGAGAGCAGCTCTTAACTTTTAATTAATCAAAGATTGCAGTAACAAGAGTGTCGGCCATTTCCTTTACATCTGAGCTCTTGGCCCGTTTCAAAGTCTGCAATTGTTAAAGGAACTCGACAAAGGAAGGAAAAAGAAAAGCAGAATACAAACAGTTTGCAAGGAAAGATTGGGGAGGAGGTCCCCACACACCCAGAAAAATGGGCCTGGAGTTACTTGCTGCCTCCCCCCGGTGAGGATTCTCAGATCCGTAGCCCCAGCGGGGTTCCTGACTCGGACCGGGGGATACATGCCAAACACCGGAGAATGCAAGAAAAAAACCCCAAAAGCCCCAAACCCCATTCAAATTGGGGGAAACCGTGCAGAAGCTTTAAACCGAGCACACAAGGAAAGAACATCTATAACTCAGAAAAGGATAATAAAATGTTTTATACCGGGGTGGGTGAGTGGAAGGGGATCTGAAGCTGCTAATAACAGCTTCAGATCCAATCTTCTGTTTCTAGGATTCATGATTTCGGCTCCCCCAAAGCAGCTTCCGAGCTCCTGCCGGTGGAACCTGATTATTCAGAAGTTTTTTTTTTTTTTTAAGTATTGTGAAAACCACAGGATTTTTTTTGCTCGAAGATTGCACCGGCAGAGAATCTTCCTGCCTGCCAAAACATATCTGCCCCAAAAGATTTGGCAACGTCCCACACTCCTGGGACATTCAGCGGATCCCTCCAGGAAAGGAGGACTGGAGAGCCTGGTAAAAAGCTCAGAAATGCTGCAAGAAAGAGCAGAGTTACCTAAACCCCGTGTGGCTTTCTTAAGAAGAAACCCAGAAGGGATAATATAAACGAAGCCCAAGTGGGAGAACGGACAACAGGCCGGCAAGCAAAAGAAACGTTTGCAAGTCGTTCGGAATAGATTGCATTTACAGAAAGGGCTCTGCAACCCGACGTCAGCCTGAAAGCGCAAAGGGGAAAAAAGCACCGGTCAAGCTTTGAGCCACGCGGCCTCAGGCGGCGGGACGGTGGCCGAATCTGCTCCATGCTCTGTGCTAGGTTACACTGGTACTACATATGGCTTCGAGTTCGGCAGAAGCGCCCCAAGGATCGGAGCTATGGAGCGTGAAGAGATTTGACAAAATCCGGGCTCCTCAACCTGCAGGCAGATGTGTTTGTTAGATGTGTGGGTGGGTGTGTCTTTGCACACCTGAAGACAGGGCAAGAGGAAACACAAAGGTGTGGAAAACTGGTGCATGGCCAGATAATCAAAGCCTAACGGTTAAAAAGAAACTTCAGCCCGAGTTGCAAATTCCATCTCTTTTTCTTCGTGAAATTCTTAGGATCTTTCTATCGGAAAGATTGACCCCACTAGCTTTCTTCTCCGACTGGCTCCGAGTTGGGGAATGGGCTCGGATGGGTGGGCAAAGGGGGGAAGGCTCGGCCTGCGTTCAGAAAACTCCTCCCTTCTCTCCCCACATCATTCCCCCCACCCCCCGGCCTGGAATGTCTACAATCGATTGAAGGCTCCGAAAAATGTAAAGAAAAAAATTGGGTGAGAATAAGGGGAAGGAAGGAAGGAGAGAGGGAGAAAGGAAGGAGGAAAAGAAGGAAAAAGAAAGGAAAGGGAGGAAGATAGAGAAGGAAGGAAGAGAAAGAGAAAAGGAGAAAGGGAAGGATGGAAAGAGGAGGGAGGAAAGATGGGAGGAGAAGGAAGGAAAGAAAAATTAAGATGGGAAGGAAGGAATGGTCTCTAAAGTGGCTAGTCCTCATGACCCACCACTATCCCCAACGAGCTGGGGGTGTCTTCCCAGCAGCTCCCAACAATTCTCAAAGCCAACTAGGATAATTGGAGGGGAGGCCCTGAAACCCTGGAGAATGGAAGTGATTCACCACCATCCCTTTGGGGCCTTAATCCACACAACCTAAGAACCCCAAATAATAATAACAATAATAATAATAAATAGTGAGAGCGAGGGATCTCGGAATGAACCAGTTTCCAAAAGAAGAAGAAGAAGAGAAGAAGGAGAAAGAGATGATTTTCTTGCAGAGTCCTTGCCAGGTGCGCTTAGCTCAGCAGTTCTAAGTAGGTGACAGGGACTTTGCCTTTCTTATTCCCCCGCTCTCCAACCAGCCAGTCAGGGTCCATCCCTGGGAGACTGTACACAGTGATCATCTGAAAGAGAGGAGAGACAGAAGGGGGTCAGGCAGGGTTGGCCTAACCGGGGTTTTACTTGAGTGCTTTTTTGGGGCAGTTCTTCATACAGACAAACGGCAGGTGAATTTTATTTAATCCAGCTTGGATTTTGGGCAGGATTCAGAATGAAATTATGATTGTTATTTACTGTATGGCCCATTCGCATCACATTTCGATTAAAAAAGCACAAGAGATAAAAGATTATCTTACATGCCATGTCTAAAATATCATGAACAAATTACAATTATTTATAATAATTATAAATAATAATTGTAATAATGATTTTGTATTATAAATATTCTAAAAGAATGAGGGAAGCGTCTGAAAGGGTACGAAATCCCCTCTTTATGGAAGCTGAAGGCCCCTTTTCCTACCTAACCCTGTAGGTGGTCCTTGACTTATAACCATTTAGTAACTGTTCAAACTTACAACAGCACTGCGAAAAGTGACTTACAACCTTACACGACCATCGCAGCTTCCCCACCATTCACGAGATTAAAATTTTGGACGCTTGCCATACTGCAAAATCCCCATTCCCACCCTACTCTGGGGCCAGCCAGAGGTGGTATTTGCTGGTTCTCCAAACTACTCAAAATTTCCACTACCGGTTCTCCAGAACCTGTCAGAATCTGCTGGATTTCACCCCCGTGTCGTGGGTTTTGGCAGGGCTGCCCAGGTGCCACGCGTTCTCCCAGCGCCTTGCCCGAGATGGTGGGGGTGCCAACCTCATCCGAGAGTAGGGAAAGCTCGCTGCTGTCGGCTGCATCGTAGTCATACAACACTCGGGCTTTCCGGGTCCCGCTGCTGGGGGGCTTCACCTCGCTGGGGTTCAGAGCTTCAACCACCGGAGCCGAATTGGACGCTCCGGCAATCGTGGGCACCACCGGGAGGGTGGGCACGGCGGGCCCCGTGGCGGCAACCATGGCGGTCGGGGAAGCAGCGTTAGGCGGAGGCGATGTGGACTCTGTGTTGCCCACAAAAGTCCCCGGCAACCTGGATAACGGAAGAAAAGATGAAGGGAAGTTGCAAGCCGGCCCTTCCAGCGTTTCGACTCCTGCGGTTCAAGGTGCTTAACACTTAATTACAAAACTTGCAGCCGCTTATGTGTGAGGTGGGAGACTCACATGCCAAACGGATCATCTCTGTTCACTTTCCAGAGGATGCACAGACTCCTCTGCTAGGCAAGTCACGGGGTTCAGACACCGCCAGGTTAAAACTAGCCAGGTTTAAGCAATTGAGTTGTGTGAACGGGGCCACTAAGCAATTACTTAGAGTAAGAGTTGGAAGGGACCTTGGAGGTCTTCTAGTCCAACTCCATTCTCAACCCTAGACCAGGGATGGCTAACCTTTTCGGCACCGAGTGCCCAAACTGGAAGGTGTGTGTATGCGTGCGCGGTGGAGCGCTGGAAACCCAAATACCAGTGCATGCCTGTTTTTGGGCTGTTTTCTGGGCCAAAACCAGCCTGAAAACAGCCTGGAAAATGGCCTGAAAACAGCCTGAAAAAGGTCTGGAAGCAGCCTGGAAAACAGCCTGTTTTGGGGCTCTTTTTTGGGCCCTTTTCAGGCCGTTTTCCGGCACTCAGGTGCCTGCGAAGACCAGCTGGCCAGAAACCAGAAAAATAGGTGGCAACTGCGCATGTGCCCACAGAGAGGGCTCTACATGCCACTTCTGGCATGCGGCATTCCATAGATTCGCCATCACAACCCTAGACCATCTCTTCTTAACAACCTCCAAAAACCTTTCATTAACCAGGTTTCCTCACCCAGTAAAAAGTAGCTGAAAAAGATCTACAAACACTGTAAAATAATTTTTTTAAAATTTTTTTTTTCAAAACTGTTCTATCCACTTTTATGTCCGTACTAAAATAAGACAATTTTATATATATATCTAATTTATGCAATTTATTTATATGGCTATTACGCAATAACGAAGTACAACCCACACAGCTCAAATTATAAAGTGAGATACAGGAAATGGCAACGATCTAAGAAATTTGATCAATTTAGCAAATCCTAACAAAATTGCGCTCTTAAATGTTAAAGAGAACCCCAGCTTTGGATACGATACCAACTTGCGCGGAGGATTATAACCCTGAAATGGTTTCCATTACAAATTAAACCACTGATAAAAAAAAAATCTGATTTTTTTTTTTAACTTACATTTCTCCTCTGGAGCTGAAAGCCAGAGAGGGACAGAACAGAAGACAAGAAATGAAGAAAATAAAAATCCCCTGAAATTTCAGAGTTTAAAATATGAACAGAACAGAGAACACAGAACAATAGGATTGGAAGGGGCCTCAGAGGTCTTCTAGTCCAACCCCCTGCTCAAGTCACAGACCCTAGACCATTTCCAGTCCAATCTCTTCTTAAACCTCCAATGATGGAGCACCTCAACTTCCAGAATCATTGCACTGATTCATTGTTCTCACTGTCTTAATCTGTTGAAGACCATCAACCGTTCTGACTACCCTCCAAAACTTTTAAGTTTGGCCAAATGTTTTAAGTGCTGAGTCACCGGGGGCGAGGTCATTCAAGTGCGCTGCATCTGGCCCTTTTTGGGACCCCCCCAGATATCCTCCCCTTAATACACCCTGGGCAGCTTCAAAAAAACAACAACGTTTAGCTACCTATTCAGCTGCTTCTGGAGATCCAACATGTATTGGTAGCATTGCGCGTAGTACGTGGTCTGAGCTTCTGCAAACTCGTGGAGACATCGGAGGTGGTTGACCTGAAAGAGAGAAGCAGAGTCCAGCGTATTGTCCAGGGAAGGTTACGGGCGGCTCTTGCTGAAAACTGGAGATTAACAGCCTTTATTTATTTTACTGGGGTGGCCTAGAGGTGAAGATGCTCGCCTTCCACTCGGGAGGCTGAGAGTTCATTCCTAGGCAGCGACAGATGTTTCTCTCTCTGGGCGGAAAGAGAAAATATCTGCTGTGAACCCCCGCGTAGGCATCAGGAAGGGCATCTGGCCAGTAAAGGCTCAGTTCCGTTCAGTCGCCTCAACTCCACCCGAAACAAGGGATTAAAGAGTCATAAAAAGAAAACAAAGATACAGTACTGCTGTTTACACACCTTTTTATTTTTCTCCCTTTTTATTATCGTAAGCCACCTAGGGCAGCCTTACGGCCGGCAAATAAATTTAACGAATGAATTAAAAACTCACATGCGTGCTGTTGATTCCTTCCAAAAGAAGCCGAGTTACTTCCGCCTGTCGATCAAATTCCGTCTGGGCCATCCGAAGCTCGTGCTCCGCCTGCAAAACACAACGGTGGAGCCCCCTCAGAACGAAGGCACAATCGCCTTGGTAAATATTCCAAATATTGTAAATATATCCATCCCCACCCACTGCCCCAAGGAAGCCTTTCAGCCTGTTTTCTGCATTTTATTAATGGAATATCATTTTTTTTTAACTGCAATCGATTTTTATTTTTGATTACGGACTTTGGCAGGATTGGAAGATGCTACAGGGACTCCTCGTCTTACAACCATTCATTCAGCACACGTTCAAAGTCACAACTGAAAGCGTGACTTATGAGCAGGTCATGGTTGCAAGTCGAAGTCTATCTGTATGTAAATCCAGAAACGGGGTTCATTCAGCCACCAGATTCACCGTCTGGTACGAACGCAACACCCCCCCAGGGTCGACTTCCTTCCGTTCCAGGAAAAGAAAAGATGGACATTTTTGGATTAAAAAAAAGAAGGAAAAAAAAAAGAATACTGGAATATTGGTAGTACTTACTTTTTCCACCTCGTCACTCCAAAGCTGTGGGGAACCACAGGACAAACGGAAAAGCGAGTCAACATCAGAAGACACCAAACCACCCACATTCCAACACAATGAAGCCACCTTGGGGGCGGCCACAACAGGGTTGACTGTGGGAATGCAGCTGGGCCTGTCCCCCACCCCGAGTGGCAGACGGTGATAGACCTCCAAATGGGGAGGGGATTCCATTTCCTCCTCTCCTCAAACCCCACTCCAACCCACCCCCAAGTCAGGTGTTTGGATTAAGGTAGACCAGGGGTCTCCAAAGTTGGCCACTTTTAAGACTTGTGGACTTCCAACTCCCAGAATCCCCCAGCCAGCCATGCAGCAATTTTGGGAGCCGGAAGTCCACAAGTCTTAAATTGGCCGAGTTTGGAGATTCCTGGCGGCTAGACAGACCTGTCCTATGAACCAGGGGTCTCCAACCTTGGCAACTTGAAGACTTGTGGACTTCAACTCCCAGAATTCCGCAGCCAGTTGGCTGAGGAACTCTGGGAGTTGAAGTCCGCAAGTCTTAAAAGTTGCCAAGGTTGGAGACCCCTGCTATGAACTATGAGAAGCTCTTCATTCTTCATGATGGACCGTCTAGGGGCCCCCCGTCTGCTCACTTTGGCGGGATCTGGCACAAAAGCCCACCCCCCAAAATGCAACACGCCATGCATTCCGTGACCTAGCCTAAGCAAAGCAGCATTTCCAAGGGGAGGGAAGTGGGTGCCTTTCTTTGCCACGGCAAAAACGTTCCCCCAAAGTGGGCCACATCCCAAGGGCAGATTTTGGATGGAGAGACACAGAAAAACCAAGGGTGTAAACCTCCAAACATCGCAACTTTTAACACTTGCAGACTCCCAACTGCTTTCATTTTGCCCCCGGCCCTTCTCTTTGTTAGTGATGGTGAACCTATGGCACGGAACTGGTCCGAACCGGTAGAACCCCACCACTGTCTCTGGATCAGAATAAACTATTTAGTAGCACTGAATGTCCTCCTTTTCTCTCCGGACTTCCACCCACGTCTAACATTCTCCCTACTCCTTTTTGGGCCGAATGAGCAAGCCGTCGTCCCTTCCCCAAAGTTGCCAACTTGGAGCAGAAACGCCACTTTGGAAAAGAAAGGCCCCCCGTGAGGTGATGACGACGCCTGATTTAGGGGAGCAGCCAGCATGCAACGCTGAAAGAAAGCGATTCCTCTGCCAAGCCAGGATTCCGGGGACCCGGTGCATCGTCCCCCCCCCAATCTCCCTGAATCTGGATTGAACCTGGTTCCTTCCCAACGGGAGTGTCAGCAAGGCGGGAAACGGACACGGGGAAAGGGTGGTGGTGTTTCGAGGTTCCGACATTTTAACGTGAGACAGAAACACAGCTGCAAACCCAGATGAACCGGACAAATGTCTGAATGGGTGGACAATGCTGGCACCCCCTGAACTGCTTTGGGAAGGAACCGTGCGGTGGTGGTTGGGTGAGAGCCAGGAATTCTCAGGTGGCAATTGTTTTTTCTTCCTTAAAAGACTGTCCCCCGTTAATTAGGGGGGACGGACAGGAAAAGGATGGCAAAATAGGAGGGAGACAGGGAGGAGTTATGGGGTCTATGGAGATTGTCAATCATCCAAGTCATGGTTGTCCCAAAAGAGCAACTGGCATTTCTTTTGTTTTTCCTTGAAGACATTTCGCTTCTCAACCAAGAAGCTTCTTCAGTTTGACTGGACTGAACTGGAGTTAGAACTGAACTTCAGTCAGAACTGAAGAAGCATATTGGATGAGCAGTGAAACGTCTTCAAGGAAAGACAAAGGAAGCCCAGTTGCTTTTTGAAAAAGCGCCTTTGGGACTTCACTACCTCCGTCGGTGTTCCATGCAGAAAAGCCTCAAGTATCTAGCATCCCCATTTGGCTTGGAGCGAGTGGCTCAGTCCTGGGATCAGATTAACCAAGCTTGCAAGGATCCTGGGTTCAAGGCAGGTTGAGAGGAAATTAAAACAGAAAAAGGAACATTTAAAGCGTTCCAGAAATGTGGACTTAAAATTCCCAGAATGCTCTGCAACATACAAAGGCAGGGCAGGGAATTCTGGGAGCAGACATGTGCCCACCTAAAGTCTCCCTTTAAACGCCCAGAATGCTCTGCGGTGCCCATGTGCAGGATGGAGAATTCCGGAAGACGTATTTGCCCATCTGGAGAATCTCCTTCAACTCCCAGAATCCTCTACGGTGCCTAAAAGGCAGAGCGGGGAATTCTGGGAGTTGAAACGGGCTCAATCGGAGGACGTCACAGCCACCAAGCTGAGCTTCGGTGCTGAAAAGGCGTAAATCAAGTCAATAAATGAGCAAGCAGCGTGTGAATCTGCAGCCGGCCTCTTCCTTCTCCTCCGTGCCCGTCTGTCAACTTGGCACTTTTGCCAGGGTTTGGCTGGGGAAGGGATCATTGGAGGGACGCTGCCTCCAATGGGAGCCCATTTGCAATGCCCCTTGGCTGGGGCAGACCCTCAGAAGGGGCATGACTTGATGAGTTTCCATCTGTTGCTGCTTGTCCTGCCTTCAGGTGCTTTGGAGGATAGGTTGACCCCCTCTTCTTTGTGGCAGCCCCCCCAAATATTGGAACACTGCTATCGTGTCACTCCTAGTCTTTCGGGGATTGCTCGGCTGCTCACGTTAAAATGCTGGGCGCAGCCAGTGCTGGGTCCGGTCTGCGTGAGGAAGGGGGTCTGGGGGTGGGGGGAGAAGGGATGACCGAGGATAGGGGGGGGGGAGGATTTGAGAACCGGCACTGGTCTTACCGCGGCTGCGCTGGCGGAGAGAATGTAATTACGCGGTCTAGTCTCTTGAAAGTCGGGCACCGCCTACGGAGGGGGAATACAAATTCACACACAGATCACGGGGCGGGAAAAGGGGGGGGCGGGCGTGGGAACTGGCAAGGAAGAGCAATCCTCTGGGTCCCCCAAGGCCTGAAGGGGACGGTTAGGAGGGTCTCCCCAAACCTGAGCGTCCTCCCAATTCTCTTCCGCCCTATTCCTCAGGGCTTAGCATCTTACATGGACTTCAACTCCCAGAATTCTCCAGCCAGCCTGCTTTAAGGCGGATGGACCTCAACTCCCAGAATTCCCCAACAAACATGCTGGCTGGGGAATTCTGGGAGTTGAAGCCCCCCCCCCCCCCCCAGATCTTAAAGGGGCTGAGATTGAGATGCCCTTTCATTCCGAGCAACAGAACAATAATACTTGATTAAACTCGGAGGCTGCCCGACTCTCAACGACTCTACTTGGAAGGCAGAAAATGAAATTACGCCTCCCGCAGGCCGGGGAAGGCAGGGAGCAGCCACGCCGCATACATTTACACCGCCCAGCAGCTCCTGCCTTCAACTCTTCTCGCTCTCAGGCTTGCTTGCTCACGCAGACATACAGCATTCCGAAAAACATGAGGACTAGAAACTTGGGGGGTGGGAGAAATAATGCCAAATTCCACACCAGCCATGCAGGTTTCATGCATTCGAAATCCCAGGCCAGCGGACGAGGAGGAGGAGGTGGAGGAGGAGGAGGAGGAAATGTTCGGCGGGTAAGGGCTGGCGTCCGATGGGCAGGATGGAACCATAAAAGAAATCATTAAAAAAAAACCAAACTTGCGTGCTTGAAAATTGACCGAAATAACAGGTGTTGTAAAAGGGGCACCAATTTCTTGCTAGATGGAATTAATTAGCCATTTAGGACTCTAAAATTTTCTAATAAGAGTTCTGTGATGGTCTTGGCTTTAGAATGACTTTATTTACTGGATTTCTAAGTAGCCCATCTCACGAATACAGCGACTCTGGATAGCTTTGCAATGAAATACGGCCGTAAGTCATTTTTTTTCAGTGCCGCTGTAACTTAGGACGGCCGCTAAATGAGTGATTGTAAGTCAAGGACCATCTATACCGCTGCTTCCTTAACCTGCCAGTGGATTCTCTAAAAAACGGCCTGCTGGCTGCCCTCCTTGGCTGGCACTAGGAGTGGTGCGGTGGCCTAGAGGTGGAGTTCTTGCCTCAAAATCAGGAGGCTGTGAGTTCGATCCTAGGTAGAGGCAGATGTTTCTCTCTCTGGGCACAATGAGAATATATCTGCTGAACAAAACTCAGCACTGGCGACAAGAAGGGCATCCGGCCAATAAACATTCTGTTGCCCAGACTCTACCCTGCAAGGTATTATGGGGTCGTTAAAAGAAGATGATCATATGTCTCCCAGCTAGGCCCATCCACAGGATGATTAAATAAATCCCCATTCTATTCCATCCGTACCTCCAATTCCAAGTTATGAGACCTTGTGAACTAATCCCAGTGGGTTTCCCAAAATTCCAGTTGTGGTTTGCAGGCAGAGACTAAGAAATTGAGCTCGGGGGTGGCTTAAGGATTAAGGAGAGAGAGAGGTCTAGTGGTGAAGGCCAGTAGAAAACCAGGAGATGGGGAGTTCTAGTCTCGTCTTAGGCGTGAAAGCCGGCTGGGTGACTTTGGGCCAGTCCCTCTCTCTCTCTCTCTCTCTCTCTCTCTCTCTCTCTCTCTCTCTCTCTCTCTCAGCCCAACCCACCCACCTCACAGAGTTGTTGTTGTTGTGGGGAAAACAGGAGGAGGAAGGAGTATTATTGGATGTGTTCACCGCTTTGAATTACCCTATAAAGTAATAAAGGTGGGACATAAAACAAAATAAATACAATAAATTCAGCTAGATGTCCATGCTACCCCTTTGTGAAAGCAACGTTTCTTGCTCAAGAGCCCCTTCTCCCTCTCGCCTCCCCACACATGCCATTCTCACACCCCTTCCCCTCCCCAAACAGGGCTGTGTGTAACCTGGGTTCCTTCAAAAAAAAAATTAAATTAAAATCCCAACAGCCTCTTTTTATGGAAGGCAGCTCTCAAAAAAAGAGACCAGTCCAGAAAACAGATCCAGCAATCGTCTCTTCCTTTTCAACCATGTCTTTGCATCTCTTAAGGACTAGAAACTTTAAAACTAAACTTTAGCATTTTGCTGGCACCGTCTACACACAGCCTTGTTTCCCGCAATCCTGCCTTTGAAACCCAGCTCCATATTTGAGGAAGGGGCTCGTTGCCCCCATCCCCAAATCCCTACCCCATTCTCTCCATGCACCCAAGAGGTCTTCTCAAATGATGTCCAAAAAGAATGATGATAATGATGATGCTAATCATAATAATAACAACATCACAGCACTACTAACACAAGTAATACTCACAGTTCCCTCACACTGAGCAAAATAACAGACGAAAATAAATAAATAAAAAAAAAAGAGAGGACAAAACGAAAGCAGAGATTAGTGGAGCAAAGAGCAGGACATAGGAAGGACAAAATATTCAGAATAGCAAAAATAGCGTGTAGGAAACGAAACAAGGCAGGAAGGAACCAAAATCTCCGGCATCGAACGAGGCTTGTTAAAGACGCTTCCGGCTGGATGGGCCAGGATGATTCCTAATTGGATGCTGGTTAAGGTCCCAGGAGGTCTAAGTGTTCAATGAGGACTAGGATATTCGTTGCAGGGAAAGAAAGTTGAAGCAAGGGATCGGGTGGAAAAAAGTTGTGCCAGAAAAACTGGCTGTTTCTTGTCCAGGATTTGCAATTCCTGTTCTGGTTCTCAATTTACAACTGCCATGCCGTAACGGTCGTACAGGCAGGCCCCTGCTCCGTTTTCTTTCTTTTTTGGGGGGTGGGTGGGGGTGGGGTGTGAGGGCAGAATACGTCACAAACATATCAAGCTTTTCCCTTCCTCATCAGAGACACGCACAACACAACCCATCCGGCGGGCGAGAAAGAAGAAGAGGGATGGGATCTGGCGTGCCACGGTGCTGATGGATACACACATGGGGTGGGGGAGCAGGCAGGACGGTGCGGAGGGGGCGAGAGGGGAAAAATTACCGCAGCTTTCGCTTCCGCGGCCCTCGCTTTCTTCAGCCGAGCTTTGCAAGCGTCCAGGTCCAGGCGACGGTTTTGCAGGATCCGTCTCTCTTTCTGGAAAACAGAGAAAAGTCCTGGGTTGGGCTAGATGACCTCCAGAGGTCCCTTCCACCTCTGCTGTTCTGTATTCCGATTTCCCTCGACTGGTGCTTTTGCATTTTTGGAATAGGATATACAGGTAGTCCTCGGCTCAGATTAGCTTAGAGGTAGGTAATAAATAAATTTAATAAATAAATGAATAAATAAATGTACAAATTAAATGCAAATGCACCTGCCGGCTTTGAAAATTTGGCATAGCCCAACAACAATTAACACCTATGAAAATTGGCATTGGAAGCAAATTCCAGCAAAGCCCCGCTTGCTTCGGGCAGGCAAGTGAAGGAGCTCCTTCAATCCAAACGGGCCCCTCTTCCCTCATCCTGCCTGCCCTTCGTTTTTTACGCACCGAAATGGTTCTCCAGTCGCCTTCCAGGAAGTTGCGCAGCGGAGTCAGGAAATTGATGGAAGCTGCGTGGATGAAGTCCCGCTCGGCTCCTCCCAGACGCCGCTCGGTCTCGCCAACTTTGATGAGAGTTTTGCCTACCGAGAGAACAGACGGTTGGCATTTCCTGGGCTTTTGCAGGAAACAATTCGTTCGTTCGTTTCAAGAGTGGGAAGATCTGTCCGTGAATCCCAGAGACTCTGTGCCAAGTTTTGCCTTGCCCTGCGTTTGGAAACTAGTTATCTGGCAGCTTTCCAAGCGAGATAAGGTTTGTGTCGATAAATACTCCTCTGAAAGACTGTTTGGACAAGCCTTGCTGATTGTGAATGAAAGGAATTCACAGCCGTGTAAATAAAAGGGGTTTTGCCGGGATCAAGACTCTGCTTTGTGCTTTTTAGGGAAGCCTAAGTCCGAACAGTGGAGAGGAACGAAGCCTCCGCCGGCCATGACTCACCATAGGGAGAGGTGGCTCCGAAGTCAGTAGCCGCTTCCATCATGTACTGAGCCAAAAGTTCCACATTGGTGACCCGAGATGGGACCTTCCTGTCCAGCTTCTCATAGAGGAACTCTTCCACTCGGGCACCTGTGACCGAACGGACAAATTGTGTTACGCACTGGATGAGGAGAACAAGAGGGCCTTCCTTAGAAAAGGGGGGGGAAAAAACAATAACTTGTGACCGGTCCTAATTTATTAGCACCCCTGCGGGTGCTAATCAAGGCTTACTGGGATTCGGTTGAAGCAGGATCTCCGTCTGTCGTAAAATCTTCTCCGTCCAGTTTTTGGTGGTGTCTGCTCGAGCCAGGAGATTCTCAAAATGCGCGTCTAATTCTGTCTTCTCGGCCTGACCAAGTTTCTCCTCTGTGAACTGCAGGAAGAGAAGGAAAAACCAGCACGAAAGAGATTAGTCCTTAAATTGTAGTTTGAAAAGTAAGGTTGTAGATGAAATTTCTTTATCAGCAAATATAAATTTAGTATAAAATGGTTTGTCGTGAATGCGACTGCCTGAGGGGTCCTGGATTGGAGCTGAAAGGCGAAAGGGAAGCACTACGTTCCCTTCCATATTGGGGTAGACCAGGTGCTTCGACAAAAAAACATCTATCTATCTATCTATCTATCTATCTATCTATCTATCTATCTATCTATCTATCTATGCATTCATTTAGTGACTGTTCAAATGTTACAATGGAACTGGAAAAAAGTGACTTATGACCGTTTTTCACACTTACGACCGCTGCAGCATCCCTGCAGTCACGTGATCCAAATTCGGATTCTTGGCCACTGATTCACATTTGTGACGGTCGCAGTGTCCCCGGGGTCACACGGGTAAGAAAGATTGTAAAATGGAGCAAAACTCAATGATCTTGGTTAGAGCAATGGAAGTTTTCGGCTTAATTTTGGTCATAAGTCAAGGATCTCCTTGCCCCAAGTCTTAATTTTACAAATTCGTTCTACTTAAATAAAACCCCTCAATTTGGTTCCCCAGGGAAATAGTGGGAATTTTCTATTGAGGCCATCCAAGATTTCACAAAACGATATTTTAGGGAAGCCCATGGTCGTATTTGCAATGCTCCTGCAAGCGCTCTCACAAAATGGAGAGGCCTGGTCCAAACACAAACGAAGAAATACCCTGCTTTTAGGGTATTGTAATAAAATATTATACATTATTTCTCCTTTGGCTCTGTAAGAGGGACATGTCACTTATGGAGATGGGCAGATGTAGGCATCAGATCAGTAAATGAATAAATAAAGAAAACCAATCAATAAAAAAAGCATTCTTTTGGCGAGAGGGGGCTATGGGATTCAGAGGCATTGTTGGGAGGGGAAATCTGCAGATATTTTAAGGTCTGCAAACTCTAAACTTGATTTATATCTGGGCATTATGAACTTTTTCCCAGCTAAGAGAGGGAAAAAAAAAAACCTGGCACAAATTCCAATTGACGCCCGTTAAATATTTTATGCCAAAAACAGTTGCTTGGAAGAAAATTTCTCCAAAGGAGCCAAGAGAGACTTGTAACTGCAGAACTAAGCGGATCATTCCACAGCAGGAGGGGAAGGGTAATGAGTGCCTCACAAATTCAAGGTCTCGCTGAAAAAAAAAATATATAATTTCAATTAGCTGCTAATGAAAGAAAAGCACCCGATACCTTGGAAACTCAGTAGCAGCAGCAGCACGATAATAACATATCTTTCTGGATGGTTTTTGTTTCCTGCGCCAGCTGTTTATATTTCCTCTACTTTGGATAATATGAATGCTTAATAAGAAGAAAAGGAACAAAGACCCACAAATAGAAGTAGAATGACTGTGGCAAAAGAAAGCAAGGGTGTTATTTATACAGGGATAGCCCTCAACTTATGACCACAATTAAGCCCCAAATTTTATGTTAGGTAAAGGGAAAGGTTCCCCTCGCACATATGTGCTAGTCGTTCCTGACTCTAGGGGGCGGTGCTCACCTCCGTTTCTAAGCGTCTCCGTGGTCATGTGGCCGGCATGACTCAACGCCAAAGGCGCACGGAAATGCTGATCCCTTCCCACCAAAGATGGTCCCTATTTTTCTACTTGCATTTTTTACCTGCTTTTGAACTGCTATGTTGGCAGAAGCTGGGAAAAGTCACGGGAGCTCACCCCGTTACACGGCACCAGGGATTCGAACCGGTGAACTGCCGACCCTTTCGATTGACAAGCTCAGCGTCTTAGCCACTGAGCCACCGCGCCCCTACTAAAATTTATGTTAAATGAGAAATTTGTTAAGTCAGTTTTGCCCCATTTTTTTTTTTTTTACTTTTCTTGCCACATTTGTTAAGTGAATCATTTCAGATGGTAAATTAATAACACTAACAGGGGAGGGAGGGAAGGGGGGGGAGGGGGGATATTGGACCTGAGTGAAGACTTCACAATGCACAGTACTGGGGCTGATATCTATGCCTATCAGTTTAAGGTGTATGAGAGGACCTGAGTGAAAACTTCATACACAGTCATTTATAACTTGAAATGGGTGGGGGGGAGGAGGGAGAGTGAGGGAGGGAGAGAGAGAGAAATAGAGCAAATGGTGGACCTGAGTGAAGACTTCACAATGCACAGTACTGGGGCTGATATCTATGCCTATCAGTTTAAGGTGTACGAGAGGACCTGAGTGAAACTTCATACACAGTCATTTATAACTTGAAATGGGTGGGGGGGAGGAGGAGAGTGAGGGAGGGAGAGAGAGAGAAATAGAGCAAATGGTGGACCTGAGTGAAGACTTCACAATGCACAGTACTGGGGCTGATATCTATGCCTATCAGTTTAAGGTGTACGAGAGGACCTGAGTGAAAACTTCATAAACAGTCATTTATAACTTGAAATGGGTGGGGGGGGAGTTAAAAAGGCTAAAAACCCGAGTTAAAAGGGCTTCATGTGCTAACGCTAAGGGACAGAAAACAGTGCCCTCGTGTGGGTCAATGTAGGAATCGCAACCACAAAAGGAAATCATTTATCATTTCTTTCCTTTTGTAGTTGCGATTCTGACATTGACCACACGAGGGCACTGTTTTCTGTCCCTTAGCGTTAGCACTGAAGTCATCATAAGGCTTTTAAACTCGGGTTAAGGCTTTTGAAGGAGGTTTCTCTCTTCTTCTGGCCTTTTCTGCAGCCCCTGGGGCTCCCGTTGCCCTATTCATATTAAACATACGGTTTTTAATGATAATAATAATTCCAAGTGCTATTGAAGAATGGACATTAAAAGTAGTGAATTTAGCAGAGATGGCCAAAATTTCAGCGTATTTGAAGGACCATTCAAATGAACCATATTGCGACGCTTATCTATTTTTAAGCTGTAAATTAAGATCTGGTTGAAGACTGCATGGTGCACACCAATTCATATCTTTAAATGGGAGGGGGGGAAGAGAGAGTGAGCAAGAGGGAGGGGGGGAGAGAGAGAGAGAGAGAAAGAGAAAAAATGCTGGACCTGAGTGAAGACTTCACAATGCACAGTACTGGGGCTGATATCTATGCCTATCAGTTTAAGGTGTACGAGAGGACCTGAGTGAAAACTTCATAAACAGTCATTTATAACTTGAAATGGGGGGGGAGGAGGAGAGTGAGGGAGGGAGAGAGAGAGAAATAGAGCAAATGGTGGACCTGAGTGAAGACTTCACCATGGACAGTACTGGGCTGATATCTATGCCTATCAGTTTAAGGTGTATGAGAGGACCTGAGTGAAGACTTCATACACAGTCATTTATAACTTGAAATGGGTGGGGGGTTGAGGAGGAGAGGGAGGGGGGAGAGAGAGAAAGAGAAAAAATGCTGGACCTGAGTGAAGACTTCACCATGCACAGTACTGGGGCTGATATCTATGCCTATCAGTTTAAGGTGTATGAGAGGACCTGAGTGAAGACTTCATACACAGTCATTTATAACTTGAAATGGGGGGGGAGGAGGAGAGTGAGGGAGGAGAGAGAGAGAAATAGAGCAAATGGGACCTGAGTGAAGACTTCACCATGGACAGTACTGGGCTGATATCTATGCCTATCAGTTTAAGGTGTATGAGAGGACCTGAGTGAAGACTTCATACACAGTCATTTATAACTTGAAATGGGTGGGGGGTTGAGGAGGAGAGGGAGGGGGGAGAGAGAGAGAAATAGAAAAAATGCTGGACCTGAGTGAAGACTTCACCATGCACAGTACTGGGGCTGATATCTATGCCTATCAGTTTAAGGTGTATGAGAGGACCTGAGTGAAGACTTCATACACAGTCATTTATAACTTGAAATGGGGGGGGGGTTGAGGAGGAGAGGGAGGGGGAGAGAGAGAGAAATAGAAAAAATGCTGGACCTGAGTGAAGACTTCACCATGCACAGTACTGGGGCTGATATCTATGCCTATCAGTTTAAGGTGTATGAGAGGACCTGAGTGAAGACTTCATACACAGTCATTTATAACTTGAAATGGGGGGGGGGAGGAGAGTGAGGGAGGGAGAGAGAGAGAAATAGAGCAAATGGTGGACCTGAGTGAAGACTTCACCATGCACAGTACTGTGGCTGATATCTATGCCTATCAGTTTAAGGTGTATGAGAGGACCTGAGTGAAGACTTCATACACAGTCATTTATAACTTGAAATGGGTGGGGGGGGGAAGGAGGAGAGGGGGGTTAGAGAGGGAGAGAGATTGTGGTGAAGGAACCCGAGCACAGGCCTCCCTGTGAAGCAGAAAGAAAGTATGAAGTGTGTCAGCCTGTTTGGTTGAATGTAACAGGAACACAGTTGGAAGGGACCTTGGAGGCTATCTAGTCCAATCCCCTGCTCACGCAGGAGACCTGTTCTAGGGATTCGAACCGCCGAGCTGCCGACCTTTCTGATCGACAAGCTCAGCGTCTTAGCCACTCAGCCACCTAGCTTATGCACTTGTATATGGAGATGCATTAGCAAAAAGTACAGCACATTACTGTGACTTATATCCATGTTTAAATGTATGTGAGGAGGACCTGAGTGAAGACTTCATGGTGCACAGTAATTTATACCTTTAAAAGGGGGGGGGGCGAGGGGTGTGTGTGTTACTGGACCTGAAATGAAGACTTCACAATGCACAGTAATGTGGCTCCTCTATTTAGCTCAGAGAGCACCAAGGACCTCACGGTCCTCCTCCTCCTCCTCCACTCCGCAAAGCCCTCTTCCCTTCTAGCACTGATGAAGTTACCTAGTTGGGTCATGTAACGTCTGCAAGGAAACCACCAAGCTCAGAGAGCACCAAGGACCCCACAGTTCAACCCTATTCTCCTTTATTGGCATTTGGGGGACGGACGGACACACAACCAAAACCGCCTCACAACTGAGATCTTTTCACTACTCCTCTGAAATCAGCTGGGCTCCGGATGGCCCAATTCCCACATCCAAACTACTGCCCTTCAAAAGAAAACCCAGCGCTAAAACACCATTGAGATGAGGATGCGGATGGTTATTTGTTATTTTCCTGGAAATGGTACACAAAAAACAACTTGAAACTTTCCCGTGAACGACACCAAGCCAACCCCACACAAGAGAGCGAACTGGTGACTCAGCCCCCAGCCGGCCTCCCCCAGGTTTCAGCTCGCAAAGAAACTTGGCTGATGAATTACCAGCCGGTCCGGTTTCCGAAGCTCAACTTCAGCCGTTATGAGCTCAGTCAAGTGTAAAGAGGCAGCAACTGCAGTATTCTCTTTCCCATCGTCCTGCCTGCGTCCCAAACCCCAAGGTTAAGGATTCTGCGGAAGAATTTCTCTCTCCCATCCTTGGCCTTCAGGCACCAAAACTCCGGTTCTGCAAGCCGCTCGTTTTGATGCCCCCCCGCCCCCCGAATCAAAAGAACAGGGATTCCTCGACTTATGGCCACAACTGAGAGCAGAATTCCCACGGCTAAGCAAGGAAGGGGGTGAAGTTAACCCTTGCATGGTTTTTACGATCGTTTTTGCTCACGACCGAATCACCGGCGCCGTCGTTCAGCGGATGGTGTTGTTGTGTTAAGCGAAGCCAACTTCCTCCGTCGACTTTGCTTGTCAGAAACTGGATGGGAAGGTCGCCAAAGGGGGAAATCGGGTGCACCCAGGATGCTGCAACAGGCATAAGTCCATGCCAGTTTCCAAGCACCGGAATTCTAATCACATGACTACGGAGACGCTGCAATGGTCCCCAAGCATGAAAAACGGTCACAGGAAGTCACTTTTTTCAGTGCCATTGTAACTGCAAACGGTCACTAAATGAAGGACTACCTGTATCTCAACCGCCCATAAAGAGCTTTTGGGGTTCTTCGTGGCTTGTTAAATATAAATTGCTTAGAAAATAAACATGCCAGGTGGGCTCAGGGGATGCAGGCTTCCACAAGGAAACCTCTTTACCTATCCAGGTGAGAGGACAGGTGAGAAGTAAGTAAAGGTGACAGGAGACTTCCGGAAGGGCGGGCAGAGGAAGTAAGAGGGAGAGAAAGTTAGCAATTGGATAATTTTATAACTGGCCCATCGGACCCAGCCTGGCATTGGAAGGATCCAGGCTAAAATTCCCACTGCAGGTTGCAAAACTGTAGCTCTTCCCCCCGCCTTCTCTCCCTCCCTTTCCTCCCCCCCCCCCCCCCGGGCAAACAGGCCTGGTTGCAAAAAAGCAACTCAGAGGCTCAAAGTAACTGTGCAAAGGGTTATTTCCAGAACATGGTCAATGCAGCGGCTGTAAAACCGGAACAATGCATCTCCCGAAAGGCTGAGGTTTCATTTCAGCCAAGGCTTGCGCCGAATTGCACCGCCGGCTGAAAAAGAAAACAGGGAAGCAGCATTTTCTGCTTTGCTCCAACGGCCCCCATCTTCCCTTTCTTCCACCCTCTTTCCAAAGATCACCCCCTCCCCTTTTTCTAAAATTCAAAAGGAAACCCGCTAAAAAGGACTGAATGACTCTGTAAAAGAGGGAGCAGTTCCCTTTTTTTAAAGTATATGTATGTGCGCGTAAAGATAATATATATTACAGTATAGGGAAATTAAATAATTTATATACAATTGTAAATATGCATTGCAATTTGTGAATAAATGGTAACATAATGCTGCAAACATATTGCGAGTATATATAAATTACTAGTCACATTGCATATTTTGTTTGTATCCCTCTTTATTCTTTATAAATAACTCAAGGCAGCATACATACCCCATACGCTTTCATCCTATTTTCCCCACATCAGCACCAAATAAGCTTTGCAATAAATACATGTATTAAATACTCATACAACATTGCAAATATATATATTACAGTGTGAATACATTTTAAATAAAACATACAATTACATTGCAGTATAATAAAAATATAATAGCCCGGCAAATATACATCGCAATAAAACAAAATCCTAAAATTTCCATCAACAGTTATCAACCCTGAAGCTGCCTGAAGTTGTGACATCTTGAAAAGCAGAAGCGAAGCGATCCGCAATAAATAATTTGGACGGCAAACCCGAGAACCATCTGTCTGGAGGCACCTTTGGCGTACATTTTTTTCACAAGATGCAACAGGGAGAAGCGGAACCTGGGGTGGCTTAATGGCTGAGCTGAGCAAGTCCAGAAGGAAAGCAGAAACCTGTTTTGCTTTCAGAGTCAACAGGAGGAGGGTTGGCTCCCTGCTTGGACCTGGAGTTTATACAAGCTATTCAGCAGACATGGGGAAGAAATGGAGGTAGTGACAGATTTTATTTTCCTGGACTCCAAGATTACCGCAGATGGGGCCTGCAGCCAAGAAATTTAAAAGACGCTTTCTCCTGGGAAGGAAATCTATGGCAAATCTAGACAGCATCCTAAAAAGCAGAGACATCACCCTGCCCACAAAAGTGTGTATAGTCAAGGCTACGGTTTTCCCAGTTGCAATGGATGGCTGGGAAAGTTGGACCATAAGGAAGGCTGAGCGCCAAAGAATGGAGGCCTTTGAACTCTGGTGCTGGAGAAGTCTCCTGCGAGTCCCTTGGACTGCAAGGAGATCCAACTGGTCAGTCCTAGAGGAGATCAACCCTGACTGCTCTCTAGAAGGCCAGATCCTGAAGAGGAAACTCAAATCTTTGGCCACCTAAGGAGAAGGAAGGACTCCCTGGAGAAGAGCCAAATGCTGGGAAGGATGGAGGGCAAAAGAAGAAGAAGGGGACGGCAGAGAAGGAGGTGGCCAGATGGAGTCACCGAAGCAGTCGGCGTGAGCTTCAATGGACTTCAGAGGATGGTAGAGGACAGGGAGGCCTGGAGGAACGTTGTCCATGGGGTCGCGATGGGTCGGACACGACTTTGCAACTAACAACAACAGTAAATCAGCAGACATCAAGTCACCCTTTCCTCATTAACAAGTCAGGAAAGAGGCTGAGCTGGGACAAAGAATTCCTACCCAATTATATACTAGTATATAATCTTTTTTCTCTTCTTCCAAACACCAGCCATGTTTCATTCTATTTCTCTATATTTTATTCCTTCTGCAATGGAGCCCCATCTTCAGAAAATGTCCGTTTGTCTAGCAAGCAATGATCCACTGATCAGAAATAAGAGTCCCATCCTTCGAAGGGCCAGATGCAACCTAGAGGGGACGTTTGTGGAACAGATTTCTCTTCCATGGCCTACCCAAGGACCAGGTTGTGACATTTTTACTGCCTCTTTTTTTTTCTCCCCACCAAGTTTGAACTGCAAGGTCAGCAGGACAGGTCCCCTATGTTTGAGATACCTTCAGACCAAGGTTTATTTCCTCCTCCTGCTGCAGCCTTCGGGAAAGCGGCCTTTACAAACACACCGGGCAAAACCCAAATTCAAAAGGTGGAAGGGATGTAGAGACCAGCAAGGTTGCACAGTCACCATTCTGGAGTCTTTAGGAAACCGTCAGTTGCCAAATGCAACCCGATGATGGCTTAACCCTTGGTGGGCGAAAGCAGCCAGCTGCGTGCAGTGCGCACCCCGGGAAGGAACAAACAAACAAACCGAAACAAAACCACAAAGCATCTCTCTGTGCATTCATTCAGACAAGCAGAGATGGACAGGGGAGGCGTCAAGGCGGGTTTTGCAGGACCCAATCCTGAATTTCAGCTGACGGCTGGCCTGTAGCGCCCGGAGCAGAAATGGGAAGCTCGCCCTTTAAATCCACGCAGGCCTCGTTCACATAACCCCGAAGCACCCAACATCTCCAGCCAACCAGCTGCAACCCGACTCACCCACCCACCTGCCCATCCATCCATCCATCCATCCTCCCTGGCCTAGCCCGGCATGTTGCATTAAGTCAGATCCCGGTTGGGAAGGGAGTGGAGAATGAAAAACACTCGACCTATTTCTTCGGGTGCCTCGCCTTCCCTTCCCACGCTTCTCTAGCACGCGGGGTGGTGGTAGTGGAACAAGCCAGTCTGCCCTCCTCTTCCTCCTCCTCCTCCTGCACCCTGACACTCCTTGCAGACACGCGTTAGACTCGCAAGTGGCATCATCAACCAAGCCCCGAGCTACCCAAAGAAGCCCCCTCCCCTCCAGCTTCACGCAACGGCCCGATTCAGACGACCAGGCGGGGAAAGAAGCGGTTCCCACCCCGCCTGGAAAGCCCCCCGACCCCAATCTACCTGCACGGCCCGGGTGAAGAAGACCCCCGCATCCGAGGCCAGCTTCTTCATGTTGAAATCCATGGGAAAAGCGGCGAGGGCGACGGCTGGCTGGCTGGCTCTCCCCGCAACAGAGCGAGCCGGCTGGGCTGGGCTGGCGCTGCGGGCAGGCGAGGAGGAGGAAGAGGAGGAGGGGGAGGCGGAGAGCAACGCCAGCGAACGGCCGCCAGGCTCGAGCGCCGCCAACGCCCCTCCCCGCCCAGCCAGCCAGCCAGCCAAGCAGCCCCTTAAAGGCACCCAGCTCTGCCGGAGCTGTCCAAACCGCGCGTAAAAACGCAGCCTTTTTACGCACCGTTTGCCAATTGCAAGGCTCCGTCCCCGGAGTAGCACATAGAACCGAGAATAAGCAGGAGTTTGGAAGGGACCCTAGAGGTCATCTAGTCCAGCCCCCTGCTCGAACAGGAGACCCTACCTAGACCGTTTCAGATAAATGGTTGTCCAGTCTCTTTTCCAAAAAGCCTCCGGTGATGGAGCTTTGAGGGGAGAGCCTTTTCTGTGAGGGCACCCCCAGAGATACAGAAGATTCCAGATCTGCGCACTTTCCGCCGTGCCCTCAAAACATTCCTGTTTCAGCAGGCCGGCCTGGCCTAACTTTCCCTTTATATTGCTTTTTGATTTTATTTTAAACTGGATGTCTTGAATTATCTAGGACCAGAATGTTTAGTATATTTTAATTGGTTTTTTATTATTAACGTTTGTATTACATGTATTTTTATCGTTCGCTGTTCACCGCCCTGAGTCCCTTAGAATAGGGCGGTATATAAATTTAATAAATAAATAAATAAATAAATCCACGACTTCTGGAGACAAGGCGACCCACTGTTAATCGTTCTCACTGTCAGGAATAACGGAATAGAATAACAGAGTTGGAAGGGACCTTGGAGGTCTTCTAGTCCAACCCCTCGAGCAGGAGACCTTTTCCCATTGCGGACAAGGGGCTGTCCGATCTCTTCTGTAAAACCCTCCAGTGATGGAGCACCCACGACTTCTGGAGGCAAGTCGTTCCACTGGTCAATTGTTCTCACTCTCAGGAAATTCCTCCTTAGTTCTAGGTTGCTTCTCTCCTTGATTAGTTTCCGTCCTTTGTTTCTTGTCCTGCCCTCAGGGCTTTGGAAAATAAGTTGAAACCCTCCCCCCTTCTTTGTGGCAGACCCTCAAATACTGGAAGATGCTATTTAAACAGTAAAAGAGTTGGAAGGGACCCTTGGGGGTCATCTAGTCATGTCACCCCTTGTCCTTCTCGTCATTCAACTTGTTAGTTGCGAAGTCGTGCCCGGCCCATCGTGACCTCATGGACAATGTTCCCTCCAAGCCTTCCTGTCCTCTGCCATCTTTTGGATACCCAAATTCCTGCAACCGTTCTTTGTAAGGTTCAGCCTCCAGGCCCCCAACTTCTTGCTCTTCTCTGCAACGATTAGGGGGCCGGAGAGGGCCGCCCTCTGGTTGCAAAAGGAGCAGAGCCATGGGAAGTGTTGCGGCCTTTGCTAAAGATGGGTTAGAATCACCAGCCAAAACCAGGTTTAATGTCACCATCTTCCAGGTTCCAGGTTTGTGCATCTTATAAAAGTAACAATAAATCAATTTATAGTTTGTCTTGTAGGAAGCCAGAGATAAAACCTTTTATTCCTATTTTAATTTAAATCGCAATTAATGCCCTGCTCAAAACAGAATTCTCATTCAAATAAGGGCGGAAAAAAGAAAGGTCCAGAGTCCTGCATGTTTCTAGTCCCTGTTTTTATTTCATTCCCATGGCATAGCCTCTAGCCAAGTGCAGAAGGCATTGCCCTTTTAACAAGAGCCCCGCCCCTCCGCTTTCCACGTCGCGGCCGGAGCCAATCAGCTCTAAAGCCACGCCTCCTTTTCCCATTGGGGAAACAAGGACGCCGCTTTGGTTGCTCAACCGCACTAGATTCTCTTGCGGTAAGTAAGGTAAGCGACCAAAGGGTGGCTATTGGTCCGCTCTGGGACGGGGTGCAGTTTCAATTGGCTCGGACGGTTGGCAATCTGCGGTCTCACTCCGGGGCTCCGCCCCTAGGCGGAGATTAGACAAGCTAGTCTGCGCGGCTGCGATCGAACCGGGAAGGAGACGCTGTCCTTCTGCAGCCATGGCGAGCGGAGCGGTGTGGTGAGAGCTCCCCCCGATTAGGAGAATGGTATTGGCTACGTGGCTTAGGTCAGACGGGCGGCGGACTCTTCCATTATGGGTTGTGGGGGGGGGATGTTTTAAGATGACTTTTTTTTCTTGCATAGCCGGCTTTCTACCGGGGCTGGGAAAGTGGATCTCTCCCAAACAGGCGCCTTGGATTGTGTGTGACAGCTGCTAATCATTTATGCACGCCCAGCGGGTTTGCTGACAGGCAGGCGGCAGGGGTAGCCGCAAAGTGCAAAGGTGTGCAAAAGGCACGCAACCAGCCGGTTTCGCGTGTGCAAGCCCTCTCGCCCCCGTCTCTTCGGTGCATGCTAAGCAGGTTCGTCTGTGAGCAAAAAAGGGAAAAAAAAAAAAAAGCTGGGGAAATGAAGAGTAGAGCCCCCAGGTCCAGGAGCAGTCTACCTGGGATGCCTTTTTTTTAATGCATGGGTTGGATGCTTCAAAGGCTAGCTTTTCAAGGAAACAGGAAAGGTCTTTTAAACTCACCATTTTGCTTGGGGCTTCTCAGCCAGAAGGGAAAAAAAATAATGGAACAAAAATGTTCTGGAGAGAAAAAAAATCCTAACCAGAAAAATTACGATATTTGAGTGGCAGTTGTGCATCAAAAACTTTCCTTGAGTTACGTCAAGCTTTACTTCATCAATTCGGGGAAAAAAACCTTGATAATTTCGTCGTTTAGGGATGCAACGATAGCGCATCAAAATAGCCATTGCAAGAATTGTGTCCTCGTTATTGATTTGACATAGCTTTGAGGTTATCTATTAGGTTGTATGATATAATATAGCCTTTTTTTCATATGTGTTTTCCAGAAGGAGTTGCCATAAATTAGGCTCGGCTTGTATTAGTTAGGAGCTCTGCAGAGACTGGCTGGACGAGATATTGTAATCAGGGAGTAAACCAGAAACTTTCTCATTTGTGTTCTCTAATTTGCGTTAAAAATGTTTTTGTATGTGTTGAGCGTAAAACACCCCCTTTCTGAGCAACAGGGAATTGTTGAAATGGGCCATTTCAAACTCGGATTCTGTGAGAATAAATACATAAATAAAATTGAGTTGGTCACATTTAGGAGTGCCACAGCTCGTCATAAGTTAAGGACTACCTGGAATGAGATTGATCTATCATACAACCATAAGCCGTGCTGACTCTCTTCTGGCATTTCTGAAAAACGTTGTAAATAAATCTTCATCCAATGGAGTTTGTCCTGAACTTTAAAAATTAACCCGGTCCAACATTTTCGTTCTTCTGGTGTAACTGTTTTGTGTCTTGTTCCTCTTTGAGTTTTCCACCATTTTTCCAACTATTTTTTTTTTGCCTTTGCTCCAGGAAATAGATGCACTTCCGAAGGCTGATGGTTGGATCCTGCGCGACGCTGGACTGCTGTGTGAACAGCACAACCTCGGTGGCGACAACCCGAGCACGTTTCCAACATGGCCTTTCAGAGGACGGAGGGCATGTCCATTATCCAGGCTTTGGCCATGACCGTAGCAGAGATTCCCGTTTTTCTTTACACCACATTTGGACAGGTAAAAGAAGGGGAGGGGGAGAGATTTTTAACAATGATTTACAGCGTAGCAGGCTGTCTAAAACACATGATGTTGGCTTGTTTAAGGAACCTCACATGATTTTGCACATCATTGTTAACTCCAGAGGGATGTGGTTTGGCTTGGAGTTAGTCTGTTTTTTGAACTCCAAACCGTGAAGTTTTCAAAGAACTTGAAGATGTGTGGACTTCAACTCCCAGAATTCCCCAGCTAGCACAGAATATGAATCCATCTGATAGAGTTTAGTCTTTGACTTACAACCATTCGTTTAGTGACTATTCAAAGTTACAACAGGGCTGGCAGGTTGGCAGCCATTGTTTTTTCGGCAGTTCTGATGATCCTCTGAAGTCTGTGTCTGTCTTGTTGGGTTGCAGAGCCAAACCAGACAGTGATAGAAGTGCAGATGACAGCCTCAGTAGTTGCTCTGTAGAACTGGATGAGAAGCTCCTTGGGCAGTTTGAGCTTCCTGAGTTGGCGCAGAAAGAACATTCTTTGTTGTGCTTTTTGGATGACGTTTTTGATGTTAGGTGTCCGTTGAACCGATCAAAGTGTCCAACTCTGGTGTGGTGTGCGACGGGTGAGCCTTTTCTTTGCATAGATGGTAAAGTTGCCTTGTTTTGCTTTTCCCACTCTTAAAGTCGGCCTTCTCTGCTCTGAGACTCACTCCCGGTCTCCGGAAGGTGCTCTTCGCCACGGCTCTCGGGACGGTGGCTTTGGCCTTGACGGCGCACCAGTTAAAGCGTCGACGGCGACGGAAGAAACAAATAGCTCCAGAGAAGTCCAGCACTAAGCCTCTGGTGGTCCCGGTACCCATCTTGCCCACCCGCCGGGTGCCCTCGGTGAAGAAAGGTGATGACGATCAAAGCTGTCTCCTTCCTTGTTGCTCACACAGCAGATACTGTTTGAGTTTCCAAACATCTCTCAACTCTCTCACACACTGACAGGATGCTAGCCAGATGAATACCGATGGATGCTGTGGGCTGGGACATTCTACTCCCCCTCTGTTCCAACTGCCAGTTGCATTATATTAACACACACTGATGCTACAGAGTTACACATTCCACATTAAGTTTCAGGCTGCAAGTGTCAGTTTATCAAGCCCGAGCACATAGTTTCGTAGTGTCCAGCTAGTTATTTTTATAAGTCGCAAATATAGCGAATACTCCTTTGTCCTCCTATTTTCCGTGCAACAACAACTTTGTGAGAAGTTGGGAGAGAATGAGTAGCTCAAAGACACCCAGACAGCTTTCATACCTAAGCAGGACTAGAACTCACGCTCTCCTGGCGATGGGCTCATAGTCACCCAGCTGGCTTTTGTCCCTTTAGGTGGGACTAGAATTCACCGTCTCTCCTGGTGATCGGCTGAAAGTCACCCAGTTGGCTTTCAGCGTTGTGCACTAGAAACTTGTTTTTTTTTTCTCTCTCTCTCTCTCATTTACTTGCATTTTCTCTAATTTCAGGTTATTCCGGCCGTCGGCTGCAGAGTCCCAGCAGCAAAAGCAATGACACTCTAAGTGGAATCTCCTCCCTGGAGCCCAGCAAGCATTCCAGCTCTTCGCACAGCCTGGCCTCCGTAAGAGATGCTTGGGGAGGGGTCCTTCAGCCCCACCTGGTGAGGGGAAGCAGCTGCAACAAGTAGTCCCTGGGCTTCCATCAGCTTATTTAGTGACCTTTCAAAGCTACAACTTTGACTTATGACCGTTTCTCACCTTTACAACAGTTGCAGCCTCCCCGTGTTCACCTGATCAAAATTCAAACACTTGGCAACTGGCATGGACTTATGACGGTTGCAGTGTCCTGGGGGGGGTCATGCGATTCGCTTCTGCGACCTCCTGACCAGCAAAATCAATGGGGAAGGCCAGATTCACTCAACGACCTTGTTACTAACTTAACAAACTGCAGTTTGTGTCACAGCCTTTAGCTAAAAATTCATCCTTCCCTGCAGAAAATTGTGAGTTGAAGATAATTGCAAGTGTTTTGAAGTAGGGCTAGATAATGAGTTGTTTTATATCTGGATCTGGTGCATGGTAAGTATAGTGGCATTCCTCCCTGTATAAACATCTGTGGAATTACAGGCTGCCTGTCTGCAGAAGAAACGTGTTTGAAAAAGGCAAAGAAATTTATGGATAGAAATACAAGGAGTCCTTGACTTACGTCCTCGGACAGCGCTGGCTCTTTGGCTTTGAAATGGAGATGAGCACCGCTTCCTAGAGTCAGGAATGACTAGCACATATGTGCGAGGGGAACCTTTACCTTTACATACCTATTTTCTCTTCTTCAAACACCTCCCCACCTTCTCTCTGTTTAAAGGATAGCTCGAGTTTGCTTTTCAAAAGATTAAAAGGTAGTCTCTTGAGTTAAACATTTTTCCAAGACTTCCCTCCCTGAAAATTTCAATTTTATGTTTCACAGGGGTGTTGCAGGGAAAATAGGAGGAGGAAGGAGTATAAGGTATATTCAATGCCTTGAGTTATTTGTAATAATAATAAAGGCAGGATACAAATAGTTGAGATCGTTTACTGGTACGTTTGAGGTGATTGACAGATGACAATCCTGTTTCCATGGGGTTTTTCTCATTCTAGATGGCGGTTGTGAATTCCCCCAGCCCGACCCCAGCTGCTGCAGCCCCCTGGGAAGCCCATTTGGGGGGAGAAGACCCTGGTGCTGCTGGGGATTGCAATGCAGAAAACCTCTATTTTCAAGGTAAAGGGGTTTCCAGAATACCCCAGCCAGCATAGGTGGGCTTCAGCGCCCAGAATCCCTCAGCCTAGCAAACATCAGCTTAGGGTGCCAAGAGGAGGCTCAAATCTGGTTGTTGCTGATCATTTGGGGGTCTCTCTTCCTTGCCAGGCATGGAGCTGTTTGAAGAGGCCCTGCAGAAGTGGGAGCAGGCCCTGACCGCCCGTCAGAGGGACCCCTCCAGCCTCTCTGCCTCTTGGGTCGTCCCCAAAGAGGAAGAGCTGCTGCTGCCTGAAGATCTGTGTGAGGTACGGATCCTTCGGCAATTTCGGGTCTCCTGGGAAACATCGCGTTCAGGAGATGCTGCCCCAGAGCTGGTAAAATCTAGAATCCCTTTGGAGATGACTATATGGACACCATCACCAAGTTGGCTTATTTTCAGCACCGTTTCCTGGCAGAAATGGCTGGGTAAACCATTCAGGAATGACAACCAAGAGGAGCAAATTCTACTTTATTGCAAAGCTACCGTATTTTTTGGAGTATAAGATGTTTCGGGCTGTAAGACGCACCTACCTTTTTTGGGAAGGAAAACAAGAAAAAAAATCTGCCTCCCAGCAATTTTTCTCCTTGCAGCAAACAGCCTGTTTCATTTTCAGCACAGCCTGATTAGCACAAGAAAAAAAAAATCTGCGTCCCAGCAATTTGCCTGCTTGCAGGAGGCCCGCACGGCAATAGACAATGGCAATCCCTGCAGGCTGAAACAGCTGATGGTCGGGAGGCCGGTCCAACCGGCAATCAGCTGCTTGTGCTAAGCAGGCTGTGTTGAAGCTGAAATGGGCTGTTTGCTGCAAGGAGGCAAATTGCTGGGAGACAGAGGCCAAAGGGGGGGGGCAGCAGGTGGGCGGGGCTACATTCAGTGTATAAGACACACAATTTCACCTCTTTTTTGGGGGGGGGAAGTGCATCTTATACTCCAAAAAATACGGGTACACTATTAACAGAGGCTTAAGTACCCATATCCGGAATTTTGGTTTCTGAAGGCCGCTGATCCTCATTTTATGTCGTGTGCAGCCACGTCTGTCTTTTTTGCTGCAGGAATCTCAGAAAAAAGAATTTGCAGACAAGCTGGAATTGCTCCTCTACCGGGCCTATAACCTGCAGGAGGAATTTGGATCCAGCCTGTCAGCCGATAACATGTTACTTGATTTAGGTGAGTAGAGACAGTTTCCTAATTCCGGGAGAAACTGACCGTGTCCTAATTCAAGACCAGGAAGTCTCCAAACCTGGCAACTTTTAAGACTTCTGGACTTCAACTTCCAGAATTCCTCAGCCATCTTAATAAAGGAGAATCTTTGTAGCTCGGGGTAGACGTTTCAGTACCCAACTTGGTAACATCATCAATGCGATTGTAGGAAGTCAGCACCCACCCCTTTCCTAGAGGAATGAAATATTTTGGGAAATATTAAAAAGGCAGCATATTATGTTTCCCTGTATGAGAAATGGAGAAGCATATTTTAAAGACAAAGCAGCTCCCACCTTCCTACCCCCACCCTTTGTCAATGGGCCAGAGGCAGAAACTCAATCTTGGAAACTCATCTGCAACACAATAGCAACAGAAACTAACACAATGAGACCCTTCAGGACAGAAACTCACCACATGGCACCTGGGGAGATTACATCAGCCAGCAAGGCTAGCTAAGACCCCCACCCCCTGGGAGTCTGACAACCAATCAGGAGACTCTTTCGGGGCCCCAGGAAGTTCAAAGCCAGAGAGAGCATAAAACCCGGGGACTCGATGTATCTCATCCCTTTTTCTGTTCAGGAACTCAAGCCATGTGATCCTGTCCACCATTAAACCATCTTTCCAAGCAGTCTCCATGTTTCCAGTGTCTTTTTCCCCACTTGGAGCTGAACCCAGAAGGATATTTCTTCCAACACTAGTAAGGAGAGCTGTTTGCTGTCAGTTTATATTCTGGTGTCTTGGCTATCTGTGTGGGTGGAGAGTGGTCTTAGAGATTCTCTGGCAGGGCTGTTTACTGATGGTTCTTTGGCAGTTCTTTGATTGGGGTATTGTCTACTTGATTGTTGTTGTTGGTTGCGAAGTTGTGTCCTACCCATCTGGACCCCATGGACAACGTTCCTCCAGGCCTTCCTGTCCTCTACCATCCTCTGGAATCCATTTAAGCTCACGCCAACTGCTTCAGGGATTCCATCCAGCCACCTCCTTCTCTGCCGTCCCGTTCTTCTTTTGCCCTCCATCGTTCCCAGCATTAGGCTCTTCTCCAGGGACTCCTTCCTTCTCCTTAGGTATCCAAAGTATTTTGAGTTTCCTCTTCAGGATCTGGCCTTCTAAAGAGCAGTCAGGGTTGATCTCCTCTAGGACTGACCGGTTGGATCGCCTTGCAGTCCAAGGGACTCGCGGGAGTCTTCTCCAGCACCAGAGTTCAAAGGCCTCCATTCTTTGGTGCTCAGCCTTTCTTACGGTCCAACTTTCACAGCCATCCATTGCAACTGGGAAAACCGTAGCCTTGACTATCACACTTTTGTTGGCAGGGTGATGTCTCTGCTTTTTAGTAGGCTGTCTAGATTTGCCATGGCTTTCCTCCCCAGGAGCAAGCGTCTTTTCATTTCTTGGCTGCAGGCCCCATCTGCGGTCATCTTGGAGCCCAGGAAAATAAAATCTGTCACTCCCTCCATTTCTTCCTCAACTGATGTTAACTTTTGAGTTAATCTATGTAGATCTGGGTACTGATTGCTGGTGGAGAGGTACTTGGGTCTTTAATTAGCCATCAATAGGCACATAGACATTAACAGTTATCTATGGACTATGCAAAAGCCCAAAAAGGAACAAAAAAAGACTCCAGCACTCTCCACCAGCAATCAGCACCCAGATCAGCACAGATAACGCCAAGGTTAACTTCAGACCAACACTTAAGAACTAAAAAATTCCCCAATCAGGGAACTGCCAAAGAGCCAACAATAAAGAACCAAAGAATCTCTTTAAGATCTCTCCCACCCATCCAGACAGGGCAAACCCCCAGAATATAAACCGAGAACAAACCGCACTCCTTACTTGCCCTGATGATGTTACCTTGTCCAGGTAATGAAAGGTCTTCAAGAAAACAAGGAAGCTCGGACAGCACCAAGGACCCCCTTTTAACTCTTAAGTCACAATTTGATGTCAACAATTTTATTTTCATTGTATTTTACTTGTACCGAGATGGTTTCTAAAATGTTGGTTTGTCTTCCAGGAAGGCTGTGGTGTTCCTGGTTTTACGTTGCCCATGACTCAAATAAACCACCGTTAACACCTCAAAATTTTTCTTATCCTCTCTCTTAGAGCAAACTCTGATGTTCCCACTGACCGAACAGTCTCTAAGGCGTCAACAAGGTGATGAGGAAGAAAGCGTGACCTCCGAGGAATCCTTTTTCTCCGCTGCGGAGGTAATTTGAACCCTGCGCCGTGTTTTTCCTTCTTTACTTATTCATTATATTTGTACGGCTCTCCCATCTCTTAGAGCGATGTGGCTCTAAATGGCTTTGCCGGAAAACATGACATCCTGTATTTAAATAGTCAAGATTGAAGTTTCCGAGCAGTCTCCTAGGACTGCCCCATACGAAAAGTCTTAAGTAGTAGTCAAGGCTACAGATACCAAGCTGCTTTTGGCTTGGTTTATAATTGTGATATGTCTTTGAGGAGCCTCTTGGGGACCTCTAATGTTTAAGAAATCTGATGGTTTCTGCTTTTTTACCTCAGATCTTTGACGCCCTGGAAATCGAGAAGACCCCATACCAGCCTTCTAAGCCAGCTGTTGCCTACGAAGAAGCATTGCAGTTGGTGAAGGATGGATTGGTTTTGTGCAGGACCTTTCGGTGAGTTCGGGGTAGGCGGGCCTTAGGATATTTATCTCCCCCTGGTGTGGCATCAAGGTCACTATGGATCTGATGGACTCCATGAGAGATTTTAGCTTGTTCCTTACTCTTACTCCTTATCTCAAACTGAATGTAGCCAACACAACGTTCGTTAGTTAGACCCTTCCAAATGTATCAAGGGCATAGTCCTCAAGAGTTCCTAGCTCTTGGTTCTATAGGTAGAGAATTCTGGGAGTTGAAATGCCGAGATATTTGGAGGATGGGTCAAATCACAGATCTCAAGAGTTCCAGATTCTCCTGGTTCCCCATTCCAGGAGTATGTGGTGAAGCTGAGATTCCTAGGCTTCCATCTTTCAAAATTTGTAATCTCAAGGTTGGGAGGACATCAGGCTGGGAAAGCTAGTCCAGATGTTCTCTGTTCTCCCACCTCACCACCAAACCTTCTCCTCTTCCAGCACAGAGCTTTTGGGGTGCTACAGTGACCATGATTTCCTGGCCAAGCTTCACTGCATCAGACAAGCTTTTCAGGTGGGTATGTGGAGACCTTGGAAGTTAGTCCTCTCTTGAAGCTGGTCTTCCCTGGAGACTAGAAAGCTGGTCTTCTCTGGAGATCTTGAAGCTTGTTCTGCCTTGAAGTTGTTTTCCTCTGGACACATCTTGAAGCTAGTCCTCTCTTGAAGCTTGTTTGCTCTGGAGACCTCAAAGCTGGTCTTCTCTAGAAACGTTGAAGCTGATTCTCCCTTGGAGCTAGTTGTCCCTCAAGGCTTGAGGCCAACCCTGCCTTTAATGTCTGTTCTTTCTGGAGTCCCTGAATCTGAGGAATGGCAATTTGGGAGTGGAAGGAAGTTGGCCTTACTGCCGTATCTGGTCCAGAAAGAATTGGCTTGCTTGCAAGTCACAATGGACCTCCCATGAGAGTACGTACGGACCCTCCAAAGTGCTGAATTTGAACTCCCACCCAAGGAACCGTGGTTTCCAATGGGCTGATCTCTTCACAGGAGCTGTTGATGGTGGAGAACAACCAGACGTTTTTTGGGGAGGTGGGCAAACGCATGGTGATGGGGCTGATGACCAAGGCTGAGAAGGTAAGGACCAACTATGAAAGGGTTCTGTGATTGTGCTGGGGGGTGGGGGAGAGAATCTATGGGTCTCCAAAGAGGTGGGTTGGGACCTACCACAGGGTCTGCTCAGTGTAGTGCGACAAATGTTTTTACAGTAACATCTTGAGATCTTCTAGTGGTCTACCGAAGATCTTCTGAGGACCTTCTCCAAAGATAAATCTCTGTGAGATCAGAGTTAACTAAGCAAACTAGATCTGAGGAAACCTCTGGACTTCATGGAACCGATTGAGAAGCAACAAGGAAGTCTCTCTGGTTTCACCTGTTGAGTTTTGGGTTGGTTTCCTCTTGATTTCTGCTCTTCTAGAACACTAAGGGTTTCCTTGAAAGGTACGATGAGATGCTGCGCTACACGCTGAGACAGGAGACCTGGCCAACCACGCAGAAGGAACTGGAAGGGCGAGGGGTGAGTGTTGGGCTTGTCTTCTACCTGGTTCTGCTCAAAGCAACGAAAGGGGTTTCATGGAACTTTTGTAATAGTCCTGCATCTGTTTTGAAAAACAGGATTCATACAAGCCAGCCATGACTTAGGTTTAGGCAGCATAGAAACCAGAGTTTCTGGAATAGGCTAGCATTGGCTGGGCTTACCCCTGACAATTGTGGTCACTAAATGAGGACTACCTGTAGTACTAAGACAAGGCCTTTCTGGTGGTGGCACCCTGGATTGACTTGATAATAAATCTTTTGTCCTTTTGAAACCTTCACGGACAGATCTTTCTCTCCACCTAGCTTTGTGGTCAACTTTGTCACTGGTTTATTTGCCCCACCTTAATCAAGACCTCCCCCCAAATAATGCAGGGGAGGGGGCTATAATGATACGATTAATCAAACTAGGACCAGTTGGATCCCGGAGATGGGGGAATTACGGAGGTTTGCTGCGGTTTGGGTGAATAAACATGGATTGTCTCTCTCGTCCATCCCTCAGGTGGTCTGCATGAATTTCTTCGATATCACCTTGGACTTCATCCTCATGGACGCTCTAGAAGATCTGGAGAACCCGCCGTCCTCCGTTGTGGCCATCCTGCGTAACCGCTGGCTCTCGGACAGCTTCAAGGAGACGGTGCATTTCCAGGGGGGTGGGTGGGTGCGTGGGTAGGAACGGGACCCTCGGAGTTAAGGGGGCACGGCAGGTGAGGGCTCCAGGCCAACCTAGTTTAGGCACAGAAGCTAAGGATGCCGCTATAATGCAGCTGTCTTAGTGGCCCTTGCAGGAAAGGCGAATTCAATTTATAGACGGGTTTAAACAAGAGGCAAAAATAATCGGTTTTCTTTTCACTCCAGGCTCTCGCAACTGCTTGCTGGTCGGTTCTGAAGGCGAAGAGGCGGCTTCTAATGGTACGTGAGAACGAGGGAGAATCGGATCCAGTCCTGAGCTTCCCTCTCTCCTTTGTCCAGTTCTTAGGACGAAAGGATGGGAGGGGGCCTTGGTAGTCATCTAGACTACTCAGTCCCTTGCAGGATCTGCTAAAGTTATTCAGAGAGGAAATTTTCTGGCCCTCTTCAGGTGGTAGCTTGTCGGGCAGGTAGCCCTCGACTTACGACGGCTCACTTAGTGGCCATTTGAAGTTCTGATGGACCTACTTAGGTGTTCGAAATTCTGATGGTCCAATTTATGGCTGTTTGCAGCATAACCGTGTTGCTTCATTTTACGATGGTTTTGCTGAAAACTGGCGGTTATACTTCTGGTTTCTGGCAAAACCACCTCCATAGCAAAACATGGGTTCATTTATCGACGACCCCTTCACTTAACAACTCGGCATTCACTCTACGACCGCCAGAAGGAAGGTCACAAAATTGGGTTCGGTCATGTGATCGATCTGCTTACAACCACCAAGACGTACAGCCGTAATGGGCATGCTCCATTACAGTCGTAATTCGAGGATTACCTCTACTAGTTGACGAGGGAAAATTCCTTCTCAAGGAATAAACCCATTTGAATTTGCTTCTCTATGGTTGGGCCGGATTAAGGATTTTCTGCAGTCTGGATTCTGCGCTCCTATGATACACATCCCGGTGGATTTCCCAAGGACTGGCATTCTCGGTTTCTGTGTTTTCAGAGGCAACTTTTGCCAGCTAAGAGTTTGCAGTTTTTGCGTGCGATGCGTGCGGTTTATAACGTGTTTAACTTTTAAAATCAGAAGTGGCAACCGATCCATCTTTTCCCTTCTCCGTTTCTGTTTTAGGTTCCGGATGGTTTTATATCTCATTTTTACTCCGTATCGGAGCACGTCAGCCCCGTCCTGGCTTTCGGATTCCTGGGGCCCAAACAGCAGCTTTTTGAAGTCTGCAGTTTTTTCAAGGTAAATGTTCTTTTAAAATCAATTAATCTATCTATCTATCATCTTTATCTACTCTATCTGTATCTATCTATCTATCTATCTATCTATCTATCTATCTATCTATCTATCTATCTATCTATCTACTATCATCTTTATCTACTCTATCTATCTGTATATCTATCTATCTATCTATCTATCTATCTATCTATCTATCTATCTATTTATCTATATCTTTATCTACTCTATCTGTATCTATCTGTAGATCTATCTCATCTCTCTCTCTCTCTCTCTCTCTCGTATCTATGTCTTCTGTCTATCCATGTCTGTCTATCCATGTCATCTATCTATCTATCTATCTATTTTAAGAGTTTAAGATGGCAAAGGATAGGCAGTCAGTTAAAGAGAAAAAAAAAATCCTTATGTGATTTTTGTTTTTAAATGGCTCGAAACCACAAAGTCCTGGCCCCTCATCCTTTATCCCTCTTTCTCTCTCGTTAATATGATGCGATTGTGTTATAGCCAAGGAGATTGCCCGGATGAACAGGCTGCAAAAAAAAATGTGAAGGAAAAAAATTATATCTGTAATCTAAAAATCTAATATTTTAGATTTTTGTATTTCATATTTTTTCATCCCCTGTGTTTTAATTGAAATGTGAATGTGCCTTATGATAAATAAATAATCATCTTTTTCTCCAGCACCAGATTTTGCAATATCTGAAAGACATGTTTGACCTGGACATTGTAAGGTACACAACGGTGACTTTATTGGCCGAAGACATCCTTCAGCTATCACGGCGTCGCAGTGACATCCTGCTCGGCTACTTAGGAGTGGAGATCATTCCAGAGATCAATGGGACTCTGCAAAATGATGACATGTCCTTCCATAGCTTCAGCTAAGCTTGCTGGCTCGGACAGGACCGTTTGGGGCTTATGAATTCTTTTGTTTTTCTCCTTTTGAAAGACAACCGGCCTCCCTAGTTTGAAGGCTGAAGACGGATTGCAGCAAAACATTCTCTATTTGAATGGTCTAACTTAAAAGCAATTTTGAACTGTGGTTCTCCACCTTGGCAACTTTTAAGAGAGGTGGACTTCAAATCCTAGAATTTCCCAGCCAGCAGAGATGGCTGGGGAATTCTGGGAGCTGGTCCAGGCATCTTAAAATCGCCACGATAGAAAAACACTGATTTAAAGACTGTTTAACAGCCCCAGATGTGTCCAGCATTATCCAGGTGGGAAGTTTTTGCCAATCAGCCATGTCTGTTTCTAGTTATTTAACACTTGCATAAATTGTGACCGAACCCCTGACTAATATTCCTGTTGTGAGATTAGTGCACGAGGACACTTTTTTTTCCCTGTGAAATTTGATGGCCAAAAAGAAAGACAAGTGGGGAGAGACCTGGTAGATCTGTAGAGACCTTTTGCTCCTTTGATTTGGAAAATTCTGATTTAATTTTTTTTTAACTGACTTTATTTTATTGTGTCTATATCAGCATTCTTCAACCTCAGCCACTTGAAGATGGGTGGACTTCAATTCCCGGAATGTTCTAATTGGCATGCTGGCTGGAGAATTCTGGGAACTGAAGTTCACCTATCTTCAAGTGGCCAAGAGTGAAAAACACTGGTCTATATGTAGAGTCAAACTTTTAACAACCTTTCTTAAAATAAAGATTCTCGCACATATGGTGGTCTCGGATGAAAGACCCTCTATGGAGAAGATGGGTGGGGAAGGAAGGAAGGAAGAAAGGAAGAGAAAGAAGGAAGAGAAGGAAGGAGAGAGAGAAAGAAAGAGAAAGAAGGAAAGAAAGAGAAGGAAGGAAAGAGAAAGAGAAAGAAAAAGAAGGAAAGGTAGGTTGGATCTCACTGTGCCTTCTGAAAAAGATCAAATGTTCAGTAAAGTCTTACAAGAAATGTTTTGCTCTAAAACTTCCAATTTTATTCTCTGGCATCTTCATGGTCATATTCCAAAAACGGGGGATTTTCTCCACCAATCTGAACGCACCTTCTTCTCCCAGCAATGGGGGGAAATTGAATTCAAAATTGCCTGACTGTAGTTTTTGCAGAATTGAAATTCTGCAAATTCATCAATAAATATTTATTTACGAACTTGCAAAATTTCGATTCAGTTAAAAAAATACTTATTGATGAATTTCTCCATCAAACTGAAGGCACCTTCTTTTCCCAAAGATGGGGGAATTGAATACAAAACTCCCAGCTTCTTGATTGTAGATTTGGACGAATCGATGTTCTCAACTTGACCTTGTGGAGTTTGGTTGGCCAAGTATTCACTGACCCTTAATCAAGAGGTGTAGTTGATTGCATTAAAATAATCCTGAATGCAGTATTTGGAGGGTAGATTTGGGGAAGTTAAAAAAAAACAAACAGTCTATGGTTAGGGATGATGAGATGCAATTTTGAGATACTTAGGATAGTCCTGCTTTAAGTGGGTCAAGTGAAACCCCCAAGCTTCTTGTTTGTAGTCCCCCCTGGGTGAGAGGGCAAATGAAATTCCGCTGGATGAGAATGTTCCAAGTTGTAGATGCACTGAGATTTTTCAACAGGGTAGATTATGGTCTTAAAGCAGTGTTTCTCAACCTTGGCAACTTTTAAGATATATGGACTTTAGCTCCTAGAATCTCCCAACCAGCATACCTATATTGGTTGGGGAATTCTAGAAGCTGAAGTCCACACATCTTAAAAGTTGTCACAGTTGAGAAACACTGTCTTAGCTCATTACACTGGCTAAGGCGCTTTTAAATCTCCTTTTAACTGCTATTATTGAAGCAGTTGGGTTGACTTTCAAACAAATCAATGTTTTGAGGCTGAATTGTTGAGTTTTCCACACTCAACATGGGACGAAAGCGATTTTCTGTTTTGCATCCTGAGTGTTTTAATGGAACATATTTTAACTTCATTTCTTGCAACAGGTTCCAAAGGCAGCCTTTGAGATCGACGCGTAACAAATTCTAGTTTCGAATTGAGAAACTTTGAGTGTTGAATGTGAATGGCTGGAAACTAAATGTTTGTGTTAGGCTTTAGCTTCTCTTGACTTAAGTCTGGCTTTCTGTTGTTTGAGGAGACCTCGTTTCGAACTTATCTCACCCAAGAAAAAACTCCGATTTGCAAGGACAAATTCAAAAAGTACAGTTTGGTGACTGCCACAATTGTTTCCTTTTTTTTAAATTCTGAGGAGTAGTGAAGAGTTTTTGGAAGCATGAGAATGTATCAAGAATATAGATCAAGTGTCATAATCATTCCTCCCGGATTTATATTGGTTTTGAACCCTGCTCCGAAGTTAAATGTTTGCTCCGAGGTGCCCCTTGCATTCCTACCCATACGAGCCACAGATTAATGGTTTTAAGATCTGAGCTATCGACTTTTCATGCAACTTTTTGTGGTGCCTAATTTACCCGGAAGGAATTCCCAGAGTCCTCAGGTGGTTTGTTTGTTTTTTCCAGTTTTGGACCTGGGATGGCGGGGCAAGCTATTTGTGGACAAAGATGCTCATGCTAAATCTTGAGATCAGCACGAGCATGCTTGGGCCAGTTGCCGGATGAAAAACCAAGATGGAAATCAGCTGATCAGGTTGATCAGAATCTGCTTTGATCAAAGCTGGAAGATCAGCTTTGTGCAAGACAGAAGTCAGCTGATCAGGGCTGATTTTTTAAAAAAAATCTTGCTTCCATCAACCCTGGGTATTCGGTGGCGGCTTTTTGTACCCAAGTCGACTGGCTCTTTTTGCTCACTTGGTGTGACCAATTGACCTTGGCACTTTTTGAGTAGCCGATAAGAGTTCCCAACCGTCATGGCTAACTTTTCCTACAGATCTGGACATTTTTCAGCCTGGGAAAAGTTGATTTTCCTGCCTGCAAATCAGAAGGATGGTGGAGAGATTGTGATCCTTGGATATTGCTAAATCCTGAACATCATGTGTCCGTGGGATGTGGGGGGAGAGGAGGGGGGGGGGGAAAGAACAATATTCTGGGAATTATATAGTTCATCAAGATCTAAAGCAGTGTTTTTCTGCCTTGGTAACTTTAAGATGTATGGATTTCAAGCTTTGAAATGGAGAAATTCTGGGAGTTGAAATCCACACATCTTAAAGTTACCAAGGAACACCGATCTAATAAATCAGAAATGCCTTCCTTTTTTGTTAAAAGAAGAGAAAACTTTAATTTCGGAGAATATTACCTGGGAATGTGGAAGGAGTTGAATATAATTTTTGTGCCTCATTATTTTGGTTGCTTGGACTTTATTTCTCCCTCCCTTTCTGTGATTGACGCGTTTATGCTTCTCATTCCCTTTTGCAACTAAAACTTTTCTATCCTATTAGAACTTTTGGCACTGAAAAAAAAAATCAAATAAACATTTTCTTTATTGTTAAACTGGTCTGGAATGTTCTCCTTTTTCCTCCTCTTTCAATTTAGTCGAAGTGGTGGTGATTTTTTTTAAAGCTCTCTCCAGTTTTGCTTGTGCTCCTATCGAAACCCATCATCCACTAACCTACTGGAAGTGATTCCTTGCACTAGGACAGGGGTCAGCAACCTGCAGCTCTGGAGCCGCATGTGGCTCTTTCACCCCTCTGCTGCGGCTCCCTGTTACTCAAAATATGCGTCACAACCGCCAATGTGCGACATCTGCCAGCAAGCGATTTATTGAGCTTTTCTATTCCCTGGTAGGCCAACCATGGATAAATCCAAGAAAATAAATGTTTCAGAAGAAAACAAGTTTAATTCAACTACATTTGCTAGTTTTGTGGCCGCTCAAGAAATAGTCAGGCACGGGAAGGGTTTTGTCGCTCCCGGTGTTTTCTTTTCTGTGGGAAACGGGTCCAAATGGCTCTTTGAGTGTTTAAGGTTGCAGACCCCTGCACTAGGAGAATGTATGTAAGGCTTTTTGGTTTCGCGCCTTTCTGAGAAGAGAGCAAGAAAGGTTTTCATGTCACTAACACAAGGCTGGAGGAAGTTTAATTCTGGGTGTGACTCGTGACTTGGGGTTCAATTTAGCCCCAAAGGTGGTTGACTGGATCAGTTAACTCTTTTTGGAGAGTGGCATACACTTGAAAGTGAAAGTAAGGATGACTAACATAGGACAGCATCAATATGCAGATGGTCCTTGACTTACAACCACTTGTTTAGGGACTGTTTGAAGTTATAACGGCACTGAAAAAAAAAGACTTATGACTGTTTTTCACATTGAATGACTGCAAAATCAATAGGAAAAATCAGGTGACTATGGGGATGCTGTAACAATCATAAGTGTGAAAAACGGTTATCAGTCACTTTTTTCAGTGACATTGTAAGTTTAAATGGTCACTAAATGAACGGTTGTAAGTTGAAGACTAACAAACAACAATTGGCCGAATTCGTGCAAGCCACCCAAGCAGATCTCATTACAAACAATTTCTCTGTTTCATTTTATCTTCTGCACAGAGTCTCCGGACTGGTGGTGATGAAATTCTTACTCTGATTTTCTAGAGAGCCATCTCACGTTTCCCCATTTGTGTATTTACTGAATTAATTGACCTCTAGTTCAGCATTTTTTTTTTAAAAAAAAATATGGCACTAAATACTTCTGGCGACCGACCAACTTTTTCTCATTTCCGCCGGGGTCAATAATATAGCTAACGACCCAAGATAATTTGCTTTTATTGTTTCTGCATCTTGTTTTCTTCTGCTCCATTCTGGCTTGGCTTGCCTGCTAATTGTATTGACTGTCTCCGGGGAATGGATCTCGTGCAGATGGTGCCCGGAAGAGAGGAAGAAGAAACGGGAAAAATGAATTTTCTCTTGTTACGAATCCTTGAAGTCATCGTGCGGTGTGAACACACACAAAAAACCCTGTGTTTTACGAGAACGGAGGTTTCTCTAACCTACTCACTAAGCTGTTGTTTTGTGCGGGGTTATTGCAGAGCTTTGAAATATGACTAAAATCTCAACCGTCTGAATGTTTGTCTCATATCTGTACAATTTTCGTTTAATGAATTCACAGCAGATGGAGAAGACACTAAGGGTGGCAGAGGTTTTCTCGGGTTCAAATTGACGAAGAGGGTCAGAGAAGATACTTATTTTATTATTTATACATATATATGTGTGTGTGTGTGTGTGTGTGTGTGTGTATACCGCCTTTATTATTTTTACAAATAACGTGACGAACGTATCTAATATTTCTATTTTTGAGGAGTTTTTAAGTGGTTTTAAGTTGCAAAAGTTGGGAAGAGGACCAGCACTGTGGTTTGTAAAGTGGGCGTAGCAGTTTCTTGCAGCCAAGATAAACTATGGTTTATTCAACTATCTAGGGTTAAGACATGGCTAGAGCAGGCCATCATCTGGCCAAGATAGCCCTGAGTCACAATAGAGGCTGAGCCCGGCCCCACAATGCACCGCGCTCCCATTCAATCGCTCCTCAGCCCGCCATCCACTCCCGAAGATCTGATTGGTTCACAGCGGGAGCGCGCGAGGAGGGAGGAGAAGAGGCAGCGCGGGAGGGGCGGACCCACCGAGCCAACTTCTCAGTTGGCGAGGGGAGCCAGCCAATCTTCGACGGCCGCCCCGCCCCGCTTTTCCTCCCATTGGTTTTCAGATCTACCTGGGCCCGGCTACGGACCGGGCTTTATGATTGGCTGCTTGATTCCAAGGGAAGGACAGGCCGCGGGGGTGTGGTAGTATTCGAGGATTGGTTGGAGGCCTCACCTGGCGAACTTCCCGATTGGCCGAGCGGGCCACACTGGCACGCCCATTGGCCGCCCCGCCCCGTGTGTGCCGGCCGATTGGCTGTGGCCGCCCGGCCCGGTATCCGGGTAAGATGGCCGCAGTCGGAGAGTGCTCGGTCCCCGTTCCGTGGAATTCGGTGTCTCTCACTCACGTCGAGTACCCGGCAGGTAAAAAGCGCTCTTTCTATTTCGCGCGGGGCCTTTTAACTTCAGCCAGGCCTGAGGGGACGTGAGGCGGGAACTGCTAAATAGTGAGCCATTGATGAACGGTGGACGGGTGCGCATGCGTATTGGGGCGGCGACGCTGCTGCTAGCAGATAGGGAGCCGCTGGCTGCCGTAGTGCGCATGCGCGGTACCTCCTGGGCTTCGCCTTGATAGTACACAGCCTGGAAATTGGGGCGGGGGTGCCTTTCTTCCTCCCCCCCCCTTCCTCCATTGCAACCCGGGTTTTTTGCAAGCTTCCCTCTCCCCCTGTCTCTCAGTTGTGGGGGGTGGGCTTGCTTGGGCCAGGGCTGTGCCCCCCACCCCACCCCAGGAGTGCAAAACACCCAGTTTTGCACACTTTGCAATTTATGGTGCCAAAGGGTTGCATGGAGCCTGGCGCCCCAGCCAGGGATTGGCACGGTGGAGACCCCCCACCCCGCCCCCTCCTCCCTTTTGTCCTGGAAACAGCTTTGCAAGTTCCCAACCAAGGAGCGGCTGGCTTCTTTGCACTGCGACCCTTTATTTTAAACATGTTCGGTTTGAATTAGTTTTAAATGACGAATGGCTCCTTGGTGCTCTCCGAGCTTGCTTGCTTGCTCCTTTCAATCCTGAGCTGCAAATATTCTTGACTGGTAAATGATGGCTTCGGTGCTGTTTTTGGATTTCGATTGGGAGCTGCCCAGAGTTGGTTATTAGACGGACAGCTATATGAACATTTTAAATTTTTTAAACAAGCGTATCTCTCCCATTCCTCCAGGACTCAAAAGTTGGGTTCCCCTATTAACCTTCCTCCAACTTTTGTTTCCATGCCAACAACCACCCTGTGAAGTAACTTGGACCAAAAGAGCAGGGGTTTACCCACCCACCCTGGCCAAAAAATTGCCAGCCAGGGCTCAAGGCTGAGGATGGATTTGCACCCGAGGTTTTGCTGTCCTGGCCAAGCATCTTGACTATAATTCCCCAAACCCCTTTACTGTGTAATTGATGATGATCTGTTTCCTTTGCCAAACGTGCAACTGGCTTTGCACAATCCTCAAGCGAGTTTCCTAAAACCCAGCGACTTTGCTCACCTAACGTGCTGTGCCCTGGACAGTAAATTCTGAGCTGTCATGTCAGCCTACAAAGTGCTAAGAAATGGGTATTAAGTGCTAAGAAAGGTCAGATTTCTCAACCCAACCCAACCCCAAGTAACCAAACTGGCAAAGCTTGAAAATTACCCTGGTTTTGTCGCGTGTTTATTTAAGCCTGTTAAAGTGCAGATAGTAGAAACGACGCCAGATCCATTTGAATCCTTTTTTTTCAAGACACTTTGTAGAGTTTAGCTCAAGAGAATGGCCGAATCGACACAACACCCTGGACCACAAAGTACTGTAGCCTACTCAGCTTTCACTTCCATGTACCATTAGAATAGAATAGAATTTTTTATTGGCCAAGTGTGATTGGACACACAAGGAATTCGTCTTCGATGCATAAGCTCTCAGTGTACATAAAAAGAAAAAATAAAATACATTCATCAAGAATCATAAGATGCAACACTTAATGATAGTCATAGGGTACAAATAAGCAATCGAATCGTATTAGGAAACAGCCAATATAAATCTTAAGGATACCAGCAACAAGGTTACAGTCATACTGTCATAAGTGGGAGGAGATGGGTAATGGGAACGATGAGAAGATTAATAGTAGTGCAGACTTAGGAAATAGTTTGACAGTGTTGAGGGAATTATTTGTTGAGCAGAGTGATGGCGTTCGGGAAAAACCTGTCCTTGTGTCTCGTTGTTCTGGTGTGCAGTGCTCTATAGCCTCGTTTTGAGGGTAGGAGTTGAAACAATTTATGTCCAGGATGCGAGGGATCTGTAAATATTTTCCCAGCCCTTTTTTTGCCTCGTGCAGTATACCCCAAAGATGTTTTTAATTAATATCCCAAAGATTTTTTTCAAAAAGGCAACTGGATTTTCTTGGTTTTTTCCCTTGAAAACATTTCGTTCCTTGGATGAGAGGCAAAATTTTTCAAGGAAAAAAACCAAAAAAAAAAAAAATGCAATTGCGTTTTGGAAAAACACCTTTGGGACAGCCGTGATCTGGATGATTGAGAATCTCCACAGATACTTGGAATCAAATCACTTGAGTGAACTGAGTAAACCAAGGTTCAGTTCACTGATAAAGTTATCAGTGTAAGCCAGGAGCTTCTTTCATGAATAGGTGGGAATTGACTTCTAAACTGTTGCCCAACCTGGCATATTTTACATAGATGGGATTAGTATTGGCATTCCTCTCATTGTACCCGCACACTCTCTTTCTGTTTGGAATTCCTGATGGTTTTAATGCCTTTCATTAATCTGTATTTGGTGTTGCAATGTTGGATTCAGGTTTGCTTCCGTTATCAGCTTCAGGCTTTATCTTATCAGTAGCAGAGCAAAGTCTGAAATCGGACCTGGGGTGCAGGGGGAGGGGGGTTTACAACACAGCCAGTCTTCTAGGTCTCCCCCCCCCCCCCCCCGATTTATCTTTAAGCTTGATTTGAGAGGAGGTCAGATTTTGAGCAAAGCGGCAGAAGGAGAGGTAGGGGGAACTCACATCTCCTGCGACCTGCTTTATATAACTGAAGTTTTGTTCCCTCAAGTAAATTAAACATATGTGTGTGTAGGTGTATGTACATTGTATATGTATATGTATGTATGTATGTTGTTGTTAGTGGTCCTTTCTTGTCTGTAGCAAGAAAGGACGTTAAATGGAGCAAAGCTCATTTAACAGCTGCCTCGCTTAGCAGCAGAAACTTTGGGCTCAATTGTGGTTGTAAGTTAAGGACTGCTTATAATCTGAGGCATAAACAGATCAGGTCGAACTGATCTGTTTTTGCATCTCGCCACCCGGGGCTACCACAATAGGAATCGCCTCTGAGGCAGCGCAGAGTGCATTTATTTCCTTCGGCCAGCTTCCCAAGTCACCCCCTCGAGTCGGGGAAGAAGGTTTTTGGTAACAGGGTGTGGTATTTCCGAGCAGGGCCTACGTTTTGGCATCCTTCGGCTTTTTTTTCCTTTCTAGGCACTTAGTCCTGCGGACGATAGGCAGATTGTAGCAATAAAGCACATTTATTATTTATCTCCTCTGATATTTAGCTGCCTCCTCTCCTGTTTCCTGAATGATGCTGGGTTACTTAATGCCTGCAAGCTGCGTAGAGTCACTGGTTCTGTGTGTGTGTTTGCGTTTGTCTCAAGTAACATTAGTTGCTCTCCTCCTTTTGAGCTGGAGGTAGAGATGGAGTTTTGGAGTGCCTCCCAGGTAGGACCCAGTTAGTTGCCAAGTCGTGTCCGACCCATCGCGACCCCATGGACCACGTTCCTCCAGGCCTTCCTGTCCTCTACCATCCTCTGGAGTCCACGGAAGCTCACGCCGACTGCTTCAGGGACTCCATCCAGCCACCTCGTTCTCTGCCGTCCCCTTCTTCTTTTTCCCCTCCATCGTTCCCAGCATTAGGCTCTTCTCCAGGGAGTCCTTCCTTCTCATTAGGTGGCCCAAGTATTTGAGTTTCCTCTTCAGGATCTGGCCTTCTCAAGAGCAGTCAGGGTTGATCTCCTCTAGGACTGACCGGTTGGATGGCCTTGCAGTCCAAGGGATTCGCAGGAGTCTTCTCCAGCACCAGAGTTCAAAGGCCTCCATTCTTTGGCCTTCTCAGCCTTCCTTATGGTCCAACTTTCCCAGCCATCCATTGCAACTGAGAAAACCGTAGCCTTGACTATACATACTTTGGTTGGCAGGGTGATGTCTCTGCTTTTTAGTATAGACCCTGTCTAGCTTAGTAAATTTGTTCCTGGTGCTCTCTGAGCTTGGTTGTTTTTGTGTAGACGTTTCATTACCCAACCAGGTAACTTCATCAGTGCTAGAAGAGAGTGGATTTGTGGAGAGGAGGAGGAGTATTGGTGCTGTCTGAGCCTGGCCATTTTCTTGCAGACATTTAATTACCCAACTAGGTTACATCATCATCCTTGGGATGCGGGCAAAACGGTGCCCCTCCAATCCACAGAAAACAACCTCTCTCTATGGAACCCAGTGTCCCATAGTTTGGGGTCCACTGATGTAGCTTACCTTTCAGGGTGCCTTAGCTGGATGCTCCACTGAGTAGATGGAAACGCACTCATTCCTCAGGCCAGCTGTTGCAAGCAGTTTTGTTTCGAGGGTGAAAACAGACAAGTCAGACCGTCTGTTCCTGCTCATCTGCTGAAAGCTCGCTTGCCAGATTGAGGAGCGGCTGGCTATTCAGGAGCACTTCATGACTTTGGCATGGAACAAATATATATATTTATATATATATATATATATATATATATCTCCAAATCTTAAGTTCCACTTTCTCCTTTTGCTAGTTTGCTGCAAAGGCTCCCTGCAGCGGCCGGATAAATTCAGCTGCCAACTTAAAGGGAGCCTCCCTGTGACTGATTTACTCCTAAGGGCTGCATCGTAATTAATTTTCTAGAATTAAAAGCTAAGTGGGCTGTAGTTCACCAGGAAGGCTGGGCCGAAGGCTTCGTAAATCACTCCAAAGCATTCTTTATTTCATCCCATTTTTCCGAAGTCCAGTTTGCGATAGGTAAATACTCTGCAGTCCATAGTATAAAGCCACGAATCTTTATTTAATTTTAATTAAATAAAGCCACAAATTTATTTAATTTTAATTGATTAACATTTATTTTAATTTTAAAGGAAGGGACAAAAAAGGTTTTTTTGTTGCAAAAAAGGTTGTTTAGTGACCGTACAAAGTTACGGTGGCCCTGGGAAAAGTGACTTGTGACCACTTCTCACACCTACGGCCGTTTCGGCATCCCCAGAGCCACATGATCAAAATTCAGGACTCATATTTATGACTCAGTGTCCCGGGGAAGTCACGTGATCCTATTTTGTGACCTTCCTGACAAGCAAACGGGGAAACCAGATTCACTTAACAAGCATGGCAGGGAAATGGGGCCAAACTCACTTAGCAAATGTCTCATTTAACGACAGAAGTTTGGGGCTTAAACGGTCCAACGTCTCTTGTTCAGCGCTGTTGTAGCTTGGAAAAGTCCTTAAATGGATGGGTTGCAAGTCGAGGATTGCCTGTACTGCCACTGAACTGGCCATCTGAAAAGACTTTCTCACGGCTGAAGCATCTGCCACAACAAGCTGCCATCCGAGAGGAAACGGTGGCCGGGTGGCTGGGAGAAGGATGTGGTTTGGTTTCCATTCATTTGACGCGCTTCATGTATTAAGGAAAAGCTGCTGTGGCAAACCTCACTTTTTAATCTGGTTTTAGGCGGAAGCTGCGTTTTGTCTCTCTTTTAAATCTTCCATTGCATAAAGGAAAGTTGCTATTATTAACATGTTTTTTTATCTGTGCATCGGTTTGAGTGACACAGTTGAAGCAAAAGTGATCTTCAAAACTTGGTACCTAATCGGAGAAGGGATGGGTGGGAATCTTAAACTCTTGCCTTCCTATTGGGTTTTTTCCACAGAGAATGTGAGCACAGGTAGTTCTCGATTTACAACTATTCATTTAGAGACCGCTTAACGTTAACAGCGGTGCTGAAAAATGCAACTTATGTCATTTAGCAGCAGAAATTCAGTGTGGAAGAGGGGGGGGGGTTTGTGGAGAGGAGGGCTGTGGGGCCCTTGGTGCTCTCTGAGCTTAGTTGTTTTCTTGCAGTACATTTCATGACCCATCATCCATGCTGGAAGATAGCACTGGTTAGAAGTTAGCTCCCTTGTAGCACTGAGGATGTTACCTAGTTGGGTCATGAAACGTCTCCAAGGAAACCACCAAGGTTAGAAAGTGCCAAGGACTTCACACTCCTCCCCCTCAACCCTACTCTCTTCTAGCCCTGATGAGGTTGCCTAGTTGGGTAGTGAGATGTCTGCAAGAAAACCACGAAGCCCAGAGAGCACCAAGGACTCCACAGTTCAACCCTGAGCTACAAATATTCTCTTCTATAGATCCACGAGTCTCGGAAAAGTTTTGCAGCTCAGCAGCCCCTTCCAGAGGGATGCAAATTCTTTCCCCCACACGTTGATCTCTCTGTCCCCCTCCTAGGTGACTTCACCGGCCGTCTCCTCGCCTACCTTAGCCTGAGTCCCATCTTCATCATCGTGGGCTTCGTCACCCTCATCGTCTTCAAGAGAGAGCTACACACGGTAAGGCACCTTGGCCGGGTTTCTCTCAAGATCTACAGCACGATTCCCCAAAGTCCCAGGAAGCAACAAGCCTATTAAGAGGGGTGGATATGATTATATACACAACAGCAACAGTCACAGTTGCCAGTTCCTTAGCTGCTGCTGGCCTTCATCCACATTACGTTCTTCCAAAGAACTGAGAACTGTTATAATCTGCAGGTAGTCCTTGATTTACGACCATAATTGAGCCCAAAATTTCTGTTTCTCAGCGAGACAGCTGTTAAGTGAAATTTGCCTCGTTTTACGTGGTTTCTTGCCATGGTTGTTAAGGAAATCTGGCTTCCCCATTGACTTGGCTTGTCCAATGGTTGCAAAAGGGGACACTGCGACCGTCGTAAATGTGAACCAGTTGCCGAGCGTCTGAATTATGATCAGGTGACCATGGGGATGCTTGCAAAGGTCGTAAGTGTGAAAAACGGTCATAAGTCACTTTTTTCAGTGCTGCTGTGACTTCGAACATTGTAACGTCAAACTTAATGAACCATTATAAGTCAAGGACTACCTGTAGTCAGTTGTGCAATCTTCACCCCCCGATCCCAACCTTCAGTAGAATCTCATTTCTATTTATGGACTGAATTCGGCCAATCAACGATGCATTTGAATGACAAGGGCTCTCTTGCATACGGTTACTCTGGTTTTAAATCTCTCTTCTCTTTTGCAGATCTCTTTCCTAGGTGGGCTATGTTTCAACGAAGGTGTAAATTGGTTAATCAAGAACATTGTCCAGGAACAGAGGCCTTGCCCAGGTAAGAGTACCAATCACACACTCATACAAAAAATGCAATAATAATAATAATAATAATAATAATAATAATAATAATAATAATAATAATAATAATAATAATATAATAATGCTGAGACTCTGGAAAGAGTGCAGAGAAGAGCAGCAAAGACGATTAGGGGGATAGAACATGTGAAAAATGATTGCAAGAACTGGGTATGTCTAGTTTAATGAAAGGAAGGACTAGAGGAGACATGATGGCATCTTCCAATATTTGAGGGGCTGCCACCAAGAAGAGGGAGTCAATTTATTCTCCAAGGCACCTGAAGGCAATGGGTGGAAATTAATCAAGGAGAGAGACAACCTGGAATTAAGGAGGAATTTCCTGACAGGGAGAACAATTAATCAGTGGAACAAATGGCCTCCAGAAGTTATGGGTGCTCCATCACTGGAGGTTTTTAAAGAAGAGATTGGACAACCATTTGTCCAAAGGATCTCCTGCTTGAGCAGGGGGTTGGACTAGAAGACCTCCAAAGTCCCTCCCAGCCCTAGGAGTCTATACAATATGGTGTCTGCTAGAAGCCACAACGATGTCAAACTGAGAGCGGATGTGGTGGGACATCACACAAAGTCTGTACTGTTTGCTAACCTCCGTGTTTTCTTTTGGTCTCCGCAGAAGCCCATCCGTCTGTCTACTCGAAGTATGCGATGCCTTCCAGCCATTCCCAATTTATATGGTTTTTCTCTGTGTATTCGTTCCTCTTCCTTTATTTAAGGTGAGTAGAGTTTGGTCAATCCCGGGAGTAGAAAGATTTTTTTAGAGTAGAATAGAGTAGAATAGAATAAGGAATAGAACAGAACAGAACAGAACAGAACAACAAGACGCATTAGAGCTTATTTTCTAGTTAGGTCTTATTTTCGGGGAAATACGGTACTAAATGCATCCATCTGGCTGACAATCTTAACTGGGGCTTATTTTTGGGGGGTAGGGCTTACATTACGAGCATCCTGAAAAATCATGCTAGGACTTACTTTCCGGTTGGGTCTTATTTTTGGGGAAACAGGGTAGTCCTCGACTGACAATCAGTTCGTTTAGTGATCTGCAGACTTTAACTCCCAGAATTCCCCAGCCAGCTTTGGGCTTCCACTTCTCAGAAGTAAGATGTTGGTTTCCTGATCGAGAGGCTTGTTTAATCTCTCCTAGGATGCACCAAACCAACAATGCCAGGTTCCTGGACTTGCTGTGGAGACACGTGTTGTCCGTCTGCCTTTTAACCTTGGCCTGTCTAGTCTCATACAGCAGGTATGTTGTGTGTGTTGTGATGCTGCTTTCCTGTCCCCAGATGGCTGTGAGTCACAGTCTATCACAACCTTGAAAACTTTTTAAAGATGTGTGGACTTCAACTCCCAGAATTCCCCCCCAGCCAGCAATGAAGGCCACACAATCTTAAAGTTGCCGAGGTTCGAAAAGCTGCTCTTTATAGCGAGTTTAGGGGGAAAAAGGAGTAGGAACATTGGCGAAAACTTGCATCTTTTCGGAGATAAAAGAGCTAAATGGCACCCTCGCTTCCTTCCTTCTCAATAACCTTTTTATTTTTCTCGGTAGGGTTTACTTACTGTATCACACCTGGAGCCAAGTTGTCTACGGAGGTTTTGTAGGAAGCTTCATGGCTGCCCTTTGGTTTCTCTTCACGCAGGAAATCCTAACGCCATTGTTCCCGAGGATAGCTGCATGGTAAGTCTACCTTTCCCTGCTCTGTAGTCCTTCTAAACTTAAAAAAAAAAAAAAGCTATCTCTTTGTAGATAGTGGGGATGTGCAAAGTGCTTTGACTCAGGAATGGGGCATCCCAGAGAGTGGTGGAATATTCCAGAACATTTTTGTTCTGCCTGAATCATGCCAAACCACCTCCTGGATCATGTCATTCCCACTTCGGCATTTTCCAGAGAGAATCCTTCAAAGGGGAGGCAATTTGAAGGTGGTATTATCAGAAATCTGGCCCCAAAGCAGATCTCTTTTGTCTGGAATACCGTATGTCTGGAATTTGCTGAAATCAGAGGATTTGTTTTCAGAAAGTACCCATACAGGTAGTTCTTGACTTAACAACCATTCATTTAGTGACTCATGTTACAGTGGCACTGAAAAAAAAGGCAATTTAGGGTCATTTTTCACAATGTTGCAGCGTCCCCCATAGTTGTGAGATCAGGATTTGGGCACTCGGCAACCGCTGTGTACTTATGACAGTTGTGGCCTCCCGGGCTCATGGGAAAAACATCTGTAACTTTCCCACCCGGCTTCCGACGAGTAAAGTCGGTTGCAAAATAGAGCAATTCCTTGAATCTGATTTTGATGCGACATTTTCTTTCGAGCTCTCGAATGAGAAGGCTTGCTGACACAACTTTTGTGTTTGTCACCATAAAGCTGTTGTACGTTCAAGCATGAATCCCAGCCCTAGTGCTGATTCAGCGGAAGAAGTTAAAAAGATTTGGTTGTATTTTGGCTAACTTTACTTCCCTGTCTTTCTACCTTCCTTCCTTCCCCGTCCTACCTTTCCTTTCCTTTTTAAAGGCCCTTATCCGAGTTTTTCCTAATCCGAGACACCAGCCTCATCCCCAACATCTTATGGTTCGAATACGCCGTCAGCAGAGCAGAAGCCAGGTAAGCCACCGTTCTCCCTGCGAGGTAGTCACGGTTGGCTTTTCGCGGATAGAAACTTTCACCTCTGACTCTCGCCCCCTTTCCTCTCTTCGAAGGAACCGACAGCGTAAACTGGGCACCAAACTGCAATGAGCGCCAAAGTCTCCGGTATCGGACTATGCAGTTCTGTATCCCGGCAGGCTGGAACGGAGACACCTGCCCAGATCTTTTTGAGGACGTAGCAAGGCGGCTTTTATGAGACGGATCGACGTGATCGGGCAGGGACCAACCACCGAAGACCCCAGAGGCCTTTTCCAACACGCTGGATCAATCCTGCTGCATGCCGAGTCCACCCACGAAGCAGAAAACCATTTATATATCGCAGGCGCACAGCGTTAAGACCGGATGCTACCCCGGGATGCACCGGGAAGCAATTTTTTGGGGGGGGAAGGGGGCACAAGCACCGCTAAATTGGATGGGGAGAGGGGAGAAGGCGAGGCAGGCCGTTGGCATAGTCCATCCACTTCAGCCAAGCTTGCATTCAGGCACCGGTCGGTCGGTCGGTCGGTTGTACCTGTGAATATTTTAAGTTGGGGCCGGGAGGGACCACGTACGCCTTGGGGGGACACGCCCGATATAGCTCTGTGACTTTTCTATTGAATTTCTTTCTTCTTTTTTTTTAAACAAAAGAACAGAAAAGGAAAAAAAAGCAATTTGCAGCATGCAATCCACGCACTATTTATATAATCATGGGTTGTTCAGTTAGGCGAAGGGGAACAGCAGGGACCGTGTTGAGCCTGCTTTTCGGGGGGTGGAGGGCGGGGGGGGAAACGGCCAGCTCACTGCCACTGAAAGAGAGTCGGGGGCAAAATTAATCAAGGTTAGAGAGCAGGGAGGTGGAGGGGGATTCTGCATTTTGTTTAAGCCAGGGTTGTCCAACCTTGATGACTTTTTAAGACTTGTGGACTTCAACTCCCAGAATTCCCCAGCCGGCTTGGCTTTGCCAGGCTGGGGAATTCTGGCAGTTGAAGTCCACAAGTCTTAAAAAGTCGCCAAAGTTGGACCTCTTGGCTTAAGCAGTCTGCAGGTTGCTTTGAATACAAGTGCTTTTCCTACACTCTTTACTAAAGTTACCCGACAACCTTAATTAAAGGATTTGCATGTGCTGATCAATACAGCAGCAAAAAAATTATCCACCATGCTTTTTTTTTTTTTTTAAATCACATCCTGGTACTGAGATTATGTAACCGAATTTGTGGCTCTTTCTGAGTGCCAAGGGGATGGATTCCCCCCTGTGATTGGAACTCCTTTCCTTCCCTTTCTTTCCACGCCCCGATCCAGAGTTCATCCCCAAATCAGCTTTGCTGGTTTTTAAGGAAGGCCCACAAATGGAAACCTCCCCGCGTTCGGTGGCGAGCGATGGGGCTTGTAGTTCAAGGGAATTAGAAGGCATGGGGGGGGGCTCGTTTATAAAGGATTCCCTCTGCCACCCCTTCAAAACTTTTAAATAATAAACGTGTTTTTATGGTCGCGTTCCGTCTGGAAAAGTCTGCTTCCTCCCGCTAACGAGACACGATGGACACGTTTACAAGCCTTGATTGGGGAGATCACATCGTGGGCTGTTCCAAACCAGGAGGGGCATCTCAGCTACGTTAACCACAAATGGCCAGAGTTGATGAAGGGTTAGGCTCCCCTTGAGGTGGCTGCATCTGAGATGCAAACATTTAGAATAGAATAACAGTTGGAAGGGACCTTGGAGGTCTTCTAGTCCAACCCTTTGCTCAGGGAGGAGAACCCTTTACCATTTCAGACAAATAGTTGTCCAATCTCTTCTTTAAAACTAGTTTTGGAGCATTCACAACTTCTGGTGGCAAGAAGTTCCACTGACTAATTATTGTCACTGTCAGGAAATTTCTCCTTAGTTCTAGGTTGCTTCTCTCCTTGATGAATTTCCATCCACTTACAGAAATGTTTTTTTTTTTTTGTTTCATTTAGTACAAATGACTTTTTTTTTCAACAAGAGAAGACATGAACAGTACAGCCACTCCTCGACTTGCAAAAGTCCATTTAGTGACTGTTCAAAGTTACGACGACACTGAAAAAAAGTGCCGTTGTAAGTGACATACAACAATTTTTCAGTTACAGCCATTGCAGCATTCCCACAATCGTGATCAAAATTCAGATGCTTGGCCCCTGGTTCATACTTACGACCATTTGCTATGTCCCAGGGTCATGTGAGTCTCCTTTTGCGACCGTCTGACAAGCAAAGTTAAAGGGGAAGCCAGATTCACTTAACTGGGTTACTAATTTATCAATTCGCTTGTTTATCGTGATTCGCTTAACAACTGTGGCAAGAAGGGTCGTAAAATGGGGCAAAACTCACTTAGCAAATGGCTCACTGAACAACAGAAATTTGAGGCTCAATTATGGTCATAAGTCGAGGACTGCCTGTACATTCATTCAGGAAGGAAAATTCTAAACGGAATTCTTTTCCCCTCTTTTAATTGGGATACATTTATATTTATACAGCTCAAGGCCTCTGCGTCTTTCAGAGCAAGGCATCTTATACAAAAGAATCCGTGTAATACAATTTACCGTCCAATCACGCAAGCATTCGGCCAAAGTGCGACAAAAGCAAAACAGCAAGAATTTGGCAATACTCGCTAAACAGTGCAAAAATATCTGTTCGGTGCATTAGGAGAATATCAGGATAGGCAACAATTTGGCTGTTATTAAGACCTTAAAACCTTTATTTACTAATTAGTTTGATTTATATGCCGCCCTTTTCCGGAGACTCTGGGCGGCTTACAATGCTTTTAAGCAATAGCCTTCATACTTTTGTATATACCTGCTTAGTAGGGCTTTTGGGCCCCCCCAAGCGGTGTTCTATTTTATACAAAGTCTGCTTATTGCCCCCACAAACCGGGTCCTCATTTTACCTACCTCGGAAGGATGGAAGGCTGAGTCAACCTTGACCAACTTAACATAGATATTCCGGGAGTTTTTTTTTTTTTTTTTTAAAGTTCCCAGAATTCTCAGCTAGTACGATATTTGGGACTCCTGGGAATTCCCATATTTAAGGGGGTGCCCGAATTAGCTTATCTTCTGAGCTTGCAAACTCAGAGGCAAAAAAAAAAAAAGGAACCCAACAGGTTGAATTCACACAACAGGAACAGTTGTAAATATTCGAATCAAGGTTGAACCTGGCAAGCTTAGCATGTTGTACGAATGTGGCACGAATGAAGGTCCTAGGGATGGCTAACCTTTTTGCCATCATGTGCCAAAAGCGGGGGGGGTCGTGCATGTGTATGCCCACACCCATAATTCTATGCCGCACCCCACCCCCGCTTTTGGCACGCGATGGCATGCTGGGCCCCTTTTTCACCCTCCCCAGGCTCCAGAGCCTTTCTAGGAGCCTGGGGAGAGTGAAAAATGGGCCTTCCCCACCCCCACCCAGGCCCTCCGGAGGCTGGAAACAGCCTGTTTCCCTACTTCCGGTGGGCCCAGAAGGCTGGAAAATCAGCTGGCTGGTGCACGCATGAGCGCCAGAGCTGATCTCACATGCCCACCAATATGGCTCAGCGTGACACCTGTGGCACGCGTGGCATAGGTTCGCCATCACGGTCCTAGAACCATCCACGGTTTGAAACGTGGACTGTCCTTGCTTTGTCTCTAACTCTAGTTAGTTTTACATATTTTTATGAAAAAAAAAAAACCCATTCTAACGCAGGCAGCACAGCTGTGCTGGCTGGGGAATTCTGGGAGTTGAAAGTCCACCTATCTTAAAGTTGTTAAGGTTGGGAAACACTGCTCTAAAAGCTATTTTTAAAGCTACCCGCCACATTTGCATTTAAAAACATACAGCACAACTGTTAAAGCTGAAATATCAACTTGCAAGATAATAACTTGTAAACCACTTTACATTTTATCCCTAGGAGCAGGCAATATAAGGCACTTCCGTGATTAAGAGGGTTTCGGTTTTATGCGCTTTCATCAAGTCACCAGATCTCATGAACATCGATTTGGCACTGTATGAATTCTACTACAGCATGTTAGCCACAGAGGTCTAGTGGTAGGACAGCAGGAAAGAAGGAAGGAAGGAAGGAAGGAAGGAAGGAAGGAAGGAAGGAAAAGAAAAAAAAGGAAAGAAAAGGAAAAGAAAGGAAAGCGAAAGGAAAGAAAAAGCTGTATCTTGGGTTTCTCTCCATTCTAGAAACATAAAACATTTAATTATTCAAAATGTGGGCACGAATTTTATTGCAACAAACCCCAAAAATTGGCTTTTAGCCCTGGCACAACTGTGAGTCTTCCATCTACTTCTTACTCCACATCCTGAAATGCAGAGTTTTTTGCTATCTCGAATGGTTGCATCAAAAAGCTTAATCCACCAAATTCACAACAATCCACCAAACTAAACGAATGTGGAAGGGCAGATCAAACAAGATCCCCTGTCTTTGGCTGTGCAAATTGTAGCTTCTAAAAGCTTTGTTGTCATTAAGGAGGATTGTGTGGACAGATAGATGCCAGTGTACAAAAATGTGCAGATAATCTAAAAATCTGTTTCCTGGGGACTTAATGAGGGTGACTTAAAATAAATATCCAGAACTGGGTAGCCACAAACCACTAAAGGAAGCTAAAAAATACTGGTAGAAATTTACAGCTAATCTCCCAACAAAAATACATTTTTTTAAAAAAGCTTATTGTTTAACGAAATAACATCTATTGGCACAGAAAATCCTACAAAATGTTGGCATTTTCAAATAATCCTTAATAACAACTTGAGCAGGACAACGCTCTGAGCCAATTTGGTAAGAATCAGCTGTTGGTCCAGGTAACCCAGCAATGTAGATGGGTTAACTAGGACTTGTACGGGACCAAAATTGCACTGTGGGTGACGAAGGTTGTGACCAACTCAACAAAAAGGCATCATAATGGAAGAGGAGAAGGGGAAATTGAGAAGGAAGAAGAGGAGGGATGATGGAGGAGGAGGAGATGGAGAAGAAGAGGAGAGATGAGGAAGAGATGGAGAAGGAGGACAAGGAGAATGAGGTGATGGAGAAAAAGAGGAGATGGAGAAGGAAGAGCAGGAGGAAGAGATTGAGAAGGAGGACAAGGAGAATGAGGTGATGGAGAAAGGAGGAGATGGAGAAGGAACAGAAGGAGGGATGATGGAGGAGAAGGAGATGGAGAAGGTGGTGATGGAGAAAGAAGAGGACAAATAAGAATGATGGAGAAGGAGGAAGAGGAGAAGGACAAGGAGAACGAGGAGAAAGGATGATAGTGATGATGGAGAAGGAGAGGAAGAAGAAGAGGTGAAGGAAAGGGGAGGAAGAAGGGGAAGCAATCTTCAGCATCAAACCATAAAATGGCTCTACCATGACAGATGCTGTGAAACAGACTTGCATATTCACATGGAAAACAAACATTGTGCAAAATCCCAGGCCAAACTTCTCAGGAGGCTTTGAGCCAAGGCCTTCTCTTTCTACCCAGCAACCAATCAAGGACGGTCCAGATTCCCCTTGATTCACAAGCCCCCCTTCCCCCTTTCCCATTCTCCCCACGAAACCTCTCTAAAGGCACAGACTGATACGAACGGAGGAAAGGTGAGCAGGGAGAGGAAGACGGACGGGGCAGCAGGTATCTCCGCTGTTGAGTGATGAAGTTCATTTCCATCCCGCAAAGTCGGTGCAACAACTCAAGTGCAATCGGGAAAAGTTTTCCGTCCTTCGGGGGATGGGGGGTGGGGGAGTCCGGGGGGTGGATGAAGCCCACCCAGATGTCAGTAATTCGAACAGGCCATTCGCCTCTTTCCCCTGCTTCCCCTCTTAAAGTTTGGACTTGGGGTTGGACTGGAGCAAGAGCCGCATGTCCAACAATGCTTGCTCCAAGTAATGGGCCAGCCGAGCGGCGTTGGTTTCGCTGCAGCTGTTGAAAGCCGAGATGGCAAAATTGATGTGCTCCTCCATGGGGTTGTAGCAAACGCCGTAACCGTCCGGCACCACCGGGCCAAAACACATCACACAGTCTGTCTTGGCAGGCACCTGCAGGGAGGAGAGGACATTTTGGTCTAGTGGTTAAGGCACGGGGCTGGAAACCAGGAGATGCTGAGTTCAAGTCCCGTCCTAGGCATGAAAGCCAACTGAGTGACTTTGGGTCAATCACCAGGAGACGGTGAGTTCTAGTTCTGCCTTAGACATGAAAGCCGTCTGGGTAACTTTGGGTCAATCCCTCGCTCTCAGCCCAATAAATAAATAAATCAACGTGGAAAGAAATAACCCCCGAGACCCTGATCCACTGCAGCGCCAGCTCACCTGGCTGGTGGAGAGATTGAAGTGCATGGCCACGGCGTAGGCGGTGTCCATGAAGAGTTCGGGAATGCTCACCAGATCCTCGATCGCTTGCAGCTTCAGGCCCAAAAGGTGACGATCGATTGCGTTTCCTCTAATGGCCTACGGGGAAAGATAGAGAAACAATCCGCAGGGAACAACTTTGTCACTGCTCAGAGGTGCTCTCTGAGTTTGGGGGTTTTCTCGCAGACGTTTCATTATCCTACTAGGTAACATCATCAGTGCTCAATAAGAATAAGTTCCAGACTGATTAAGGTTTTCATGTCATGGTCTGTGGGAGACAGGAGGAAGAGCTGCAGACTGGACAACAGACAAAGAAAAAATATCCAAGCCCACAGAAGGAAAAGGGGGCATGGGAAGCATCTCAGGAAAGATGTCCCTAGTTTTTCGGACAGTAAAAGGAGACATGGGGGAGACATGACTTTAGCCTTTTGTGGAAGTTTTGCTTGGAACAGCAGACATCCTGCGACGAGACATTTAACCCCCCAAAAACTTCAATGGCTGTCTATCCCAGGTCCTTGGGAAGGGTTCAATCGGGGGACAAAAAATGCCAAATCCAATCTAAACATCTGGCCGATTGTGCGAGACAACACAGCAACGATCGCAAGAACTACAAAACTTCTACACCGTACGATGTAGCGAATTATAAATAATGCTATACGCAATAAATCATATGTTAATCATCGTTATTTATAATGCCTAATAATAATAACACCCACCATGTCAGTATAGTTTCGGTGTGCTTGGGTGGCTCGTCTCAACAATTCTGCCTTCTCTTGATTCTAAGGAAGAAACAGTCACAAAATGCAACCATCAGGCGCTTTTAAGGGTCTCAGATGGCGGAGATTTGCAAAATATTACATCTTCCTCTTGTTTTCCTTTCTCTGGAAAACAGGTAGCTGTCTCTCCAGTGTGTCAATAAATCTGGTTAAAGAAGAGTTTTGCTTTTCAGCTGTAGGCTGTTGTTAAGGGCTGATTGAGGAAACCTAGCTTTTCTTTTAATCTCTGATCCACTTGAAAAAGTTTCTAATCTTTCACCTGTCTACAGCTGTTATTCTCCTTTAAAAAAAAAAAAAAAAAAAGTTAATTTATGACAATCAATATCCAACCTAGATTCCATAAAAGCAAGAATCCGTCTTGGACATAAAAGCAGGAGAAAGAAAAAAACTTACAGCTGTTTTTCTGAATTTTTCCTGAATTTACCCAGGCATCACGGGTAAAACATGGTGAGTGGCGCGGTGGCCTAGAGGTGGAGCTCTCCCCTCACAATCAGGAGGCTTTGAGTTCAATCCTAGGTAGAGGCAGATATTTCTCTCTCTGGGCACAATGAGAATATATCTGCTGAACAAAACTCCGCATTGGTGACAGGAAGGGCATCTGGCCAGGAAACTCCGCTCCATTCAGTTACCCAGACGCTCCACCACGCAAAGAATTATAGGGTCATTAAAAGATGATCATGGGTAAAACATGGGTGCCAAATAGCCTACCTGGATGTTGTCAACACCCATGGACTGTACAAACTTCAGCACATCCACGGAGGCCGAGCGGATGGTGTCTGTCCGTCCCAGGCGGAACATCCGAAGCGAGGCGCTCTCGTAAGTGGAGCAAAGCTCCCCATACATCCTAAAAACACAACAAGAAAAAGAAGCAAAGATGGGAAATAGGAAATGTAGGGCTCCCCCATCCTAAATTAAAAGTGGCTTCCGGAAAGGGAGCAATTCATGGAAGTGCTGGGGTGGGGGGGTGGAATCAAGGGCTCTTGGCCGTGAAGGCAGTTTGGACCACCTCTGAAGACTCCTGCTGGGAGGTTGGTGGGTTTTCTTGGGCAGTTGGTTAAGAACGTAAGAAGCTATGAAGGGGCCCTGCTGGATTAGAATTAGAATAGAATAGAGTTGGAAGGGACGTTAGAGGTCTTCTAGTCCAACCCTCAGCTTAGGCAGGAAACCCTACACCACTTCAGACAGATGGTTATCCAACCTCTTCTTAAAAACTTCCAGTGTTGGAGCATTCACAGCTTCTGGAGGCAAGTTGTTCCACTGGTTAATTGTTCTAACTGTCAGGAAATTTCTCCTTAGTTCTAAGTTGCTTCTCTCCTTGTTGAGTTTCCACCCGTTGCTTCTTGTCCTGCCCTCAGGGGCTTTGGAGAATAGCTTGACTCCCTCTTCTTTGGGGCAGCCCCTGAGGTATTGGAAGACTGCTATCATGTCTCCCCTAGTCCTTCTTTTCATCAGACTAAACACACCCAATTCCAGCAACCGTTCTTTATATATGTTTTAGCCTCCAGTCCCCTAATCCTCTTGGTTGCTCTTCTCTGCACTCTTTCTAGAGTCTCAGCATCTTTTTTACATCGTGGCGACCAAAACTGAATGCAGTATTCCAAGTGTGGCTTTACCAAGGCCTTATAAAGTGGTATCAACCCTTCACGTGATCTTGACCGGGATTGGTTCTTACAGTGGTTCACCAGCTTCTCCAAGGAAATCCACCCATTTCCCAACAGATGGGAGGAGGAGGAAGAGGAGGAGAAGAGGAAGGAGAAGCAATTTTTATCCTCAAAACAATAAAAGCCCACCAGAAGAATCAAGAAAACCCAACTCAGCTTCCCATTTATACCTGTAATAAGCCAACTGCAAAGCAATTTGAATAAAAGCATCCGGACTGATCTTCTCCGACTTGGGGAAGTTTTTCCCAAACTGATGGAATACGGTCGCTTTGATATCCAGATCCTGCACCATGCTGCAAAAAACGGACGGAAAACCAGATCAAACAAGGGCTCCTTTAAGGGAGTCCTCAACTTACGACAATCGAAACCAGAATTTCGAACTTCAAACGGTCACTAAACGAATTGTCGTAAGTTGAGGACTACCTGTACGGACTGATTTGATGAAGCTGAAGCTTACTCACATGTTGAGATTCTGTTTGGCGTCTTCGATATCCTTTTTGATTTCCGGGGTGATATTAAACCGTAGTTTCTTTGGCATCGGTAATGGGACCATGGGAGATCTTACAAGCTCTGGCTTCTTTCTACCAAAAGCAGCAAGGACATAGTTGAAGCACAGGAAAAAAACAAATTTTTTTAAAGAGAGAAAGGAAGGATTTTGAATTAGAAACACGTGTTGGAAAGGCGAGCAAATATCGACTGAAGGGTGATCCAACAAAGCCACAATGGCTTATGTCAAAGACCCTCCTGGATCGGTTGCCAGAAAGGGGTGGGGGGGTGCGGGGAATAAATAAAGCTATTTGAAAGCCAAGCTGCCTTACGTGTATTCCACAACGTGGTCCAACAGAGCCACAATGGGGGGGCCCTCAGACGGTGCGTGTTCGTACACCAACCCGCAGGACCCGTCTTCCGCCACGATGAACTGCAAGGAAAAACCCAGATGAAATTGGCACAAACACCCAAATAATAAGGAATCGTGGTTTGTTGGCTCTATTGCTGCAATACATAAGTTTTCTTTCTTCTTTCTTTCTTTCTTTCTTTCTTTCTTTCTTTCTTTCTTTCTTTCTTTCTTTCTTTCTCTTCCTTCCTTCCTCTCTTTCCTTCCTTCCTTCCTTTTTTCTTTCTTTCTTGACATGTTACTCTTTCTTAAAACCATAGAATCCTAGGGCTGTAAGGGACTTTGGAGGTCTCCTACTCCGACCACCCCTCCTCAAGCAGGAGACCTTATACCATTCTGGACAAATGGCTGTCGATCTTCTTAAAAACTTCCAATGATGGAGCACCCACAACTCCCAGTGGCAAGCTGTTCCGCTGATTATTTATCACCCTGTCAGGAAATTTCTCCTTAGTTCTAGGCTGGATCTCTCTTTGATAAGTGTCCATCCATTGTCCTGCCTTCAGGGGCTTTGGAGAATAGGTTGACCCCCTTCTTCTCTGTGACAGCCCCTCAAATATTGGAAGAATTCTATCATGTCACCCCTGGCCTTTCTCTTCGTTAGATTAGACTTAACGAACTCACTAAACATGAAGATGGGAAAGGCCTCTTGTGTTTACCTCCAAGGCTAGCATTAAAGCCATCGCACTGACGTCTACAGAATTCTTGCTTCCTAGAATTGGGGGGATTTGACGGACACCCCAACTGTCAACGCAACCTTAAAACAGCTGGAAAAGGGACGCAATCTGAGGAATGTCAGCACTGTAAGAAAACCCCAACCACATCTCCGTGTGTGCACAGAAACCTCGCGACGGATGCCAAAATTTTGGACAAGGTGGGGGGCAAGTCTATCCCGCCAAGTTACCTGGAGGGTTTTGTCGAACCAGCGGTTTCCACTGTTCCATCGACTTCCTCCTCCGTGCAACATCTGGGCAGCCACACGGCTCTTATAAACGTCGTCTGAAACCCGGGGAATCGGCGCATCCAAGCAGACGGTGAAAATGCTCTTTTCAATCGTGCGCACAGATTCCTTGTTGGTCTTGTCTAGAAAGGAAGGAAATGCTCCATCAGCCGGGAAGACACCAACGCACACAGAATACAGAATAACCAGTCTACGGAGGGACCTCAGAGGTCTTCTAGTCCAACCCCCTGTTCCCTTTACTATCTTAGTCAATGGGTTGTCCAATCTCTTCTTAAAAACCTCCAGCGATGGAGCATTCACAACTTCTAGAGGCAAGTCGTTCCACTGATTAATTATTCTCACTGTCAGGAAATTTCTCCTTAATTCTAGGTTGCTTCTCTCCTTGATGAGTTATCACCCGTTGCTTCTTGTCCTGCCTTCAGGTGCTTTGGAGAATAGGTTGAAACCCCCCCCCCTTCTCTGTGACAGCCCCTCAAATATTATTATATAAATGTACAATTTATGATGATATGTGTGAAATCAGTAAAATAGAAAAGAAAGTGAATATAAATGCAAAATTGGGGCTGCTCGGATGCCATTTTGGAAAATATTGAATTGAAAATGAATACATCCATGGAGAGAGAATGGAAGGAGGAGTATAGATAGGAGGGGAGAAGAGAGGAAGGAGAGAGAGGGACAGAAGAAAGGGAAAAGGAGAGGGAGGGGAAATAAGAGCAGGAGAGAAGGTTAGAAAGGGAGTAAGATGTGGGGGAAAGGAAGGGGAAGGAGCAGAGGAAAGAAGAAAGTAGAAGAGGACAGAAGAAGGGAGGGAAGGGAAAGAGTGAAGAAGGAGGAGGATTGTTGTAAAATAAGGGAGAAGGAATGGTAGAAGAGCCACCCCGAAGATACTTAAATTGTTTAACAAACTAATGTGAAAGTCAAAAGATAAAATGTGTGATCAACAAGAGACACTACATTTAAGACATGGTTATGAGAAATAAAAGTAAAAACACTTTTCTCATAAAAAAAAAATATATCGCAAGAGTGCTATCGTGTCCCCCACTGGCCCTTCTCGTCATTAGACGAGTTCCCTCAATCATTCATGACAAGCAACTGATGGTAACCCATGTGGGGTCTCCCTGGGAGTAAGGGGTGGGGGCTGACCTTTGATGAGGTTGTTGTACGCTTTGGCCCAACTGTTGCGATGGTTACTTGTCAAAATCCCGATGGGCTCCTTGTTGGTTTGAAGGGACGTATTCCAAATCTTTTCCAGCTGAATAAAAATCTGATCGGTGGTCAGGGGGCTCCCGTCGCTGCTGTAAACATCCAGCTGAAAGAACTGGGAAAAAGGAGAAGCAGAGGGATCAAACGGCAAATTTGATGGCAGGTGAAAAAGAATTCCCAAATCCTTGAACTCGCCTCTCTATATTATTCCCTTCCTGTTGCTTAGGCTGGTTGAGAAATTGCAGGCAGTTCTCAACTTGCAACCATTTATTTAATGACCGATGGATGTAGTGTTTTCTTGCAGTCGTTTCGTGACCCAACTAGGTAACATCATCAGTGTTAGCAAGGAGCGGTATTTACTCACTGTTTACCATATTTTTTGGACTGTAAGATGCACCGGAGTATAAGACGCACCAAGATTTTGAAGAGGTAAACAAGAAAAAAAAGGTTTTTGTTCTCCCCGGGCCCCAGGAGCACTCTGCAGGCCTCCCAAACCCTTTGTGCATCCCGTTTTTGTGAAAAATGGGCCTGTTTTTTGCAAAAATGGGACGTGCAGGGCGGGGTTTTGGGAGACCAAAAATGGCTGTATTCGATCTATAAGATGCACCAATATTTCCACCCTTTTTTAGGGGGGGAAAAGAGTGCGTCTCATACTCTGAAAAGTACGTTATATACAAGTGGCTTGCCACTTGTGTTTGTGGCAGTGTGGTTTTCTTTTTTGGTAGTTTGTTCACTGCTTGATCGTTGGTCTGGTATTAATCCTGCTTATCTGGGTATTGACTGCTGGCAAAGTGGAGTTTTCTTTTGGCTTTTCATATGAACGATGTGTACACGTGATTTATCCTATGTGCCTGTTGATGGTTGATTCGTCTAAGTGCCAGGCTTCCTGGAATTCTCTAGCGTTTTTGGGCTTAGTTTGGTCTAGGATGCTCAGTTTCCCAACTGAATCTATGGTTAATCTTATATAAACAGGGAACAAACCCTACACTCCCTCACACTGATGTCGTTACCCAGTTGGGTAAAGGAACATCTGATTGCTGAAATAATAAAAGAATGAAAAAGAATAAAAGAACGAAGGACGAACGTGGGTGATGTTACCTAGTTGGGTCATGAAAAATCTGCAGGCAAACAACTAAGCTCAGAGTTACCCTGTATAAACAGGGAGCAAGTCACACCTGGCATTGATGATGTTACCTCGATGGGTCACGAAACGCCTGCAGCAAGCAACAACCAAGTTCAAAGGACCACCTGCCTACCTGAAAATTGTGAACCACGGTGATGTGGGTGGGAGATTTCTTCCCCTTGGCGTAGTTCACCACCGAGTCGCGTTTGGGGCCCGGGATGCGACAGGACGAGAGGATCTGGTAGTACTGGTTCATGCAGAGAGGCTTCCCACCGAGATATTCCACAGGTAGAGTTTCGCTGGAGAGAAAAGGTGAGAGAGTGAGAAAGAGATGGACGGACGGACAGACAGGAAGAGAAGGACCAAACTCTACCACAGAATGAACACGAAGGACGGTTAAGACCCACAGAGATCAAAAAAGGCATTCTGACTCACTTGTCAATCATCGTCTTGAAGTCCAGAGCCCCCTCAATCATCTTGGCGGCAAACCTGAAAGAGACATGAGCAAACAGGTCAGGAGGGGAGGCGGGAGGGGAGGGGGCTTTGCAGAAAGCAGGGAGGTCTCCGGTTTCAGGCTGGTGTGGAGGAAGCTACTCAGGTTAGCTGCGATGTGACAACGACCTGAAACCCTCTGCCAAATGGAACAAGAGGCTGGTCGGCTCAAATCTCTGCAGAGGTCAAGGGGAAGAAACATGGCAAGGAAGAAGCTGCAATTGTAAATATTATTAAAGGTAAAGGTTCCCGTCGCACCTATGTGCTAGTCGTTCCCGACTCTAGGGGGCGGTGCTCATCTCTGTTCAAAGCCGAAGAGCCAGCGCTGTCCGAAGACGTCTCCGTGGTCATGTGGCCGGCATGACTCAACGTCAAAGGCCCACGAAACGCTCTTACCTTCCCACCAAAGGGGGTCCCTATTTTTTCTACTGGCATTTTTTTAGGTCCTTTTGAACTGCTAGGTTGGCAGAAGCTGGGACAAGTCACGGGAGCCCATTTACGCGGCGCTAGGGATTCGAACCACTGAACTGCCGGCCTTTTGATCGACAAGCTCAGCGTCTTCACCACTGAGCCACTGTGTCCCTTTCGTAAATATTATTACCATCATCATTATGATAGCTGTTTCCCAAAATTTTGGAACAGCTTGCTTCCGGAAGTTGTGGGCGCTGCAACACTGGAGGTTTTCAAGAAAAGATTGGAATTGTATGGAGTTACCTGCTTGAGCAGGGGGTTGGACTAGAAGACCTCCAAGGTCCCTTCCAACTCTGTTATTCTGTTATTTAAACACAGTCTACATGCAGTTTTGGTACTTTGGATTACTAGATTTCCCCCCCCCCCAAGGAGCCAAGATAGTTAAAAGATATTTTTTGTAACAGAGAAGCTATTCCAAGCAATGTGATATTTTTTTTTTGCAATGTAGGCAGGATTCCAACTTGTGAATTAAGATTTTATCCATTCCTACTGGATCCCAATATTTTTCCAGATTTTTCGACAGGACACCCAAGCGCCCAAACCACGTCCTTAACTTGCAACCATTTGTGTAACGACCAGTTGCACATGGACTGAAAAAAGGGACTTGAAACCAATCCTCACAGTGGGAGTGCTTGACAACTTTTTTACGACTTTTGCGGCCTTCCCCGCCGGCTTCTGACAAGCAAATTTAATTGGAGGAAGTGGATTCGTTTAATGACCACGCGATTCACTTAACAAGGACAGCAATTTGCTTATGAAACGAACAAAATTTTGCAAATCCATCCAAATTCAGGGCAATGCAAAAAAATGCAAAAAAATAAAAATAAAATCTCCTCTTGAGATAAATTCACAACATCCGATGCTTTTGATTTCTCTTCTCCCTGCTTGGATAGTTTGCTGCCCTCTGGACCTCTCTAACTACAACACTACAACTCCCATCACCCCCAGTCAAGGATTAAAGGCTGGAGGGGTTGTGGGGGGCGGGCTGGCCTCATTCCCTACACTGATTCATGCTCAATTGCTCCAGCAACTGACCTCCTTTTGCCCACCAAAATGCCTGCCTGTTTGCAAAAATGCCCCAAGTTTTCTCTAGCTGTCCAGGAGACGTTCTGCTGAGGGAGGGGGCCCAGCTAGACATGGGGGTCCATCTGCAGATAGGAGCCAGGCCCGTCAGGGAAAGAAAGGGCACTGCAGGAGAAGGAAAATTCCTTTTTGATGTACTCACCGCTTGCTCTTTCCTTGCATTGGCTGGTATTTTTAAATGCAGCCCAGAAGTAGAGGAAAGGTGAAAGGGGGCCTGGTGGGCTTGTGAGGGAAAATTGACCCCCCCCATAAAACACTGCAAAGATCAAATATCCTCCCCCCTACTCTCCCCCCCCCAGCGTTCTCAATCAGGGGCAGCCCTGACGGAGAAACACTAAAAATACTAGCAGCAATTAGACGATGGGCAAAAACGAGCAAGCATCCGAAATACACCCTGCAAGGAAGTTACTGTTCAGATTATGTCTCTTTCCTTCCAGAAGGGCTGACAAAACACACAGGGATGAAAACAAAATTGCAAGTAGAAAAACACACAACAGAACAACAAAACTATTCAAAAGAAACAAAACAGATCGAATAAAAGCAAATGTAATTTCGGAGTGCGTTCCTTTAGGTACAGTACGCACCCCTGTGAAATTCTTATGTATGAATGCATTCGTTCCGGTGGTGGGTTTCCAATTATTTTTTACTACCGGTTCTGTGGGCGTGGCTTGGTGGGTGTGGCAGGGGAAAGATACGGTAAAATCTCCATTCCCACCCCACTCCAGGGGAAGGATACTGCAAAATCCCCATTTCCTCCCGATCAGCTGGGACTCGGGAGGCAGAGAATAGATGGGTCCAGGAAGGATTTTTACTACCGGTTCTCCAGAATTTTTACTACTCAAAATTTCCGCTACCGGTTTTCCAGAACTGGTCAGAAACCCACCTCTGATTCGTTTACTGGGCAGTGATCATAATAAAAATTATTTATTCATCTATCTTATCTTACTCATCTCCCTGTTAACTTTGTCTCCGGGGTAGGGGGGTGGGTAAGGAGCCTGGAGGCCCCGTCTGAAAGCTAAAATTTTCACTTCTTCAGTTGGGCTTTTACAGCAACGAGGCTCAACCACGAAGCTCAAGGAGGCTTACCTTAGCTGACCTTGCCGGTCCAGGAAATCCTGTTTGGGCAGCACCAAGCCAGGACTGGAATGAATGACCACGGGCAGCCGATACTCCAGATACGCTGTTTTCAGCCACCAGTCTGAAAGCTCGGTTGAGAAGGGAGAGCATGCAATGAGCTGCAGCACCAACGTATTGATAGAGTATTTGTAGCTCCGGGGTCCTCTGAGCTTGGTGGTTTCCTTGTGGACGTTTCATTACCAAACTAGGGAACATCCTCAGTGCCAGGGAGGGAGTGGAGAGAGGAGGAGGACTCCAAGATCCCTCTCACAGTTACTGATTGGAAAGGATCTCTCAAAGCCCAAAGGTGCTTTTTCAAGAGGCAAGTGGGCTTCCTTTGTTTTTTTCCTTGAAGACATTTCACTTCTCGCCCAAACTCTGAGAACCGAAGAAGCTTCTCGGATGAGGAGTGAAACGCCTTCAAGGAAGAAAACAAAGGCAGTTGCCTCTTGAAAAAGCACCTTTGGGACAACCACGACCTGATGGGCGACCGAGAATCTCCACCAACAGATCCCTAAAACCCAACACACTTCCTACCCCTCCCCCCTCCCCTGGTGCTCGGGGTCCCACCTACCCAATTCTCGTTCTTCCGGGCTCTTCTCTCCAGCCCTTTCTGCAAGCGGTCTCCGACGCCGCCCGGTTTCCGAAAATCTTGCACCAAATTTTTGGTGTGGCTCAATTCCTCGTCGCTAATGATGGGCTCCAGCATTAACAGGTAACGATCCAAAGTTTGCTGCAGGGGGGGAACCGGCAGAGCGGGCAGCCCTTCCTGGTGGGCCAGGTAGCGACCTCGTAACTTCCGTAAGACCACCGGCTTCAACCAGCTGGATGGCTTCGCCTGTCAACACACAACAGCACAACGGTGAGTGTTCTTTCGCCAGTCACTCCTACGAAACCTGGACACGTGAACGAGCAGCTCTCTCTTTTCTTTATCTGCTTTTTAAACAAGACTCCTTTGCATGGAGAAAGCTAGAAATAAGGGAACGGGGTTCAAACTTTGCCCCAACCTTGTTTCCTTGTAGAAATCTAGCAGTTTTTACCAGCGCCAAACGAAAATGCCATCATCTGGAAAAAGAATTAAACTGGGCTTTTTCCCCCCCATTCAAAGCAGGAGAGGTAATTTATTTAATTTATTTATTTTAAATTATTCGTTTATTTGCATGTATTAAGTCATTCAATTCCAGAGGAATGTTTTTCTCCTGCTTTGGACAGGAAGTATTTGATGTTAACGGTCTGTGGACTTTTTGCTGAAAGAAGGGGGAAAAAATATGGGTATTAGGAAGGGAGGGAGGGAGGGAGGGAGGGAGGAAGGAAGGAAGGAAGGAAGGAAGGAAATAGAAATAAAGGAGAAAGACATACAGATGGAAAGAGAAAGAAAAAGAAAGACAGAAAGAAAAAAGAAAGAAAAGAAAGAAAAGTATGGAAGATAGAAATCTATATATATATTCTTATTTGTAGTCTGCTTTCTGCTTTCTCATTTTTTGTCTTTTTTTCCTTGTCTCTTCATTTCTCAGGTTACGGTTTGCTTTGTCCCTTGAATACACCAAACCTTTCTTTAACATATAAAATCCATGCTCAGCAGTTAAAGGCAAAAAAAATGAAGCTGGTCAGCATTTTTAGAAAAGCACAAGAATTCAGAAACAACAGGACCGTTTTGGTGCTAAGGTCCTTCCTCCGGTATTCCACATTTCCAGCAAGCACGTGATATGTGAAGGCTTGGGCGTCACGCCCTGAGCGGCATGAGGGCTGAGGGACACCTTGCCAGCTTCTAATTTGGATTTCGAAACTCAGGCAGGGAAGGAAGAAATGTGGTTTGCTCACCTTCCAAAATACAAACGGCCTGAGCAGAATAACACCCATAATTCAAGCCCCCTCACCCCCCACGTGCGTGCGTGACCCTCCCGCAGCCCCCCCACTTTTGGCATCTGACGGCAAAAAGGTTACTGGTGGGCCTGGTAGGCCCGTTTTTTGCCCTCCCCAGGCTCCAGAAGCTTTCTTGGCGCCTGGGGAGGGTGAAAACAGCCTCCCCCACCTCCCAGAGGCCGGAAACGACCTGTTTCCCGACATACGGTGGGCCTGGAAGGCCGAAAATCAGCTGGTAGGCGCATACATGCGTGCTGGAGCTGAGCTAGGGCAACATTCACAGATGCCCACAGATATGGCTCTGAGTGTCACCTGTGGCACACATGCCATAGGTTCGCCATCACCATCCTATACCGTTTCGGACAAATGGCTGTCCAGTCTCTTCTTGAAAACTTCCAGTGTTGGAGCATTCACAACTTCTGGAGGCAAGTTGTTCCACTGGTTAATTGTTCTAACTGTCAGGAAATTTCTCCTTAGTTCTAGGTTGCTTCTCTTCTTGTTGAGTTTCCACCCGTTGCTTCTTGTCCTGCCCTCAGGGGCTTTGGAGAATAGCTTTGTCCCCCTCTTCTTTGTGGAAGCTCCTTAACAACTGGGAAAGGCCAACACTGTTTTTTCCTCGCCACGTATCTGACCGTCCTCCCCAAATAATCCCCTAACAAAATCAGGAAAACTTTTAAAGGATTTCTTGAGTAACAGTAATCCGGGTCGGAGGCTTAACTTTTTAATTCAGGCTAATCATTTACTTTGGTAAGAGATCAGCCAAAGAGTGCAAAATCTCAATTAAAAAATAGGTACGGATGATTTATTTTTAATACCCTCCCCGACGAGGTCACGGTGTAAAATCCCAAACGAAATTAACAAGCAAAATTAAAAGCCACAGAAAAGCAATGCAATCAATATCCCCCGTGATTTATTTATAGATGCGCTAAAAATACATTTATTCAGCTGCAATAACCCTAATAAAACTGATGCTCCTGCTTTTAAAATCAGATAGTCCTTGACTTATGACCAAGCGACGGTTTGTAGTCATAACAGTGCTAAAAAAAAGCGACTTGCGACCAGTCCTCGCATTTACGACCATTGCAGCACCTCCACATTGCAAGTGCTTGGCCACCGACATGTATGCACAACAGTTGCAGTATCTTGGGATCACGGCCTTTTGCGACCATCCCAGCCAATTTCCGACATGCAAAGTCAATGAGGGAAGCTGGATTCGTTTAACAACCGCTGAAAAAAAGTTTGTAAAATTGCACAACTCACTTAAAAACTATAACACTTGGCAATGAAAGCTTCCAACCCAATTGAGGTCATAAATCAAGGACTAACTGTAGCAATAAGGTTGTGGGCAGCCTTGTTGTGTAATTTGATTAATCACACAAACACACAAACACACAAAAACTTTCCCAGGTATCTGAGAAAGCAAATTACGTAACATGCGGGCTCAAAACCAGAAATTTGGTGGCCTCATTTTTCAAGTAACAAAGGCCAAGCATCTTGTATTCCACCTTATTATGATTTATTGGTTATTTATTAAATGTTTGTGCCACTCATCTCTCCTGCAAGTTGAAGATGGGCGGCTTACGGATGATGCAAAAAGAATAAGGCAATTAAAACTAGACAGATTATGAACAGATTCATTTCAATGGATTAAAAACAATCCCATTTTTAAACCCCAGCTAGCCACTCTGTGCAACCGTTCGAAGCGAGCTGCAACCTCATAAAATTTCTCTCTCGGTTGTGGAGGGGAAAAAAAATATCTTGATTTTATTATTATTTTTTTGCTACCGCAAACCCAACCAGTTTAAGGTGCACTTTTTAAAAGCAGGGTGCAACCCGTTTCTATTTGCCAACCTGGCGCAGTAAACAACTTTTGTTGTTTTTTTCCCCCCGGCAGTTTCCAAGCGATTTTTAAAACGGCAGGAGGAGAAACATTTAGCCTGCCGGCGTGGGAATTCTCTGCTGTTTAATTTTTTTAAAAATTTTTTTGCACTAGCTATCTTTCACCAACTTGCTCTGGGGTTTCCTTGTCTGCCGGTGCATGAAATCATTCCCTTTGAAGGAAAGAGCCTAGAGTTAGAAGGGTCCCCTTGCGGTCCTCCAGTCTGACCCCGGCCCAGGACAGGCACCCCAGTGAAACCAACCGTTGCCAGTTGGCTGCCCGTCTCCCAAAATCGCCATCTCAGGGCTTCGACGCCCAACAGCTCTTACCATTGGCAGTTGGCATCGACCGGAGTCACCTTGCATGGCAATAAAGATTCCTGAAACTAAATCTGAACACGGAAAGAGAGTTTCTTCAGGAACCAGGAACCCCCAGTTTCAACATCCTCTTTAATCACACCCCAGCTTAATTCAGGCTAAACCACTTAGCGCTCCGTGCTTCTCCAAAGTCTAATTAATAAAATTACTATGACCAAAGGTTTCCTGGAGCCCAGCCCGGCCAATAAGGATTGTGCAAGTCCAGCGACTTTAAACAAACATGAACTGTAGAAGGTTTAGTCGTAAGTGAAGGACTGTTCTCTTCAGTGACGACCGTTCCAAGTTACAACAGCACTGGAAAAAGTGACTGATGGCTGTTTTTTCACATTTTACGACCGTTGCAGCAACAAAATTCAGGCGTTTGGCAACTCGTATTTATGACGTCCGCACTGTCCCAGGGTCACGTGTTTTCCTTTTGCGACCTTCTGACTGGCAAAGGGGAAGCCCAGATTCACTTAACAACCGTGTGACTAACTTCACGCCTGCAGCGATTCATTTAACAACTGTGGCAAGACAGGTCGTAAAATGGGGCAAAACTTGCTTAACAAATGTCTCGCTTAGGAATTTTGGGCTCCATGGTGGTCATAAGTGGAGGATTGCCTCTAATCGAACCCTTGCAGTTGGCAAGGGGAGCTCTTTACGGTTGGGGGGGGTCTAACCCGTGCTTTCAAATTTTGCATTACAAGCACTGCATTACCTAAGTCCTCAAATTACGACTGTCCGTTTAGTGACCGTTCAAACTTTGGGCGATGAAAAACTTGACTTCCAGCTTGTCCTTGTACTACTCACGAGCATCGCAACGTCCCTGCGGTCACTTGATTGAAATTCAAGCCCTGGGCAACTGACATGTACTTATGCCAGTTTTTCCTGTCCCGAGGTCATGTGGTCAACATTTACGACTTTCCCAGCCAGCTCCTGACAAGCAATGTCAGTGGAGTGAAGCAGGATTCGCTGAATGATCACGGAAAGAGATTTGTCGTGGCCGTGCGACGCCTTGGTTCATGACCGCACTGCTTAACGGCGAACGTCACGGCCCCTTTTGGCGTAAATAGAGGACTTAACATCTCTGCAAGACATCGATTACATTGGCGCTAATAAAGTTATCCTAATTATTAGTACTGTAACCGTCTCGGTTCTCTGCAAGAAGGAAGCTAATTAGCTCCACCTTCATACTTTATTTATTTAATAAAACAGCTAATTATTAAAAGGAAGAAACGAAGGTCAGCCAGTGCAAACTTAAGAGAGCATGAAACCAAATAGGAGCCAGTTGCCCCCAAAAAATCTCAATTTTGGTGACAGGACCCTGGCAATAATGCAACGTGTGAAAGTCACTTTTTTCAACGCCGTCGTCATCTCGAAACGGTCATTAAACCAACTACCGTAAGTCAGGGACTCCCTGCATCGGCTCCCAAAATTGTGACCCTGTTTGTTTCGGTTGTGATTCCTTTTTTGTTATTTTCTTGCCGAATTGAAAAAAAAAAAAAAGGCAACTATTTGTTTGCCCCCTTCTGTTTCTTATTCCTGGATTCACAAGTGGAACCACAACAAAAACAAACCAAAAATGAGATTTTGTTTCCTCCTCTTTTTTCTTTTTTTAAAGTGGGGTGGAATGACAAGCCTCCTCCTTCTTGAATGGACAAAAGCCAAGATTTGATGCGTGTCCTTTTTGCAAATATTCTTCTCCCACCCAAAGCCTCTCTCGTCCTCCCCTATAAAAAACCCCAGGATCCAAAAGGATCCGGCTGCATTGCAATCCCCAAGACAGAGAGAAACAGTCGGGGGCCAAGCAGGAAAAAACACAACAACGCAACTACACACTTTCCCCCCCCCCCCCTTTTGCGCAAAAGCGAAAGTCAGCCCAGGCAAATCGGTTTGCAAAAGGGAGGAAAGGAGGCGGAGGGGGGGCCTCTCCCTCCCTTGCCCGCGATCCCCAACCCGGCCCGCCCGCCCGCGCAACAGCAACAAGGGTCTCCTGGATGGCCAAGCCTTCTGGATCTCCAAGCGGGCGCCCGCGCAGCCTTTGCAAAAAAAGGGCTTACCATGTTCCTGGCTAGCAAGGCGAGCATTGCGCCGGTGAAGGAGCTGGGGGGGCCTTTTGCAAAACCCGCGCAACGCCCTGCCCACCGAGCAAAGTCCGCAAGGGCAGCCGCGCTCCGGTGCAACCTGGAGCCTCGGCCCCGCCCGCCCCTGCTTTTTTTGGGGGAGGGAGGGGGGGAGGCGGAGTCCCAGACTCAGCCATCTTTGGCCCGGGCATCTTGCGCCCCCCCCTCCCTCGCCATGCTTGGAAAGGGCAAGATCCACCCCCCCCACACACACGCCTCCCCCTCAATGCAAAGGGATTTTGGATGCAAGCAAGTTTTTAGGGCGCGGATGGGAGACCACCAGGAGATCAAAGGAAGGGAGAGTGGTGCTTCGCAGTTTGGGTTCTAAAAGTTTTAAAAGCGCCGCAAATTAGGAAAAAAGAAAGTGGGGGAGCTTGGGACCAAATGAGGTTACTATTCCTCTTTTACATTTTTTGCCCTTTCCTCTTTTTTTTTATTCTTTTATTACTTTTTTCTTTTTCTTCTTTCATTCTTTTCCCCCTTTTCCTCTTTTCCTTCTTACTCCATCCTTCTTTTTCTTTTATACTTTTCCTCTTTTATTCTTCCCCCCCTTTCCCTTTTCCTCTTGTGTTCTTTTATTTTTTCCCCTCTTTTCCCCCTCTTCCATATTACTTTCCCCCCCTCTATTTTTCTTCTTGCTGTTTTTGCCTTTTGGTCTGTTTCCTCTTTTTCTTCCCATGCACAAACAACAATAAGAGACAACGCAGCAGAGACCTCGCTGTTTTTCAGCTTTATTGTGCAACACATATTTTGGTGTAATTGGCAGCTCTTTGTATATGCTCTACTGTACTATATTTAGCTTTGGATGCAAAAAACTAAACCTGTGTTATGCTTATTAATGCTGTCATTGCAAATCATAGTTAATGCCGGTGTAAATCTTTTTTGTCCTTTTTAAATTAGGTAAACATTAGACTGTTACATCATCTCTAGTCAATACCGTACAGATACCACCGAAACAAAACAACATAATGCATTATAATACTAAAGTGTTATAATACTCTTAATTAATCAAATTTTAAAAAGAGAGGGCAGGAATCAGGAACCCATTTGGTTTCCAAAGTGGCACTTGGTTGCCAAAGAATCTGGGTGGGTCTCTAGGAAACAATTAAGAAAACAAACCGAGTTTGCATAACATGCTAAATCATCACTAACTAACACACTGGTTATTATCAACCTTGGCAATTTTAAAATGGGTGGACCTCAACTCCCAGAATTCCCTAGCAAGCCTCCTGGAAATCCACCCATCCTAAAGCATGCTGGCTGGAGAATTCTGGGAGTTGAAGTCCAATCCATCCTAAATCATGCTGGTTGAGGAATTTTGGGGGAGGATGAAGTCCACCCGTCTTAAAAGTTGCCAGCTTGAGAAACACTTGTTCCGACTGTAAAACAAGGAGGGAGAACGAGGGTGGAAGCCGAAGATGGACACATGGTTAAAGAGTTGAACATTCAGGGATGTGGATTATGGGTAAAAATCTTGGGGGGTCAGGGGTGGGATGGTTGTAAGCCCAAAAGACAAAACAGGACCTTGGATGAAAGCTGGCAAGGAAGGCAGCTCTCTTGTGGGTCAAAGATAAAAAGTGACTTCAGTGATTGTCTACGTTGCAGGTTGCCAAAGTCAACACAGTTGAAAGAATCGATATGACTCATTCATTAACCAAAGCTGGGAACAACCACAGAGCATCAAGAGTTTAATGATGGAATTAAGACAAACCCTGGGCATTTTTTCCCCCTGCAAAGCAGATGTAGATTGTCTTTGGATCTTAACAAAGGGCGGTTTATGCATTTTAAGCATGGTGCCTAAAGGAACTCTGAATACTTTGCCAGTTTGATGTTTTTCCACCTTGGCGACTTTATGCAAACTGGGCATTTGCTAAGTGCCCCAGTCTTCCTCTTCTGGGCACCGTACGGAATAAAGGAATAGGAGCAAATCAAAATTCACAAAAGAATAATATTTTTTAAACATTTATTTCAGTAAATATTTATTTTGGGATTAGAGTAGCATAGACATGGTGGCAATATATTTTTTAAAAAATGTGTTTGTGGTGAAAAAGCCAAATCTAAGCCTAAATCCATTCAAAAAGAAATTGTTTGTTTTGTTTATTCAATTTCTGTAGCCGCCCATCCTGACTAAAGACTGGGTGGCTTGCAAATTAAACACTCATACAATAAATACAATGCAAAGTACATAGAATAGTATAGCATAGTATAATATTTTGCTATGGTGCGATTAATGTATTATGTAGAATTAGAATAAGAATAGTATACAGTAGGGTAATAGTAGAGTAATAGTATAGTATAGTTTCATACTATGTTATGCTTTAGAACAGAATAGAATGAGAACAGAATAGAATAAGAATAGAAAGACAAAAGTCAATGCAGAAGGTTGTAAAATTGTATATATCTGTTGTTAGTATTGTATTTTAACATCTGATGTACGTGTGTTTTTGTATTTTGTTTTTGTCTCTTGATTTCTTTTGCTATTGTGTGTTTGGTTTTAAAATGTAAAATACTCAATAAAAATTATTTTTAAAAAAAGAATAGAATAGAATAGAATAGAATAGAATAGAATAGAATAGAATAGAATAGAATAGAATAGAATAGAATAGAATAGAATTCTTTATTGGCCAAGTGTGATTGGACACACAAGGAATTTGTCTTTGGTGCATAAGCTCTCAGTGTACATAAAAAGAAAAGATACATTTCATTTAATGTAATGCGTTGTAATGTATTGCAATGTATTGTAATATAATGTAAAATAAATACGATACGATATGTAACATATATGTATATATATATCTATTTTATATATATATATACACACACACTATACTAACAATACAATATTAGTATAATATAATATAAAATTGGGCTTCGCTCTGCCTTGAGTGTGTGTGTGTATATCTATACATATTTATATACATATAAAATTATGATAAAATTATCAGCATCATTGGAGCGCCCTCTAGAGGCCGAACCCCTGTAGCATCTCAGCTTTCCCACCGTCCGAGCCAGGCGCACGCTGGGGCTTCAGTGCGCGCGCGCGCGCGACGCAAGTAGTAACGGTTGCCCGTCGGCCTCCTGGAAGGCTTCGTTGCCCTTCCAAGTCGGCGTGTCCCTTGACAAACATGGCCGCTCCGGCTTCCCCTTCGCGCTTTCCTATTCGCCGCCGGCGGCTTTGCCCTTTTCCAAGATGGTGGGCCGGCGGTTCCTCAGGGCCGTCAGGTGGTGAGGGCTGAAAGGCGACGGCGACGGTTCCTCCTCAGTCCCGAGAAGATGGCCGAGAGCGAGCGACAGCCGGGTAAGGGCCAGTCAGCCTCGAAATGAAAGCTTTCCCCTTTCCCCAGCGGGGCAGGACGGGGGGAAAGGGAACGGCCTACTTTGCAGGGTCGTCGTAACCCCCTCGGGCCGGGGCCGTCTTTTGCTCCTCTGAGGGAGGAAACAAAACACCCCCGTGAGAGAAAATGATGGGTGGGGGGGGGTCTTTTCTCAGGGGCCCCTTGTGTGGGGAGGGGGCGAGGCTCCATCCCATAATAACAAGGCTGGGGGATGATGGTTGCTGGCACAGTCAGCCAGAGGTTCAGACGGGATTTGGCTTTTTTATCCCGGGGTGGAATTTCTTGTTGGAGGGGGTTCATATAGGCAGGCCGGCCTCGATTTACGACCACAATTGAACGCAGCATTTCTTTATCTATCTCTACATTCTCTCTCTCTCTCTCTCTCTCCATTCTCTATCTATCTATCTATCTATCTATCTATCTATCTATCTATCTATCTATCTACATTCTCTCTCTCTCTCTCTCTCTCCATTATCTATCTATTTATCTATATCTATCTATCTACCATCCCTATCTATCTATCTATATCTATCTATCTATCTATCTATCTATCTATCTATCTATCTACAGTATCTATCTCTACAGTATCTATCTATCTATTATCTATCTCTACATTCTCTCTCTCCATTATCTATCTATCTATCTATCTATCTATCTACCTACCTACCTACCTACCTACCTACCTACCTACCTACCGTATCTACCACCCTATCTATCTACTATCTATCTATCTATCTATCTATCTATCTATATCTATCTATCTATCTATCTCTATCTATCTATCTATCTCCTCCATCCTATCTATCTATCTATATCTATCTATCTATCTATCTATCTATCTATCTACTATCTACCTACCTACCTACCTATCTACCTACCTATCTATCTACCTACCTACCATCCCTATCTATCTATCTATCTATCTATCTATCTATCTATCTATTATCTATTATCTATCTATCTACATCCCTCTCTATTCCATTATCTATCTATCTATCTATCTATCTATCTATCTATCTATCTATCTATCTATCTATCATTTTATTTATAGTTTGCTTCTTTCACATCCATAAGTGCTTAGTGAAGAATGTATTGTCTGGGTCAATATACTTTATAGACATACTAATAACAATAATAGTATTTAGATATACATAATCATAATCTTTCAACTTCTAACATTTGTGTAAACATGGTAATTATCATATATTCTATTATACAGCTCAGTCCAACATTTCCATTGCTAAGCGAAATATTGGTTAAGCGAATTTTGCCCTGTTTTACGACCTTTTCTTGCTACAGTTGCTAAGTGAACCACTGCAATTGCTATAAATCAGTAACACGGTTATTAAGTGAATCCGGCTCCCCCCTCCCCCCATTGACTTTGCTTGTCAGAAGGTCGTAAGAGAGGGATCACATGACCCAGGGACACGACGACCGTCACAAATGTGAATCAGTGGCCAAGTGTGTGAATGTAAATCACGTGACCGTGGGGATGCTGCAGTGGTTATAAGTGTGAAAAATGGTCCTCAGTCATTTTTTTCAATGTCACTGTAACTTTGAACGGTCATTAAATGAACTGTTGTAAGTCAAGCACTGCCTGTAAGCTGTTCCAAGCAAAGCTGCCTTTTGCAATTAACTGATAGGGATTGTTGTCAATGCTGATAGTATTCAAATGTTCAAATAATATATTACTACGGTTCGTTGCACAGTCACCCAGATGTTCAGACTGGATCTACCATTTTATTCACCTATTACTAAGCAACTGACATAGATAAATGTGACTCTTCGATGGTGTTACAGTTATAAAGATATCAGCTGTTCCAATTGCCTTTTGCAATTGACCGATGGTGAATTTGTCAATGCTAATACTGTTCAAATGTTCAGGTAAATTTGCGGTCCATTGCACAGTTTGCTAGATGTTCAGACTGGATTTGGCATTTTTGTCCACCTATCCGAGACCTTCCCAAGGACCTGGGATGGGCAGAGGTAGCTGTTTGATGGAGTTACAAATATCATTGCAGGATGTAAGCCGTTGCTGATAGAGCTGCCTTTTGCAATTGACTGATGGTTGAATTTGCCAATGACGATGGTGTTCAAATAATAAATTATGGTTCATCATACAGCCAGTTCAGTTCAGACTAGATTTGGCATTTTTGTCCACCTATGGAATCATAGACAGATGTCGTTTGATGGCATTAAGTTGCAGGATGTAGGCTGTTCTACATCAAAATGCCTTTTGCAGTTGACCAATGTGGATTTGGTCAAAGCTGATGGTGTTCAAGTGATGCTCCAGATGGGGCAATTCCCAATTTTGGGAATTGCCCCAAAGAGGCTTATTCTTTGCTTTCTTTTGCCACAGTCCTCCTATTTCTATTTGAGGGCCTTTGTATTCGGTTATCTTTTCCAGTTCTTTCCATCTCCAGATACTGGAGATTGGACAACCATTTGTCTGAAATGGTTTAGGGCAGTGATGGCGAACCTTTTCGGCACCTAGTGCCCAAACCGGAACACGTCTGCATGCATGTGGCATGCCAGAGCACCGGAAACCTAAAGACCAGCATGCACGCTGGCCAACAGGTGTTTGGGTTTCTGGCACGCACATGCATGGCAGCCAGCTGGTCTTCGCGCATGCCAGAGCACTGGAAACCCGCAGACCAGCTGGCCGGTGCGCATGTGCACGCTGATAACCAGAAGAGCAGCTGGCGATACCGTGTGTGACCGCAGAGAGGGCTCTGTGTCCCACCTCTGGCACGCGTGCCACCGGTTCGCCATCACGGGTTTAGGGTTTCCTGCCTGAGCAAGGGACTGGATTAGAAGACCTCCAAAGTCCCTTCCACGTCTCTTGTTCTGCATGCCTAGGCCAGGAAGCCAGTTGGAATCCTGCTGCCGCTCCAGCTAATCATTGTGCATTTTTCAACACAACTCTGCGGCTCCAATCTCAGGAACACTAGCGTAGGCTCCCTTTTGAAATCTGCCAAATTTCTACGCCGCTTTTTGGAAGCGTGTGGTTTTGAAAGAGGGCTCTCCAAACCAAGAGCACTCCTTTACATAAGTGATGCCTCTCTGGGGGTTTGCAAAAACTGGGGGGGTTTGCAGGGATTTAATTTCGTTTTTCTCTCTTCTCCTTGTTAAGAAACCTAAAACAGTTCCTCAGTGAAATGCAGCCCTTATTTGAAAATGTTCACTTGACTTCGTCTGGACCCACACGGTTCCCTCTGGCTGCCTGCAGATCTAATCATCGGAACAGTTCAAAAGCAGGGTTCCTGAGGATTTTAACTCCCGGGTGATAACACTTAATCTCCTGCATTTATTGCATTTGGACTCTACTTCCCTTGCATCTCACTTAGGCAATCAGTCCGGCTGAGAGGCGGATTTAAAAACCTTCTGAAGAGATTTTCCTCCCCTGAAGGAAGCTGAAACTCTCCAAGATCTGTTGTGATTTGATCTGCTTTTTCCTCTTCCAGAAGCCTCGGAGGAGACCCAGCCTCCTCCTCCGTCCCAAACGTTCATGATCCCCAGGAAGGAAATCAACATGGTTCCTGACATGGCAAAATGGAAGCGGTCTCAGGTAGGGGCGAAAAGCTTTGCTTGGCATTATTTATTTGGCTCTGGCAGCAGATGCAGGGCCTGGCAGGAACCCCAAAGCCATTTTCCAGTCTTAAGAGAGCAATGATAACTGCGAAGGTTGTTCCCTGCATGTAGAAAGCTAACCTCTCAGGGAGAGGGTCCCTTGGAATACAGGTAGTCCTCGACATACAGCCACAAGGGAGCCCAAAATTTCTGTTGCTAAGCAAGACATTTGTTAAGTGAGTTTTGCCCCATTTTACAACCTTTCTCGCCTCAGTGGTTAAGTGAACCATTGCAGTTGTTAAGTTACTAAGTGAATCTGGCCTCTGCATTGACTTTGCTTGTCAGAAGGTTGCAAAAGGGGATCACGTGACACCCCCCCAACCCGGGATGCTTCAACCGTTATAAATATGAGCCAGTTGCCAAGCGTCTGAATTTTGATCACATGACCCTGGGGATGCTGAAACGGTCCTAAGTGTGAAAAACGATCCTAAGTCACTTTTTTCAGGGCGGTTCAGGGGTGAAATCCAGCAGGTTCTGACAGGTTCTGGAGAACCGGTAGCGGAAATTTTGAGCAGTTTGGAGAACCGGCAAATACCACCTCTGGCTGGCCCCAGAGTGGGGTGGGAATGGGGATTTTGCAATATCCTTCACCCAGAAGTGGGGAAGGAATGGGGATTTTGCAGTATCCTTCCCCCAGGAGTGGGGAGGGAATGGGGATTTTGCAGTATCCTTCCCCTGGAGTGGGGTAGTAATGGAGATTTTGCAGTATCCTTCCCCTGCCACTCCCACCAAGCCACGCCCACCAAACCACACCCACAGAAGCGATAGTAAAAAAATTTGAATTTCACCACTGGGGCCGTTGTAACTTCAAACGGTCACTAAATGAACTGTTGCAAGTCGAGAGGTCTACCTGTACTGCTGGTCCTTATACGGTGTGTTTTTAAACAGGCGTATGCTGACTACATGGGCTTCATTCTCACCTTGAACGAAGGAATCAAGGGAAAGAAGTTGACCTGCGAATATAAAGTCTCGGAGGTAGGCCTTGTTTTGGTCTCTCATAGAATTCTAGGTGAGAGATACCACCCCAGTCAAATGGTCGCCCAGTCTCTTTTTGAAAATCTCCAGTCATGGAGCAGCCACAACCTAATGTTAAACAGGCTTCCGTTTCTTCCTTCCTTTCCTTGGAGAGAAAGAGAAAGGAGGAGAAGGAGAAAGAGAGAGGGATTTCCACCTCCCCTTCCTTCCCTTGCTTGAAAGAGAGGATCTCAGCTGCAGGCAGACCGAGCGGCCGCATCAGCAGGCAAACCAATCTCGGCTGCTAATCCAACCACAGCAAAAATTGATTAAAGAGAGATCGGAGGCATCTGGGGTAGCCTGTTCCTGAGGGAGGCTGACGGCAGCCATACCCTTCCCATACACTAACGACACCGAGGCAGCCAAGGCCTTTAGCGAAAGGGACTTTTGAACTGATTGAAACGGGAGACGGTTCGGAAACCGGTTGTGTTTGGGCTCTGAGCTTTGAACCAGGGTTAGGAACAGAGCTGTGGCTGCAGATGGAACCTCCGCCCTTTGCCAGTTTTTATAAGGTTTAAGCCTTTCTCCCTGCTGTCTTATCGCTTCCTTGCCATGTTTCCCCATTAGTGGCCCGATGGTTTCCTTGACTTTTTTCTTGCTCTTACACGTTGAACAAAACTTTTTAAAATTATTTTTGACATTCGTTGCAAGTCTTAGTTCGGGCTGGTTCTGCTCAGTTGCGTTTTACTTCTGCTTTGCACGCTGCTGCGCTGGTTGAATTGCAGCCCCTCCCTCCCTCCCCGGCCTCCTTCTCACTCAGCTCATGCTTGAAGAGCTGGGAAAATTGGTGGGCTTGACAGTTTCCTGTCTGACACGGCAGAGTGAGTGATGGTCGAACTTTGGCCCAAGGGCCTGGAGGATTTCTCACGAAGGAAGCCGCCTCTGGCAAAGTCGAGGGAACCGCTGCTGTCTTTGTCCTCTCTCCTCCCCCCCCCTCTCTCTTCCCCACCTTTCCATGCTGAAGATTTTTTTTCCCACAAGGGCTTCTGTACATTTGGAGGGGAAAGATCCGGTGAATTAATTGATCAAGCTCAAACAAGCCTAGGACTGCAGTATATAAAATGAAGAGAAAGAAAGGAGAGAGAAGGGAGAAGGGAGGATTGAGGAAGGAAGGAAAGTGACAGGGAAGAAAGGGGAGAAAGAGAGAAAAGAGGAAAAGGAGGAAAGAGGAAGGAAGATGGAAAAAGAAAGGAAGGAAAGAAGGAAAGAAAGTGGGGAGGGGAGGGAGGGAGGAAAATGGGAAAGGGAAAAGAAAGGGATGGAAGGTAGATGAGGAGGGGAAAACATGGAGAAAGGGAAAAAGGAAAGGAAAGAATGGCAGGTGGGAGGAAGGAAGGAAGGAAGGAAGGCATCCTATCCTGACCTTGCAAACACAAATATTTCCGTTGCAGGCGATTGTCCTTCTTGCCCTCCTCCAAGACATCTTCCTTAAGTTTCATTTTCCTCCTCTGGCTCCAGATCAATGTTGAGCCTGCCTCCCATCCCCTGGGTTTTCCTCCATTCCCCCCTCCTCCCCCATTCAGATGGTCCAATGTTGCAAATGAGAATTTAGGCAGAATTTATTCTGCGGTCCTCTGCACGCTTTCCAGGGCCTTAGCATCTTTTTTTTTCTTGTATCGTGGTGACCAGAATTGCACGCAGCATTCCCAGCGTGGCCTCTCTGGTGCCTTAATAAAGGGGTAAATCTGGCAGAACAGGGTGCATGGTGTGGTGTGAATTCCGTTTCAAGGCTTGCTTACCGCCGGCTGATAGGACCACTGTACCTTCTTCCCAACAGCCCATCGAAAAGCTAGTCACGCTCCTCAACACGTTGGATCGGTGGATCGATGAGACGCCCCCCATGGATCAGCCTTCTCGCTTCGGGAACAAAGCTTTCCGGACGTGGTACGCAAAAGTGGACCAGGTAGGCTGGGAGGAAGGGCTGAAAGAGAGGGGGCGGAGGGTCTCATGGAGAGAGGGTCAGAAGTAAACCTGCTTTTGCCAAGTCAGCTTAGGCTGAAAAGAGTCCCAGAGTTCTAAAGGGCGTTAGAGGCCATTTGGCCTAACCCCTTGCTCAGGGGCTCAAGTGCAAAACAAGGATGTTTTCTTAAAAATCTGATTTGTTGTTGCGTGAGCTTATACCCCTGGATTTCCAGTCTCGTGGCCATCTTACATTCTCTTAGGACAGGAGCCTCCAATCTTGGCGACTTTAAGACTTGTGGACTTCAACCCCCAGAATTCCTCAGCCAGCCACACAATCTCTTTCCCAGCCTCCATTTCCCAGAAGCCTTATCCACGGCCAAATGCCACCAGAGGCATGCTGGGGGCTGAAGTCCACACCTCTGTCGTTTCCTTTGGGTTGGCCGTTGTGAATAATAGCTGGATAAGGAGGGGGACGCGCTCAGCTTGTAGATTTATTCTTCGGCCTGGATTGCCATGATGGGGTCTCTAATTGCTCGATTATGGCTAAATCTTAGGGGGCAGAGTCCTTGGTGGCAACTGTCATCCCCAAACAGCAAGCTGACGCCGTGCCCGAGGTGGCTGTGTACTTGAAAGAGTCCGTTGGCAATTCGACTCGCATCGACTATGGCACAGGTATCTGTTTATTGATTTAAAGCATTTATATAGCCGCTCATCTTCTAAACAACTCTGGTCGGCTCCCGGGGATGATGGGAGTGGGTGTCCGGCCCCCAGGGAGGACAGCCCTTCAGCATGGCAGATGGATTTGTGGGCGTGAGTAACAACTGGCTTTGGGGTCCTTGGTGCTCTCTGAACATGGTGGCTTTCTTGCAGACATTTCAATACCCAACTAGGTAACATCATCAGTGCTAGAAGGGAGTGGGATTTGGGAGGAGAAGGAGGGCTTTGGTTGCCTTGCAGATGTTTCATTGCCAAGCCTCATGATCCCTGTTGTCAAAAGTTGAAAACAGTGCTGTTTGCAGCACTGAAAAAGTGGCCTGAGGAAGTGGAATTGCATTTGAAAACTCCAGACATGTGCTGAAGCAGTGAACCGCCATAATAATAGAGACGGTGGTGATGATGATTTAAGAAGATGGGCAGTTTTTGCTTTGCATCTTGGAATGCAAGCCCCTGATTAAAACAGGCACAGCATGGCAAAATTAAATCAAGGTTTTTTTCCCAGGTAGCCCCCAGCTCTGATGCTTAGAAGGTTGTGGGTGCTCCATCCCTGGAGTTTTTTAAGAGGAGGTTTGGGCAGCCATTTGCTTGAGCAGAGGGTTGGACTAGAAAGCCTCCAAGGTCCCTTCCCACTCGGTTCCTCTCTTCTGCATTCTGTAAAGTTTCCCAGAAGAAGCTCCACAAAACTGCTAATGCAACTGAGCAACATACTTTAAAACAGCTGCTGCTGCTACTGCTGCTGCTGAGCCGAAGAAGGAACTTTTGGAAAGCTAGTTGATCCTTTTTTAAAAAAAAAAAATGCATGAAAAATTCAAGAGAACCCGCAGTAAAGCCGCAATCAGCCACCAGTCGGCACTGTCATCCTGGTTACCTCTAGCTCCAATTCCTGTTTCATTCCTGGTAGTTCAACACTGAACCTCAGTTTAGCTTGGAGGGAGCAGGAACCACATGAGATATTCACATGAATGCATGCACGCACGCACGCACACCCACCCACCCACACAACTCACCTTTCCTTCTGCTGTGACTTTTTACATAGCTCTGGCCCAGCCTAGTTTTCCTGAATGTACAAGCAATTCATTTCCAGCCAGCCTGACCCACAAATGGGATTGTCATTTTGTGTGACATCACAGCAGAGAGAGCTAGACTGAGGTTTAACTGCGTTGTGTGAAGGCTTTTTTTTTTTTTTTTGAGTTTTCTGGAAATGTTAAATAGAACCCTGGGTCCACAGACCGAGATTAGCTCCGTGTATTGGCACACATGCAGAGGCTCCTTAAAATGTTTGGAATGACTGTTTGTTTTAACTTTTTGTTACTAGCTTTCAAAAGTACACAATTAAAATACAAAATTACAACCTGAAGGGGATGTAAAAATAGTTTAAAAAGTGACACATATACAAAAGGAACAAAACAAACATGCAAAAAAGTTACTTCCAGCCTTCTTCAATATGGACGCAGTTATATAATAAAATAGGATCCGGCTGGGGAATTCTGGGAGTTGAAATCCACCCATCTTAAGGTTGCCAGAATTGAAAAATACATGGGTCACTTTCATGCAGACAAGAGGACAGAATTCCTGGGGGAAAGTTTTATTTTATTTCTCAAAATAATGAGATTTGAAAGAGTTCCTCACCTGTACCTTTTGCAGCCTCTGGAGGGCCTCTTCTTAAGCCTGGGCATCTTTTGTTTCTTATTTTTAACTATTCATTTCAACCTCACTTTTATTATTTTTACAAATCCCTCAAAGACGGTGGACATACCAAATGCTCCTTCCTCTTCCTCTTTTCTCCATAACCACAACCCTGTGAGGTGGATTCAGCTGAGAGAGAGGGACTGCCCCAAAAGTCAGACGGCCACCTTTCATGCCTAAGGCCGGACTAGAACTCACCGCCTCCTGGTTTTGTAGCCTTGACCTTAACCCCTAGACCAAACTCTTCTTCATCCTGAGCATCTCCCTTCTCCCCACAGGCCACGAAGCGGCCTTCGCTGCCTTCCTTTGCTGCCTCTGCAAAACCGGCGTCCTCCGGCTGGACGATCAGCTGGCCATCGTCTTCAAAGTGTTCAACAGGTAAAGTCCATGCCGCCAAAGTTGAGAACGCCACTTTGGAGCAAGTTCTCAGATAGCGGATATCATTTCATTTCCGAAAGCTTTTTTTAAAGGGACCTTGGAGGTCTTCTAGTCCAACCCCCAGGTTCTGCCCGTGTTATGGCATTGACTAAGATCCCAAATCCCCTCCCCAAATTCTCCCTCTGCTTCCTCTTCCGGTCATTCCATTATTGGTCCAAGACGGGAAGGGCTTTTCCCATTGAGTTCCTGTGGAGGTTTGTTTCATGGAGTCAGTGGTCAGCTGCTATATAATCCTGACCCACCCAATTTTATTTGGTTTCAGGTACTTGGAAGTGATGCGGAAACTCCAGAAAACCTATCGGATGGAGCCAGCTGGCAGTCAAGGAGTCTGGGGTCTGGACGACTTTCAGTTCCTCCCCTTCATTTGGGGAAGCTCTCAATTGATTGGTAAGCAGGGATATTCTCTCTCTCTCTCCTCCTCTCTTTCTCTCTCTCTTTCTGTTTGTCTCTTTTTCTGTTTGTCTCGCTCTCTTTTTCTTTCTCTGTTTCTCTTCTCTTTCTGTCTCGCTTTTTCTCTTTCTTTGTCTCTGCCTCTCTTTTTTTCTTCTTTCTTTTTCTTCCTCTTTAGGAAAAATTATTTTTATTGCTGCCATTTCTTTTAAAGGGGCTATAAAGGGTATTTATTTACTATCAGTTCCCATAGTTTTCTTGGCAAGATTCCAGAAGTGGTTTGTCATTGCCTGCTTCCTTGGGCTGAGAGAGAGGGGCTGGCTCAGGGTCCCCCAGTTACTGTGTAACTGTTAGGTAAGCCTGGAAGTTTAGAAAACAGGATTGGGAAAAGAACGTAGACCGTGGACTCGAAAGAGCGGAAAGCAAAGGATTAATAAAAATTTAAACCCCAGGCCAAAATATCGACGGGTTTTCTGCCTTCTGCAGTAGGCAGGTTCCCTCCATACCGGTAGTCCTTGACTTACAGCCACAATTGAGCCCAAAGTTTCCATCTCTAAGCATGATGGTTGCTAAGTGAGTTCGGCCCTGTTTTACAACCTTTCTCACCACGGTTGTTAAGTGTCGTCGTTAGTAACAGGGTTGTTAAGTGAATCTGGCTTCCCCAAGGACTTTGCTTGTCGGACGGTCGCTAAAGGGGATCACCGGACCCCAGGACACTGCAACCGTCATAAGTACACGCCAGTTGCCAAGCATCTGAATTTTGCTCAGATGACGCAACAGTCCTAAGTGGAAAAAGACACTTTTTTGCAGTGCCATTGTAACTTTGAACGGTCACTAAATGAATGGTTATAAGTCAAGGGTTACCTGTAAGAGAATCCTTTTTTTTTTTTTTTTGTTCTGCTGTCAAGCCATTTCTCCGGCCCTGTTCAGAATTTAAGGTTTCTGCTCTTTGGGGTCCGTTTTGAAGAGCCGAGGGGCATTGCCAGGCTCCAATAAATCTCCTCCAGGGTTGAACTTCCTCCAGCCACTCTGAAAAAAATCCTGTTTTTAGATCACCCCAACCTGGAACCCCGGCACTTTGTGGATGAGAGGGTGGTGAACGAGCACCGTAAGGACTACATGTTCCTCGAATGCATCCGGTTCATCACAGAGGTGAGGCTGGGATTGCGCCTTTCCCTTCCGTTTCTTTGAGCTGAACTTTGGTGGAGCAGAGACAGGTAGCCCTTGAATCACGACACCCCCACACACACACACATGGAGCCCAAGATTTCCGTTGCTAAGCGAGATAATGAAGTGAGTCTGGCCCCACTTTACGACCTCTCTTGGCACGGCTATTAAGCAAATCCCCCGCAGTTGTTAAGCTAGGTTGTTAAGTGAATCTGGCTTTGTTGGAAAGTCACAAAGGGGGATCACATGACCCTGCAACCGTCATAAGTACATGCCAGTTGCCAAGCATTCGAATTTTGATCAGATGACGCAACAGTCGTATGTGTGAAAAACGGTCCTAGGTCACTTTTCAGTGCCGTGGTAACTTTGAACGGTCACTAAATGAATAGCCAAGGACCCTTTGTAGTTTTGTATTCTGGAAGGAAGCCCAATTTTTGCAGCCACTTGAAAGAAACCCGGCTTAAAGCCTCGGCTTGGAAAATTTGTGGACTAGGCACCAATTGCAGCTCCACCTAGTGCTTTCTTGATTTTATGAAAAGGATTTGACTAAAAAAAGAACAACACCTCATTTCCTGTAAAAGCCCCACTTTTATTCCTAAAACCAGGCTTGGCCTTGTCTGTTTGGCCCAAGACTGCAGATACTCAACTTATAACCTCTCGTTTAGTGACCATTCAACGTTATGGCACCACTGGAAATAGCGACTTATGACTGTTTTTCACACTTGTGATGGTTGCAACATCCCCACGGTCCCATGATCAAAATTCAGACACTTGGCAACTGGCTGGTACTTATGACGGTTGCTGCGTGCCAGGGTCACATGATCCCCTCTTGCGACCTTCAGATCAGATTTTCCCAGCACAATATTGGCCCCTAGTGGCGGAACGATAGAACTACAGCATCCACAACGTGGCCGAAGGGGAGTTTTATTTTTCTGCTCCGAATCTCAGCCTAGGAAGGGGAGGAGGGGGAGGTCATGGTATGTGGGGATGACCTTTGGAGATGTGGGGGAAGTGATACCGCCTAGGGAACGGTCAGATAAGAGAGCGCATAGCCCACAGCTGTATAATGGGGATAGCAAATTCCAGCAGATTTACCCAATAAGAAAACTCTGTTGAATGGACAGCAGATGTCTGTTAGCTGTTAACCAAGAAATCTCTCGCTCTCCTGCTAGTCTCCACCATGATGGTCAGTAGGGTGGGCATTTCTTTTGTAATAATTGCATGGGTTGGGCCTAGGAGTGGACATCACAGCTGTCACAGAGAAGAGGGGGTCAACCTAAATCACCTGAAGGCAAGACAAGAAGTTACAGGTAGAAACTAATCAAGGAGAGAAGCAAGCTACAACTTAAGGAGGAATTTCCCCGACAACAAAAACAATTAACCGGTGGAACGGCTTGACTTCTGGAGTTATGGCTGCAGATCCTCAAAAGAGGGACCACACGCTCCTTACGGCGGGGGCCAGGACAGTCCACCCACAGCCTCACTTCTCTTCTTACCCACCCGGCTGGCTGGCTGGCGTAGCCCTTCGGTTCCCAGGCAGCCTCCTTCCTTCCCACCCCCCGGCTTTGTTCCTTTGTTCAGCAAGAGCATCTCCCTGTCTCTTGTGGGGTCCCCTCTGGCCTCATTTCCAAACAGATCTCCACCCCCCCACACACACCCCAGGGGGTGAGTGAACAGGCCCAAATCTTGGGCCAGAAGTCGATTGCCTTCCCACTCACAAATCCCACGCCTGAAAAAAAAAGCAGGAAGGTTTTAGCAGTCCTGCCTTTTTTCCCCCCAAAGTCCCAAACATGCAATGCAAAGGTTTTATTGTTATTTTTTCCTCTACACCTCCTTTTCAACCCCCACCTGCCCCGGGTCCCTGCCTCCTCTCCCCAGTTTTAATCTTGCAGTTAGAATGGGCGGCTAATAAAAATTTTCCAAATCGATAAATAAATCCAGTTCCTAAATTTGGGGAAGTTTTGGGAAGGGACAGCTCCAATTTCAAAATAACAGAATAATTTAATAATCATTTATTACAGAATAATTTAATAATTTCAATAAGGGTGTGCGGGTTGAGAAGGGGGTGTAGAGGAAAAATAAAACATTTTTAAAAGCTTTGCATCGCTTGTTTGGGGCTTGTGGGGGGGGAAAGGCAGGAATGCTAAGCCCTTCCTGGCTGGAAGGGAAGCCACGGACAGGAAGGTGCTGGGCTCAGCTGCCTTCCCTCCTCCCCTTTTCCATCTCCTCTCTGCCCCCCCTCTTAATTTTTTTTTTCAACTGACAGAGGAACCATTTACAAAAGGCCGATTCTCTTGGGAACAGAGAGGCAGGAACGCAGCGTCTGTGAGTAATTTCCTGCTCAATATGGTTACCCTGACTCATTCTGTTCCCTTGGGGTCACTGCGGGACTCACTCTCTCTCTCCATCCTTCTCTCTCCCCGGCTCGTTCTTTTCTTTGTGGCTGGAATCAGCTGCAGTTCCTTTCTTTCTACCTCTCTCTTTTTTCCCTGCCTCTTTGCTTTCTTCTTCTTCTTTTTCTAAAACTCCACCACTTCGTCCCCAATCTCCCCTCTCCAGCAGATGTCCGTTTGGCACCGCAGTGATGCCCACCTGCTTGGGCGGAGTGGAGTTTCAGGGTGCCAAACTCTGGTTTCGTAACCGAGGCTGCGCGAAAGGTCATCCCTTTGGAACGCAAACACAAACACAAACCGCCATCTGCCCCAAGCCACAGCCACGTTGTGGGTCCCTGGCCGCGAAGGGGCAGGCAAGAGAGGCTTTACTTGTCTGGGCCCCATGTCCCTTTTCTGCAAGCGCTGAACGGTTTTTCTGTCTCATCTTTTTAAAAAAGATATTGTTTCTATTGTAGTTGATCATCATATAAAATGCAATTGAGTTACTTTGTACAAATAATAAAGTGAGGAACGAAAAAGGAAAGGGGAAGAAAAGGAAGGAAAGGAAGGAGGGATTTCCTGACAGTGAGTGGAACAGCTTCCCTCCAGAAGTTATGAGTGCTCCATCCCTGGAGGTTTTCAAGAAGAGATTGGACAGCCATTTGTCTGAAATGTTATAGGGTCTCCTGGTTGAGCAGGGGGTTGGACTAGAAGACCTCCAAGATCCCTTCCAGCTCTTTTATTCTGTAATTCTAAAGTGCAAAGGGAGATGGTAGGGAAATAGGGGAAGAGAAGGAAAGGGGAAAGAAAAAATGGTGACTTGGAAAATAAAATTACAACCTCAGCTTTTTATTTTTTTCATGTTTAGTGAATGCTCGCCGTTTCTAGAGCGGCCAGCTAATCTAATCGGCCAAACCCAAAATCAAATTTTCATATATATATATTTTCCGTTTCGACTACAAAACTCTAGAGAGAAACAAAACTAGATACTTTCTTTTTAAAATTAAAATAATTAATCTATCCATCCCTGCTAACTCCTTCACGTTTTTGGTCTCCTTTCTGCAACCTGTTTTCAGCACAAAATACGTTCTCTGCTGTACATCCAGCTTTTGCTCTGCTACATAGGCAAACAAATTTAGGAAGGGGTGAAAAAGACAAGGACAGATCACTTTAGAAATACAGGGCTCACGTGATCCCCTTTGGCCAAGTTAATAGGGAAGCCAGATTCACTTAATAACCCTGCGACTAAGTTAATAACGGAGATCATTCACTTCATTCCCTGTGGCAAAACTCCCTTGAGAACTGTCTCGCTTAGTGGCAGAAATGGGCTCAGTTGCGGTCATAAGTCGAAGACACACACCCACACGCACCCGTAAAAGAGGGATAACAATCCAATAAATAAATAGAAACATCGATCAGCCCAACCCATCGGTTCTCTTTGGACGAGCCTCAAACGAGCCGCTTCTTGGGAAGGACTTAAAAACATCTGACCAACTTTGCCAGAGCTGACTGACGCAGCCTGGATGAGTCAGCCTATCATTCTCTTTTGAGGATCTGGCCGGGCATGACTAAGAAGGCTCTGCAGCTCCTGCTGCCTCTGGCCTTTTTTTCCGAATTGGGGCCTCGGCCCCTCCAGGCTTCAGTTCCCGTCCTTAGGTTAAGGCCGTTGGAATTCAGCCTTGCCCTCTGTCACAAAGGTGAGCGCTCAGATTGGAAATAGGATGTGGGACGGCTTGCCTCCCATCACTGCAGGATTTCAAGAAGAGACTGGACAGCCACTTGTCTGGGATGGTGTAGGGTCTCCTGCCTGAGCAGGGGACTGGACTAGAAGACCTCCAAGGTCCCTTCCAGTATATATATATATATAACGAAGCAGCCCTGTGCCGCTTTATAGCGGTTTATTTAAAAGTGGTCCTCAACTTAACTACAACGGAGCCCCAGAATTTCTGTTGCTAAGCAAAACGTTTGTTAAGTGAGTTTGGCCCCATTTTACGGCCTTTCTCGCCACAGTCGTTAAGCGGATGACTGCAGTTGTTAAATTAGTCACACGGTTGTTAAGTGAATCTGATCTCGTGATCAAAATTCAGATGCTTGGCAACTGATTCAGATTTATGACAGTCGCAGTCTCCCGGGGCGGTGGGAGGTTCCCTTCTGACAAGCCAAGTCAATGCGGAAGCCAGATTCACTTAACAACCATGTGACTCACTTAACAACTGCGGTGGTTCACTTAATAAATGGGGCAAAACTCACTTCACGTAGCCACATAAACCGTGGACTCAATTGCGGGCGTAAGTCGGGGACTACCTGTATAAAGGTCAACCTGTAGCTCACAATCTGCATTCCCCCCCCCCCACGTGCTGGAGCCCTTGAGGACTAGGAGCTTGAAAAGCAGGCGTGGCAGATTCCTCGTCCGAAAAAGCAGACTTTTGTGTTCCTTCATTCCTTACCCCACCTCTGTCCTTCTGGCTTTTTTTCTCCCGTTTGGGGATATTTTTTTTCCTCGCTTTCTTTCGACCGAAGAAATTCTATAAAGAACCCGATAACCTTTTAGGTTCTCATCAACTGGTCACCCAAATACGGGGGCCCCCGGGGAACCCGATCTTTTTTCTTTCCCTCTTTTCCCCCCCACCCCAAATTTGTGCTTCTGTTCCTGGCTAAACCCTTGTGGGTTTAGCCAGGAGAAACCAGCAACCCACTGTCCTTTTCTTGGCTCTTGAGGATGGAGGCGGGAGACCTTTTGCAGCTGTTGGGGGCAGAAATGAAATCCAGGCCTTGCTACAAAAAGGGTGGAGAAAGGGGACTGACCACGGGAGGAGGAGGAGGAGGAGGGGGCTGACCACCTATTTTCTCCCCCCACCAGCCCCTCACCGTATTGCCCATCTCTTCCCCAAAATACCTTCGCACTGAGTGTAGAGATTTTTTGTGCATTTAAAAGGCGATCACTTCCCCCCCCCCTTCCACCAACCCATTTTAAATCCCTCCTTCCTCTCCTTCTCTTCCTCCTCTCCCCCCCCCATTGTTTTTGCCGCTGGGGGGTTTGCAATCTGAATATTCTGTGTGCTTTAGGTCTGGAGAGAGGAGGAGGAAGAGGAGGAGGAGGAGGAAGTGAGTTATTTTAAAATCCGCATCCTGCACAAGGGCTGCTGCTGACTTCCCAGGCTTGCTTTTCAGCTGGCGCTGCAGCTCTGTGGTGGATGATGTCATGGAAACTTCCCTCTCGGCAAGTTGAGTTGCATTCCCTCCCAGCCTCCTCCTCCTCCTCCTCCTCTCTCTCTCTCTCTCTCTCTCTTCCACACCCCCACCCCCACCCCAGACAGAGCCAGCTTTCTTCTCAAGGGTGTGCCCCAGAATCCTGTCCAAGAAAAGTAACTCCGCTGCTTTTTTTTCCGCCTCCCCACAAGCCCTGCGCCTCTTGCTTGGGAGTTCATCCGAATCTCTTCCTCGCAAAAGGTCTCAGGCAAACGAGGAAGGCTGGAATTAGAAAAAGTGGGAGGTGCGGCCCTTTTGGGGGGGCGTCCCCCCCTGCAGATTGTTGGAGAAATCAGATCACCTCAACGGGAGGGGCGGCACGTCTGTCTCTGCCTTCCAAAACAGCTCGGATGCCCAGCCAGCCGGCAGAACCGGTCTTTTGGCCTCGTGGGCAGGGTTGGGCTGGGTGCAGATTGGCAGGCAGGAAATAAATTAGAGAAAGGCAGAGTTGGAAGGGACCTCGGAGGTCTTCTAGTCCAACCCCCTGCTCAAGGCAGGAGACCTTACACCATTCCAGTAAAATGGCTGTCCAGTCTCTTCTTAAAAACCTCCAGTGATGGGAGGACCCACAACTTCTGGAGGCAACTTCTGTTCCACTGATTAATTGTTCTCACTGCCAGGAAATTTCTCCTTAATTCTAAGTTGCTTATCTCCACCCCTTTACTTCTTGTCTTGCCCTCTGGTGCTTTGGAGAATAGGTTGGCCCCTTCCTCTCTGTGACAGACCCTCAAGTACTCGAAGATGGCTATCATGCTAATCCTTTTCTTCAATCAGCTAGAGATAAGCTGGTTCCCTTAAATCATTGTACGATTTAGCCTCTGGATCCCTTATCATCTTTGTTGCTCTTCTCTACACTCTTTCTAGAGCAGTGGTTCTCAACCTGTGGGTCGGGACCCCTTTGGGGGTCGAATGACCCTTTCACAGGGGTCGCCTAAGACCATCGGAAAACACATATTTTCAATAGTTTTAGGAATAATTTTATGGTTGGGGGTCACCACAACATGAGGAACTGTATTAAAGGGTCGCGGCATTAGGAAGGTTGAGAACCACTGTTCTAGAGTCTCTGTGCAGTGTCCATGCAGCCGTCAGAACTTTGAAAATAGCATTTGGGGCGCTTGGCTTCTGATTGGCATTGACCGCCATTTGCATCATGAAATAATCATGACTAGTTTTCGGTCTTTACTTCTGACCTCTGGCAAAAAACGCCCATTGAGCAAAACGGATTCATTTTATGACTGACGTGTTCTGTTCACAACCGCCACAAAAAAAATTGTACAGTCACATGGTGAATCGCTTAACGATCGTCATGACTTGTGTGCCAGCGTTCCAGAAAGTCCCCAACTCTTTAGCACCAGAAGCTTCCACGCTGCCATTGGGATCAGAACTCCAGTTATGGTCGTAGGTTGAGGATTAACTAATAGTTTTGGGATTCACTGCGTTGTGTAGACCGCTCCACTTGGGATAAACTGAATTAAGTTTAGACCAACAGCAAGTACCTGTAATGGTGTTCTGAATTTCAGGCTCTCTTTTTCTCCCAACAGTTTCTCCTCAAAGAAACCCACCTGTGCCAACCGGGTGCAGCCACAGCAAAGTGGAAAAATGCCATTAGGCATTGAAATGTTCTTCTCCCCAGATCTGCATAATAAAATTTGAGGGGGACCCCATGTGGGTTTTTTTTTTTACACTGCTAGTTAACCGCTTTGGGCTCTAGTTTGTTTGTGGGGATGTGCCTCAAGGTTAACACTCTTTCCTTTTGCCCTCCAGATGAAGACGGGCCCCTTCCCTGAGCACTCCAACCAGCTGTGGAACATCAGCGCCGTCCCTTCGTGGTCCAAAGTCAATCAGGGGCTCATCCGGATGTATAAAGCCGAGGTAAGGAAAGGCAGAGGAAGTGGGGACTGCACCTCTCCATCCAGATGTCCTAGTTTATTTAATTTAATTTTAATTAATTAAATTTATATTTAGTTCTGGGTCAAACATCTGTCCGACCTTGAGAGGCTATATTGAGTGTATTAGGCTGTCCATGAATGTGAAAAGCTGGCATTTATCAGTCACTTTGGACTTTTCATGAGCCAGTTTGGTCTAGTGTTGAAGGTACCAGGATAGGAAGTGGGAGACGGGGAGTTCTATGGTCATGAAAACCAGCTGGGTGACTTAGGGGCAATCACCAGGAGAAGGGGAGTTCTAGTCCTGCTTTAGGCCTGAAAGCTGACTGGATGGTTTGGGGCCAATTTACCCTCAGGCCTGGAGATCCTGGACTTTTTGCCTGGTGACTCCAGACCATGATGTACACCGGATGTCAAACTTCTGTCCCTCTTCCATTTCTTTCCCCTTTTTTTAGTGCCTGGAGAAGTTCCCCGTCATTCAGCACTTCAAATTCGGCAGCCTGCTTCCTATCCAGCCTGTCACACCTTAAGGAGCTCTGTTGGTGATGGGACCGGGGGGGGGGGGGGGGGGCGGGGAGAGGGGGGGGGGGGGGGGGGGGCTCCCTTTCCTAGTCACCCCAAAACCCCGCCGGCCTTGATGCTCCTTCCTTTCGGCAGGAGCCTGGCAGGGCACAACTGTCCAAGAAGACCCTGGCATTGGCACAAAAAAAGAAAGAAAGAAAGAAAAAAGGCAAGAGGTGGACTTCACTCGGGCCACACAATGGTCCCCCTCTTCTGCACCCCTTTTTTCATTTGCCCCAGGATGGTTGGTGTCCTTAAAATGGTGGTGGTAGGTGGGGGGTTTTGCTTCTCTGAGCTGTGCTGTATATTTTGCTGGGGAAATACACATGCTTTAAACTTAGAGTCAAGCTGGACGTGCTGGCATTCTTCCCAATCCTTCCCCTTCTTTGCCTTGATCCCTTTGGACAGGGGTCTCCAAACCTGGCCACTTTTAGACTTCTGGACTTCAGCTTCTAGAATTCCCCAGCCAGCTTTGATTTCGGACCCTTCCCATTCAAGAAATAGGGGGTGTTATTCCCCTCCCCACCCCAGAGAGAAAGCTTCCATACCTGTGTTTCACAACCTCAGCAGCTTTAAGATTTCAACTCCCAGAATTCCCCAGCCAGCATGTGCGGCCTCCACTTGGGGAAACCACATTTGAAGGGTGCAGACAGACGGGGGGCAAGTTCAAAGAAAAGCAGCAAAAAGCATTTGTCTCTTGCTAGCCTACATCAAGAAAAGATTATAGGTTTAGAGTCCCAGATTCTGCTCAGCACCTGGTGAAATTGACTTGACAGGAAGATGAAATTGACTAACTCTTGCTCTTTGTAAGATCTGGAAATTGACGGGGGCTCAATTTCAATTCGGCAGGGGTTCTAGATCTTGAGCAATCTGCTTTTCCTTGAATTTTGCTTCTTCCAAGTCATGATTTGCAAAAATGTAACCTACATCTAAATAGGAGAATGATGATTAGAAGGGAAGAAAATGGACAAAACGGGAAATAACTAAAATGGAAACATCTATGCTGGCTGGGGAATTCTGGGAGTTGAAATCCCCACACCTTAAAATGGCTGAGATTGAGACACACTGTTTCGCCAACTAAAACCACAGGATCTGCGTTCACGGATCCTGATCAGATCAGGGGAAGACGGTTGCATTCACACAAAAGCATAAAGCACGCGGGCTAGGGAATTCTGGGAGTTGAAGTCCACGCATCTTTAAAAAAATCACCAAGATTGAGAAACACTGTTCCGGACTACGGCAGCCACTTTATTTTGAAAGCGTGGGGTGTTTCTGAGCCCCTTCCCCAGTTTCCCAGCCTTCTTGCAAGCTGGATATTTAGCGAGGAGGGGAGATTCACTCGTGGACCCCCAAGGAAACATGGCATCCGGTCCTTAAAAGAGAGTTGGATCAGAAGGGCCTGCTAGGCAAGCTTGACGTGCCTCCTCTCCAATCCACCTGGAGAAACTCAAGAGTAACTTCGTGCATTGAGGGATTGGCTATTTTTTTTTTTCCATGTGGACCAGAGAGTTCTAGATCTCCAAAAAAAAATAAGAAAAGGAAGGACGACATGCTACACCCCACCACCAATTTTAATATTGTCCATCTCTTTCGGCCAAGGAGCCAAAGGCTTTAAATTACACTTTGAAAATATTTTGGTGAAAAACAGCCCCCCAAAAAGAAAAACCCCAAAACACCCTCTGTGAAAGTATTTCCGATTTGTTTATTTATTTTTCTTTCCAGTCAAGTCTTAAAAACAAAACAAAAAAAAAAATTTTTTTTTTTGCTTTAATTTATATGCCGCCCTTCTCCAGAGACTCGGGGCGGCTTACAATGCGTTAAGCAATAGCCTTCATCCTTTTGTATATTTATACAAAGTCAGCTTATTGCCTGCACAAACTGGGTCCTCATTTTACCCAACTTTGAAAGGATGGAAGGCTGAGTCAACCTTGAGCCTGGGGAGATTTGAACTTGCAGTAATTGCAGGCAGCAGATGTTAATTACAATGCTTTAGTCCACTGTACTACAGGTTGAAGTTTATGGGGAATACATTACCTGTACCTACCCCCCCCCACCCTCCAAGTGATTTGAAAGTAAGGGGGGGATCCCCAATTTCTGCATTTCTAATTCAACTGGTTCTGTAGTTTTTTGTTTTTTTTTCTGGCTCCTTGCAAAAACTTGTCAATCCTGTTTCTCCAAATTGGGGGGGGGGGGATTCCAAGAAACTGCTTTGATGGTTTATTCCATTTTAAAGGGAACCCCCCCCCTTTTTTTTTTTACAAAAATGTCCAGTCTGAGGCTGAGTTGAGAGGGGCAGGTGGTTGTGGGTAACTTCAGAGGGCGATTCCTAGTAAGTAGTGGATTCCACCTGCTTGCTGATCTCTTTGTGGGATCCTCGGTACTCTCTAGATAACGTCATCAGTGTGAAGAGAGGGGGGTTTGCAGAGAGGAGAAGAGGAGGAGGAAGACAGTGACAACTGTGGGGCCCTTGGTGCTCTCTCCAAGTGGTGGTTTTCTTGCAGAAGTTTCATTGCCCAACTAGGTTATATCATCAGTGCTAGAAGCAAACCCCACTCCTTCACAGCATTGATGATGTAACCTAGTTGGGTGATGAGACGCAAGAAAAAAAAAAAACCCAGCTCACAGAGCACCGAGGACCCCTCATATTAACCCTGAGCTACAAATATTCTCCTCTTACCGGCTGATCTCTTTTCCTAGCTTTCCTGTAGCCTACTCTAGAGCAAGAGGTTCAGCCCTCTTGCAACTATACTTGGAATGGCCACAAACCCCAATGCCTTTTGAAACTGTGATCAAAGCAAGCGGCAGCTTCCCCGGGCAAGCTTGCAAATGGGGAGGAGGGGGGGATGTGTGGGATTTTTGCAAACCCTGCATGTGTGTACTCAGCCTCCCGGGGAGGAGACATCCCCTCCCCTCCCCTCTCCTCCCTCCCCCTCAAAACGTCCATCTTTGCCTGTTTCTGCTAAACACCCAAGGAGTGACGTCCTCAGTGCCGGGGAGAGCTGCACCTTCAATTAAATAGGATTGGCCTCTTTCTCTGTGTGACATAGCTTTTATTAATTCCAGGTATCATTCAGGGCCCACCTGCGCGTTCCTTCGGCTGGGTGGTCAGAGCTTTTCGAACCACCTCTTCTTAGATTTTATAGTGCAATAGCCTAGCGCTTAAGGGGTCTCCAAACCTGGCAACTTTTAAGACTTCAGCTCCCAGAATTCCCCAGCCAGCATTTTCCTTAGACATATCAGCCCACATGCCGGAATTCTGGGAGTGGATGGAAGTCCACAAGTCTTAAAGTCACCAAGTTTGGAGAGTCCTGGACCAGACAGAATTTGATGGAAATTCTGTTGGACGTCCTATAGCCTATCTGATCTGTAGCTCTGCACACGTGCCCTTGTCCAGAACGGTCAATCGGGCATTCCTGGACCCATAAGCCTTCCCCCTGACCCTGGTCTCCAGTACTCTTGGTCTGTGGTTGGAATTAAACCTGTTGAATTTCGCCTGGAGTTGCCAGCATTTTGTTCGATGTTCGACCTGATATGTTTGTTGAGCTTTTCTTAAGGATTCGGGTGAAGGCGAACCTTCTCTCTCAATTCTTTTGGCCTGCGAGTACAGGCGGTTCCCCCACTTAACAACCAGAATTTCTGTGGCCAAGGGCCGTTAAGCGAGCCCTGCTCAATTTCGCAACCTTTTTTTTTTTTTGCCACAGTTCTTAAGCGAATTGTGTGGTCGTTAAACAAACCCGGCTTCCCGCATTGACTTTGCTCGTCACAAACTGGCTGGGAGGGTTGCAGGTGTCAGTCATGTGATGCTTAGGATTCTGATTTTGATCACTAGACTGGGGTGTGTGTGTGTGTTGTAAGTGTGAGGACAGGTCATAAATTCCTCCCAATGGTTGCTAAATGGTTGTAAGCTGAGGACCTCCTCTAGGTTGCTGTTTTGTGGGATTTCCAGATGGCCAAACATGGATCTCTCGAGCAACAAAAATCACCCAGCGAAGTTGATTGGCCTGAGACCAAATCAGCAGACTGAATTCCTGACCAAACAACATTTCGAAAGAGCTCCTTAAGGCCATCAAATCTGTTTATCTACTGCTTGGATTACGTCCCCCTGCGTATCTTCTCACACACACACACATACAAATGTTTCTAGAGAGGGGAAGCCGATCCCAGGTCTTCAGCGTTTCCCTTTTTCTCTTTTATGAGAACTGTTTAATTCTGGGGCAGGCAACTTCGTATGGGCCAGAGGCAAAGTAAATTACCATTTAGGCCAGATGCGGGATCAGTGAAATTACATAGTTAATAGAAGGGTTTCCTGTGCATTCCACAGCTCACCTGTTCTAGTAATAACAGTAAAATAATATAATTGAACAACGTGATGATGACAATAATAATATGTTTTTGAGGCAATCAGGGTGGCACCCCATTCCTAAGAAGCTTGTCCTTCTCCCACAGGATCTGGGGAAGAACTTAATGGTTTAAGCTTTGAGGAAAGTCACTCGGGAGAATATTTGAGTTGCCTTCGAATCCTGAAAAAGGTAATGCCTAGGCCCTAGGAGAAGGTTACAACCTTGCAAAGCATCAGTGGTGCCTGCCTTAGTAGCATTACTTGCAAAGAAGTGCTTGGAACACAGGTAGTCCTCGACTTAACGGCCATTCAAAATTACAGCAGCACTGAAAAAAGTGACTTACGACCGTTTTTCAAGCCACCGTTGCAGCATCCCAGCATTGGTCACGTGAATAAAATTCAAACGCTTTGCAACTGGCATGTACTTAGGTCGGTTGCACTGTCCCAGGGTGGGGGTAGGGCGCGTGATCCGCTTTTGTGACCTTCTGACACATCATAGTCAGCGGGGGAAGTCAGGTTCACTTAACAACCCTGTTACTAACTGAACAACTGCAGGGATTCACTTAGTGACTGTGGCAAGAAAGGTCGTGAAATGGGGCTAAGCTCACTGAACAAATGTTTCGCTTAGCAAGCACAAATTTTGGGCTCCGTTGTGGTCGTAGGTTGAGGACTGCCTGCTAGCCTACATCAAGAAAAGATGATAGCTTTAGAGTCCCAGATTCTGCTGAACGGCTGGTGAAATTGATTAGACAGGAAGGTGAAATTGACTAATTCTTGCTCCCTGTAAAATCTAGTTGTGAAATTGACTTAAAGAAGGGGCAGGGGTTCTACTAGATCTTGAGTAGTCTCCTTTTCCTTGAATTTTGCATCTTTCAGGAGATTATTGGACAGGACCAAGGGGGAAGCATTTGTTTAAAAGCAAACATGTAACGCACGCCTAATTGGAGGAGGAGGATTAGAAGCAAAGCCTCTTTGCAGGCAGAAAATGGACAAAACAGGAAACGGCGGCTGATTGGAGAATTCTGGGAGTTGAAATCCACACATCTCAAAGTTGCTGGGATCTAGAAACACTGAATAGAAGTTAGCCAGGATTTTGCCAGCTAAAATCATATGAACTGTGTTGCAACACCCCTAACCGGAACAAGGGAAGACAGTTGCATTCACACAAAACTTAAGCTTCTTTAGCGTCAACCTCGGTTAATTTTCCATGGCTTAACGTTGGCGAGCTTGATGGCTCCGGATATTTGACAAGCTTGCTATCTTCCTCCAAATGAATTCAGTGCCACAATTAGAATATTCCCAACAAATTCTGCTTCTAAATCTGCCAAAGCGACTTGAGACTTTATGCAAAGACTTCCTGCAGGAAATTGGTCTGGAAATACATTCCGGTAATTGATTTCCAGGATTTCTCTCCATTCCAGAGGGGATTGCAGGAATTTCAGCTTGAGGGATCTCTTGTGGTCCTTAAGGATCACCGAACAGGTGACAGGGACTTTTTTTGAAGAAATATAAGCACTCCGGGCAGATAATATAAAAGCTGGATGAAAACTGAGCCCGAGCAATTTCTTTACTGACATCCTGCCACAAGCGCCAGCTTTTAAAATAGTTCTTCTATTAACATCACTAAGTGGATAAAATGAAGCTGGGCCTGAGAATCATGATGGACTTTTGGTGGCTTCATGGACACATCGGTTTTGTGTCTTCCAGTCTTCCCCTCCTGAATTCTTCCAAATAAGGGGAGATCAAAAGGCCACACTTTTGGAATCCTGCATCTACTTCTGCTCACCACAATACAAATAATATATTGAGACCATAGAAAGAATGCAGAGGACAACAAAGATGATCAGGGGGCTGGAGGCTAAAACATGAAGAACGGTTGCAGGAATTGGGTCTGTCCAGTGATAGGGACGCAGTGGCTCAGTGGCTAAGACGCTGAGCTTGTCGGTCGAGAGGTCGGCAGTTCAGCGGTTCGAATCCCTAGTGCCGCCTAACAGGGTGATCTCCCAGGACTTGTCCCAGCTTCTGCCAACCTAGCAGTTCGAAAGCAGGTAAAAAATGCAAGTAAAAAAATAGAGACCACCTTTGGTGGGAAGGTAAAAGCGTTCTGTACGCCTTTAGCATTGAGTCATGCGGTCCACATGACCACGGAGACGCCTTCAGACAGCGCTGGCTCTTTGGCTTTGAAACGGAGATGAGCACCGCCCCCTAGAGTCGGGAACGACTAGCACAGATGTGCGAGGGGAACCTTTAGTCTAGTGAAAAGGAGGACATAATAGCAAAATGACAGAGTTGGAAGGGACCTTGGAGGTCTTCTAGTCCAATCTCCTGCTCAGGTAGGAAGCCCTATACCATTTCAAACACACAATTGTGTTGAGTAGAGGGTTGGACTAGAAGACCTCCAAGGTCTCTTCCAGCCCTAGGATTCTATGATCTGGAAGCTGTATAGCTAGCCCTCAACTTTGGACCATCCCTTTAGCGATCACGTGTTTGTGTGTGTGTGAAGGATGAGTCCTTTAAATTGAAATAAACAATGGAAAAATCCTATTTTTGTGTTTTTGTTTGTTTAGGACTCCATAATTCCCGAGATCCGGGTTGTATTTTTGAGATAGTCATCCTTGTTTCACATCGCGTGTTTATTTTGGATCAATCTTTGCTCTTGACAGCTGCAACTGTACAAAATCCCGAATCTCTGCGGGAGAATTCTTGACAGCAATCCAGCAATCGCATATATAACACAAACGCACACATTCACACACGCGCGAGTCATTTGCCACCTTCCCCTCTCTAGATTTGCGACACACACACACAGGTTGAAAGTCCTTGGAGTAAAACATTGCGAAACTGACTAGATCCAGTTGCCAGAGCGCCAATATCCAAAAAGGACAATTTCTTTTCTCCAAAGTTGTGTTGGCCTGGAAGGATTTTGCTAATCAATGTCCCCCAATGTCTCCAATACACCCCCCGCCCTCGGCAAATAGATCAGATGCACAAAGATTTAAGAGGCATCTCTTCCCAGCCGTTGCATAAGCCAGCCATCTGATCAGACCATCCCCTAAAACTTTGGCCAGCTCCCTGCACACGCTCAGATGCCTCTTGTCCTCCCTTCATCTGTTTCTCTTCCAAAGCTCCGCAGGACACCCTCCTCCCCACCGAGCTATCTCCTTCGCTCCTTTTTTTCCCTGCCTCTTTTCTCATCCGCATATTCATCATCAGCAGATAAATTAATCACGTTGCCGGTAAATTTTCAGGGTGACAGGGAAAATCGCCCCTCTCTCTTCCCCCCCCTCTCCCCTAACCCCCCTCCCCTTCTCATTTCGTTCCCCACCACTCTCTATTCTGCTGCTGTGCTGAGTTTTCTCCCTCGGAAAGAAATTGCTGAGCTGACAGCCGAGGAGAAAAGATGAAACGAGCCCAGCTTTAAGCGGTTCAAAGGCTGAAATTTCTGCTGGGGTTTGCAACCGAGCCATCGTGCCCGGCTTCCCAGCCGCGAGGTCGAAAGTTGGTGCGAAGGATAATGAGAAAAGGGTTGGCGCCCGAGAAGGTGTGGAGTGAATTTTCTCCCCTCCCTTACCAGCACAGTTGTCAGGAAAGGGGGGGGGGTCGAGGGGCACCTGATTAATTTTAAAAGACAAAAAGACCCTCCCCCTTTGGAGCCCGCGATGCTATCCAAACGAACAGTTGAAAGTTAACAAAGCTAAATGTGTCAACTTGCAACAGTTCATTTAGTGACCAAAGTTACGATGGTACTGAAAAAAAAGTGACCCAGGGCCCTTTTCACACGACCGTTGCAGCATCCTCGAGGTCATGTGATCAACATCCGGATGCTTGTTAACTGACTCGTATTTATGACGGTTCTAGCATCCCGGAGTCACGTCCCGTTTTGCGACTTTCTGATGAGCAAAGTCAGTGGAGAAGATAAATTCTCTTAACAGCTGTGCCACTCACTTAACAATGGCAAGAAAGATAAAAAAAATGGGGCAAAACTCACTTGGTTAGTAAAGGGATAGGAGACCACCAGGAGACCAAAGTTTTTTTTAAAATTATTATTTTTTTTTTACAATAGTGGGAAGTCATTTCTGAGCTTCAACAATCTGGATTTGTTGACGATGTCAGCACAATTAAACTTAACAAGAACATTTTTATTCTAACCTG